GGATATCTTCTAATACCCAATCCGATATATTTATTTCTAAAACTGATTTCCTGTTATAATCGAAATAGATTAGAATAGAAGCTATAACAAAGGCAAGTTTAAGGTTTGCAAAGATATGTTAATATTTATTGGTTTATGCCTAAACAACTTTTTTTTATAAAAGGTTATTTAATAAATAACAGATTTTTGAAAAGTCTTTAATAAACTAGTGATAAAAGTTAGTGAATTCCAAAAAACATTGAAGATCTTTTATTAATAATAGTTTTTCCCAAGAAATAATTGTAGTAACTTTGTTCTTATTCATTTCTATTCTATCTATTGTGATTATCAAGCCTAATGTCACGGGTTCACCACCCTTACCACCCTTACCACCCTTACCATCCTTACCATCCTTACCACCCTTATTACCTGTTCCTAGCTAGCTCGGATGGATGCCTTAGGCATCCATCCATTATATAGTCGATGTTGCTCCGCGCGCCTTTTTCTCTCCTTATCGAATATTATACATTTTACCTAGTACCCACCAGAACCTGTACCAGCCCTATGATAATATATTCGATCCTTTAAAAGGCCCTGCTGTCGATAATAGCCTGGCTTTGATTATACTTACTTGTATATAACGATTTTAACTTGAATCATTACAATGGTTGACACAACAAATTTATCGGCTATATCTAGTGGTATTAACCCTGGTACACCTGCTTCTGAAACCAAGATATATGAAACCTTGATTGTATATATTCATCAAGTATTCCAAAATCAATCCTACATTGCTGATATATTCATTTCTGATATCCCTTTTCATAACCTAACCCTATTAATCAATCTATTCAGTACAGAAAACACCGAGTCCATTGCTTAGCATTTTCTTCGAAATCTGCTTACTATATTTGAAGTTATCGCTAAAGAATATTATATTAAATATACAACCCAACAAACTATCAAAGAATAACTCAAAACTGAATATACAGCCCAATCAACTATCAAAGAATAACTCAACCTGGTTCACAATAACCTTCTCGCCCAGTAATATCAACTTCAAGAAGTATATAATTCTGCTGCCAAGATTTCTAATCAAAATCCCGTTCCAAATCCTTTTTATATTCAATCAATGATAAAAAACCTCAAATCTTTCAAAAATGAAAAATCAAATCTATTTGTATAATAGGAGAAGTACCTTTCTTAAAAACTTAGTCTCTGATTTTATTAGGAATATAATATAACTTGTTTCGATATAAAAAAGAAAAAACCTTTTTATACAGTTATATTATTTGATAATATAATATAGCAAAAAAGACTCGAAAATATTCTTACAATACTAGATGGCATTTTTCCCTATCTTATTATAAACTCTTTTTTAAAAAGATTTGATAAACTCTACATTTCAATTGATCTAAAACAAGATATTATAATAAAGTTCAGGAAACTAGTTATAATAGAAAAGCAGTCCTTTGCTTTGTTCTTTATAACTTTAAAAAAGTTTGGTTTTATAGTAAAATTATCAGATGTAATAATAATAATATTCTTGAAGGAAAAAGTCATTTTAAAATTAAGGAACTTGTTAATATTGGATATTATACCTTATACAGAAGATAACCTTCTCTAATAGAAAAATAAGTTTTTGCTCTAAGATTAAAACCTTCAGGAAAATTCATATAACCCTAATTCCAATTCGAATAACCTTTATTTCATTCTTTATAATATCTTTTATATTATTCTCTAATCTTGTATTACTATAGCTTCTGCCCTTCTAGTCAATGACCTGATAGACCTCAATACCTTCAAGACCCTTAGTAAAGAATAATAAAAAACAGAGAAATATTGTTATAATCTATATTATTTCTATAAACAATCTAAACATCTGGTTTGGGATTGCTTAACAAAAAAGATTATTAATATAAGAATAATTATATCTAAAAAAAACTCCAATTCAAGAAAACTATTTTGGATATAACTATATCATTTAGGGAGGTGCTTAGATATTTATTCACAATTACAACAATACTTTTGGACAAGGATACTCTAATAAATACCCAGATTATCAATATTCTTGTATCAATACTTTTCAAGGTTATATCAAAGAAGGACCCTTTATTCTATTTGATAGTGTATCCAATACCGCTGCCAATAAATCTGTCTTTTATTTGATATCTTCAAATGTTATATTCAACCAGAGAAAAGAGTAATCTCTATAACAAATCGCTTGTAAAAATCTTCGAGGAATTATAAATAGGTATTGTAAAGGAGTGAAGGTAGGTGTGAAAACATAGGAATGCCTTCGGCATAACCACATATCGTACAACAATCATCTAATCGTAGCGTCACTGAAAGATAGTCATGGTCAAAAGGGGGATAAAGTAACTATTCGTCTAAACACTGAGGGTAGGTATAACTTTGAAGGGGTAAAACATGACGATTGATCTAAACTACTGGAAGAGGGGGTATAAGTACCCTCTCTAGACTATCACGTGACTCTAATACTATTGATTGGTTTCCTCACAATATAATCGGCATCACTCCGCACACCTCCTTCTCTCCTTATCGAATATCATACATCTTATCTAGTCCCTATTAGGACCCGTACCAGCCCCGTGATAAATTTTATATAATTACTTAATTTAAATGAATTCATTTCATTTTAAAAAATATAACCGTGATATTATTATAATCTTAGTTATAGATATTCTATAGTAATTCTTATTATAATCAAAGTTTAAGTATTACTTTACTTTTAGATTATTATCATATATAAAGAATTGGATTTGAAAAATATCTTTTTTAATAGTTATTTTATTGTTTCGTGTATTGAAAAGAGAATCTAGAATTTTAACCCCTTAGAAAGAGAAGAGCAGAATACAAAACTAGTTTATCAACAGAGCTGAAACAAGCAATATGAACCAATGAAAGGATTAGCTCACGCGTATCGTATTTTGTTTTTAATTTTTTAATGAGATGAGGAAAACTCATCTTGAAAACAATTCAACTTTTGCCCCTTCTACTCCTTCAAACAACGCTTCTCAGTCTCTACAAAATGACACAACCAGCAGGCTCCTGCTTTTTCCTACGGCGGTGACGGTGTTCTCGGCCGTCGTCACCCATCATGCTGAGCTCGATAGAATTGTCGGAACTGGGAGCCTCATTATATCTTTGTCTTGCTCTCCTCACCTCATTTTCCGTCATACCGTCGCTGTGATAGTATGATTGGCGATGTGATGATGATGTATTGCGTCCTGGATGTCTCGTTTGTTGGACATTTTCGTAGCGGTAACTCATCTTTGCTGTTGAGTTTGGGGTTTGGGGGATTGAGGTTGTTGTGTGTGTCTTGATGTGTTGATTGTGGGTTGGTGTTGTTGTTGTGGATGTTCTATCGGCAGAAATTGGCCTTTTCATGTTTCAAATTTAGATATTGTTCAGAAGTTATTCATCAGTTGTTTAGAAAACTATTTTGTGAATACAGTAATCAGACTTCTTTGAACAATTGCTGTATCATACGAATGAAAAGGCTTGAACGGTAAAATAATCAGTCCGGGACACCAAGTGTATGCTAGTCTAATCTATATGTATATGTTACTTAACCTCACATCTTTTTATAAACCATTAGTCTATTCAATGTTGGTGACAACTATTGATCTATCCCATCTAGCTACACCAGCCTATCTTCTCCGAACTTAAACATCAAGGGAAAAACATTCCGAGTACTTTTCGGTGGTCAAGTAGGAAATGCAGCTTGAAATGATATGGAGACTAGCAGCACTACATTTCTTCATGTACCACAAGTTCTATTCAATGTTGGTGACAGTTGTTGATCCATCCCATCTCCACCAGCCTGAAACACAACCTCCATGACTTCATTCCCAATTAAATACATTCCCGGCTCATCAATATTTTTGGTAACAACTACTGATCCATCCCATCTAACTCCACCAGCCTCAGTACAACCTCCACCACTTCATTCCCAGTCAAATCCATTCCCGGCTCATCAATTTTCCTTGCCAAAACATCATCCAACATACCCCTCAATCTACTAACTAATACACCAATACGTGCCCAACCTCTCAGTCGTAGCCAACCATCTACCAAAAGACCTCTACCTAAAGTATCCAAAGTAATTGGTCCCGAGAACAAAAGTGCTGTGTAGGCATTGAATGGCGTCAGATCCCTAATGAATACTTTACTAGTCGCCATCTTGTTGAAATAACTCATATATTTGCTATTACCGGGGAATGTCTGTGCATCAAATATCGTACTACTTGGATGGACAAACACGCGTCCATTCTCTTGATTGAAGTATTTAATTGTTTTCGCTTCTGGATCTAACTCGACAGCACCAGAGACTGAAGCTGCAAACTTCTTATCGGGAAAGTCGATACGTGCTAGTTGAGGATTGAAGGCTCCAGCACACAGAGATCGAATGAGAGCATTATTCGACGATTTGGCCGACAAAGCTGGAGGAAGAATAGATGACGATGGAATGAAACCAATTTCGCGAAGAGAAGTCAGATATTGGGTCCGATTTGAGGAGATATCGTTGAGTGTCTGATATGAAAGGAAATTGTCACTACACCAGTTTCGAACTTCTCCTTGTCGATAACTAGTAGCTGTCAGCATCATGTACTCACTGCGGCGGTAAGAATACATACTTTCTATTATTGAACATCTCATACCACTCCTCAAAAGCTCGGAGATCTCCAATCAAATCACCTTGATTTTTGGCAAACCTCGCCCTTGCAGATTTTGACTCTTCTCTCTTATCCTGCGGTGATACAAAAGGCGATTTGACAGTCAGTATTGCTGCAATTGTGACGGCAGCATCCAAACAACCAAACATAGCACCATAAACCATGAGTTTACCGCAACGAAGATCAGCAGGGATCATCGATAGATGACGACCCAGTGCAGTAAGATCATCTCCATCAAGAGCACCCATTCTCCCAAGTAAGTCCATAGCACCATCAACAGCCATACTTTCGGGAGGAGTAATTGCACTAGCTAAAAATGATCCAACTTCTTTAATTCCCATGGCTCGTACAGATAAACATAATTGTTCAAGCGGTACTCTTCTAATTTCAGGCTCTGGTCTCTCCATCATTTTCGATTTCTCGGCATTTCGTGTATACAACTTGTAACACTTTCCAGCTTGCACACGACCTGCTCTACCTCTTCTTTGTTTGCATGCAGCACGTGAAGCCCAAACTTCTTCCAATTTTCGCATATTGTTTTGAGGATCATAACTTGTCTCCTTCACACGACCAGTATCAATTACCGCAACAATATCGTCAATTGTGATCGAGGTTTCGGCGACATTTGTGGCAACAATAACTTTTCGTTTGCCATACGGGGCGTGTGGGAATACTCTTCGTTGGTCTGCGGACTGCAATGAAGCGTGTAATGGTAGGGCATGTAGATTCGGTATCGATTTCAAATAATCGAGTGTTCGAGTGATTTCAACCAGACCTGGCATGAAGATGAGAATTCCACCATCTTGTTTCAGATGAGTTAATTCGGCATCGATTTCCTTGACAGTTTGACTAATCAAATCATAATTAATCCTCATACCAATACTTTGAATGGCAGCTGCAACGTCCGAATCCATACCAGATGTCTCCTGGTTGTCTTCTTGGTATTTCCCACCAAATCCAGGATTGAAATTAGTCATTCGAATAACATCATCAAGATAGTAATCTTCGACTGGGTATGTGCGGCCACTAATCTCAACTCTGCCAACCTTCCCACCACTCTTAAAGTAATCCTCAAATACGCCAGCATCCAAAGTGGCACTCATCAGGATTAGTTTCAGGTCCTTGCGTTGGCGGAGAACATCTCTTAAGAGAACAAGCAAGAAGTCAGTATCCAAAGATCTCTCATGGACCTCATCGATGATGACATGACTGACGTCAGCAAGTGACGCGACAACATCTTGACTACTTCCTCCAGATGTCTGTAGTCGCCTAAGAAGTACACCTGTGGTGACAAAAGTAATCTTGGTATTCGGTGATGCTTTCGACTCTCCTCGAATTATGTATCCAACCTCTTGGCCAACAACGGAACATCGTTCGTCACTAACACGATCCGCCAATCCAAGGGCAGAGATACGTCTAGGTTGCGTGCAAATAATCTTTGCGCAATCTCCGAATGCTCGTTGATACATGTCATCCAAGATGAATTGGGCTGATTGGGTCGATTTACCAGAACCAGTTTCTCCCGAGATAATAGTAACTTGGTGCGAGCTGACGGTATCAACAATAATATCCTTCATCTCCCATGCCGGTAAAGTTCTTCGACCTTTCATCATTGATTCCAACTTTGGATTCAGCTGTCGACTCGTCCACTCTTCCTTACTCCTGTTATTTGCAATCCATTTGATTGCTCTAGGATGTCTCGAGATGTTCTGTCTTCTCCTACGGACTGGTTGGACTTCACTGACTATTGAGGCAGCGGCCGAAACATCACTGAGTTTCCCAGGCCTTTCAATGATATTGTAAAGGTTTTGTTCCACCCAATCAATCAGGAAAAATAACATATGCTCACCGAGTAATCCCTCCAACGCGTGATTTAGCGCCTGCTTCATGATGCTCAGACGAATGTATGCCGGTAATTGAACGTGGACAGATATGATCGGAACCTTTTGAGGATATTCTTTAGATCGTCGAAATTGGATGACAGGTTCGACAGGAAGATTTGTGCCACGATTTGAGGGTTTGATCGTAATTCTGCAAACGTCTTTTGATGGACGGGAATATTTTTCACCAAAAACGGATTGAAGTCCAATCAATTCCTCTTCCCAGATTTCTTCGGAGGATTCTCTAGCATCCTCGGTATCCCAAGAGTCTTCATCCGGAGTCGATTCCAGATCTTTCCCGCTTGACATGAGTATGTGTTGCAAGGCCTCGGAAGCTTTACCTTCTTCGTTATGGATATCAAATATCTGCTTGCAAAGTTCCAGGGAGTATCCAGCTTCAGCCAATCTCTTAATCGCACCTTCACGCTTCAAATCACTGCTTGCCATACTAATGCCAGCAACATAACCTTCCGGCAATGCCCATCTTGGTAAATCATCCTCCGGAACATGGATGAGTAACCACTCAAGGGTCTCCTCTCGATCCTTGCATATTTCCACAGCTTCTTCAATGTGACTTTGCCTGAATTCAAGAGTCTTGAACTCTTTCACAATCGAATGCTTCTGAAAGTCTGACAATCTGACATCATGTGGGTTCCAGATAGCATTTCTCCTAACTAAACCTTCGACCTTAGTTCGCGTTCGCTTGCCCATCTCGATTTTGGGAACTTTCGTCCATCCTCGGTGAATGTTGTTATGTGACGACCCTCCAGCTGAATTTGTGCCGTTACTTCCATTGCCACGTAAAGCCAAGCCTGCACCCCCTGGACCTGCCGATCCTGGTGTATTCATGGCCTTCTCCCTAGCTTTTTGCTGCTCATTCCGTCTCTTCTCCATCGCGGCTTTGGCATCTTCTCTTTCTCTCAACGCGGCAAACGGATCCGCCTCATACATCCATGCCTTTCCTTCTTTGACATCTTCTTTCTTCAAGACCTCGAACTCTCCCTTCCACAAATCTCGATAATCGGGTGGGAGTGTCATATGAATATTTCGCATGTTGAGAACCCGGAAAAGTCCATATGTGGCAGCGAAATGTCTAGCTTCAAGGGCTGTTGGTTTGACGGCGAGATGTTTGTGCGTAGGAGGTAATTTGAACGGGGCAAGTGATACTAGTTCTTGAGTTTTCGTATTCCTAGCTTTAAGAATAACCATCGACGAGAACCCTTCCGGAGTTTTGATCTATTGCGGAAGTCATTAGGATGTGTCGTTTTTGGAAGTGAAACCATCCGTAGAACTCTCCACTACTACAATACTCACCATAGTATATTCCGGCTTCTCCCATTTTTGCTTTTGACAATGTTCCGAGAGTAAATTGACTGGTAACTTCCCCGTCCATGATTGTCCCCCAATCAATTTCTTCACATCCGGTCTCTTGGGCGCCTCGCCCAGTAAGTCGGGTCCATCTTGTCCTTCACCTGGTGGCTTCCTTTGCTTTGGTTCTTTATCTGAATTCGAAAACACGATAAAACTATCATCTGCGGCGGGTGCTGATGGGGGTGGTTTTTTACCGGCAGATGTGCCTGGTTTCGGTCCGCCTTTCGAGGAGGACTGTCCTTTCTTGACCATACTTGGTCTCCACAGTCTTAATTACAGGCAGATCCATAAAATCAAAACTACAAGTAAGGTTAATGAACGAGATGAGTTTAAGTGATTGATAACACTAAATCCATTGTGGATTTTACTCAGTACATGCAACAAAGTTTTCCCCACAAGGCTGAAAAGATTATCAGCTAGCCCTTGTGCGTCACTTTTGTGGAATCTTTCACTGTAGTAGCCTTGCAGAATAGCCTTGCCTCAACCCCATGCACATTGGTGAACTCAACTACATCACCCCTTACGGCTCCTACTTTCATGGGATTTTGCAGATTTTACCACTATGACTTCGGAAGGATGTGAGGATGCAATAAAAGAAGCAGAGCCTATCGGAAATGCTACTGCTACTCCAGCTTCTTCTATATCTACTGACAAATCCCCCAGGCCAAACGCATGTACCGTACCACTATTGCGTTTCTGCTTATGCTATCTGCAATGCTAATAAGACTCTCACAGTTGCCGCACTGATGTCAAACTCGCGTTCTAAACGTCCCATCTCATCTTCAACATCCCCTCCTCCCCCGAAAAAGATTGAGACTTCAACCTCTTTCTTGCTTGGCCGTGCGGGCCTGGGGGTTTACCTGTCGAATCCATCATCGCACCCTTCCTCACGCGTCATCTACCATACCCATTCATTCGTAGCAATTCATGATCTATATCCCAAATCCTCGGTACACACATTACTTATTCCTCGAGATGATAAATGGAGTGGTATGCACCCCATTACCGCATTGTCCAAACCCGAATTTCTCGAAATGGTCAGACCGGAAGTGGAAAAGTTAAAAGGGATAGTTGCATCAGAGTTACGTCGGAGATACGGATCAGGCTCAGCACAAGATATCCAAAGGGAAAGAATATTGAATGGAGAAGTCGATCTGGATGATGATGCTGAAATGCCAGAAGGTAGAGATTGGGAGAAGGAGGTTATGGTTGGAGTGCACATGCATCCATCCATGGATCATCTTCATATTCATGTCCTATCCGTGGATCGTCATTCTTCAAGTATGAAGAAGCGGAAACATTACAACTCGTTTGCTACACCATTCTTCGTTAATTTATCGGAATTTCCCCTATCGAAGGAGAGGCAAGAAGCCCTGGATAGAAAAGGTCAGGGTAAGGCATGGCTAGAGGACGATATGAAATGCTGGTATTGTGGTATACATTTTGGGAATAAATTTGCTAGGTTGAAGGAGCATTTAGGGTTGGAGTTTAATGAATGGAAAGGAAAATAGTTATCAACCGAGAATCTTAATGTGTGTTTTTCCCTTTATGCTAGATCAATTAATAAACAATTCAATACTCAGTAGACAAAGTTAGAATAATGGAAGCATATTTTGGCTTGATCGACAGCTAGATCAAATGCGGTTGGATGTAACCTCAGTTTAGTTATCATGATGTCGGGAGGGTCAGTGCACACACTAGACACTTCTTTCTATGAAACCAGAATCTCATCGGTGCTTGTGTTCATCAACCCTGACAAAGTTTAATAGGATATTTATGGCAAAAATATACCAACCAAAAAGGCAAGCTGCCCCATGAGATTCGTCTTACCTGTACCAACAAGATCACTCAATATCCTGATGGCTCATGATAGCTAGATTGATCTTACTCACACCATCACACTTACTACTCTATCATGTCCTAACTCTGTGCAGATTCCATTTCATCCCATCCGTACTACAAGATCAAATACTAACGTCTTGATCTGTTTGCAAGGCACGAAGCATTCTCTGTCAAAGCAGTTTCATCATGTTGCCTGGATACTTGTATAGTACCTACAAGAGGTACAAAGAGGATACATCTACTTTCATCAGATGGCTTTCGCAGACTGGTGAAAGTTGTGGTTACAGCTCAATCAAAACCCCTACTCCGATCGTTGAGGCTGCTCCAAAGTCGGCAAGACTGAAGGGCAAGGCTCGCAAAGCCGCAAAACAAGCGTCGAGTGGAGACTCCTTGTCTCGTCCAGCCACTGCAGTCAAACAAAGTTCTCGAATTGTCGATAGTAAAGATATTTGCCTCTAGCAAACGCTATTGCTGACTCCAGAACCCCCGCAAGAACAGTTCCTATTTCCATTATTCGAGCTGGGCTTCGCGCCATATCCGCGCGTAGAAAGTGCACATCATTCTTCACGGATTTAACCGCAGAAGACGATATTCAGCGTGCTCGGACTAATGAAAGCCACGAATTCTTCACCGACCTGATGAATAAGGTTTTGATGGTATTGCAACCCTCATTTGCGGTTGCTACAGAAGCCACTTCTACCAGGGTCCAAAATGCCAAGTGTCCTGAGGAAGACATCGCCAATCGTTTCGCGCAACTGGAGGTGGAGGATTTAGAAGATACAGATGATCATGTTCCGGTCTCAACTGCAACTAATTCCACTGAAGCTGAAGCAGTTTACGAACTTAATATATCTGAGTCCACGGCTCACAAGGAAGAAAAATTGTTTGCTATCGTCTCTCTTTTCAAAGATCTTCAGGAGTTACGAAATTTCATTGAAGGTATCTGGAAGGACTACAATGAGAAAAGAATTGATCTTATCACTGCGGCTGCGACTACCAATGTTGCCTTTCAACTCGGTATTCGGGCGCAAGACGAAATTACTGCAAACTTTCCTGGATTGGACGACTATGATTATGTAATAAAGACAGTGTTAACAGCACTTCGAGGAGATGCAACTGGAAACGAGGTTGAAGTCAGTGAAACTGTTGGCGACTTCGTTTTTACTCCCGCCCACACCATCCTTGACAATTTCTGTGACATCTTGAAGCCTAACGAGGTCCCTGTAATGAAGCGAGGATATCTTGGGGTCTATCTTCCGCTAATCGACCGATCAAAAAAGTCCTCGTTAGAGAGATTTCGAGAAGATCAGATCCTTTTGCTGGAGCTATTACCGGAATTCTCCTTCACTGCAAAGTACAAATTGAAGCACTTCGCCATTGATGAATTGACCAGAGGCATCGGGGAGATGACCTTGTCGAAAAAGATACCTGTCTGGCTTACATTCGCTACTACTGTGCTTTTAGATATTTATCATACCATGCGCGAAGATGTTGCTCTGGCTTATCTCGATTCTCAACTAATTGTCAAAACCAAAAAGGCTATACTGGACAAACACATAGCATTCTCGCGCAATTTCACTCATCCAGCCACATGGCCTGCAAAGAATCAAAAGGTCCTTCAAGGACTGGCTACCGATATTGAACAAATGATCATGACAGACATAATCTTGCCCTGCAAGAGAGAGCAATTCAAAAAGAACAGTTTTCCTCCACCAACATCAGAGGAGGATTTCTATCTCTACAGACATCACCCGATTCTTTGTGGAATTCTTGCATTTCGCGCAACACTTCTCTGCCAGAGTTTTGGTGTTGCATATTGTAACGCCGTGGGTACGGTTGTATTCCCCGCCCAGTTTTACAACGCTTTAAAACAAAAGCCTAACCCCTTGAACGCCTGGCCACTCATGGATCAGGCCATCGCTGTACATACTCCGGAACGAGTGTTTGTCGGAGGAGCCCCTCAGAAAATGCAAGCATGTTTTAGGCAAGCATGTCTCATGCTCGGTTGCTCACCGACGCAATTTGCTGCCAATCGCCGACCAGGCAGGGGATCGGTAGCATCCAAAAACGGCCCCAGAGGCCTCAAAGAAACCTCTCCCATCGGCGATCTATTTCGTAAAGGCTTTGAAAAAGGATCAATAACCCTCACGCTTCATATCGAAAACATACTGAACGATCAAGCTCGCGACGAAGAACTATCACGAAATCCAAAAGCAAAATCCTTGAAATACGAATGGCGCAGAACCAAGCGCCTCACTTCTCTTCAATTCCTTGAGGCGCTCACAGGAGCTATTTCACTTGAGCTATCCGATCTCAATTTCAACTACTTTGAGCTCCATCAACAAAGTGTGATGCTTCTACGCAAGGTAAATGTAGAGCTGAAGGCGGATTTGCAGAACGTTTTTGGGCCTAACTACTTGGAAAATGAAAGTCAGTTGCCTTTCGTTGGCTTATATGTTGTGATGGCGGCATGTAACACCGAGAAGACAGCTGAGAATATCGGCCTGCGTGGGACTAGCAGTTTATTATTGGAGAAAGCGGGAGAAATAGTCGAGAAGTTTTTGAGCAATCTTAAGAATGAGGCATATCAAAATGAGTAAATGAAGCCAAAAAGTCACCGTGCTATTATTATTAGGGAAAATTGGAGCGCTGTCAGAGATGTGATGAAAGAAGTCGGGAATGTAGGAAGACTGAAGCAGGGTTTCCAATGGTCCAGACAGTTTAAGAATGGGGAGGGGGTAAATCTATGAATCCAGTTGAAAGATGGAACCATCTGAAATCACTTGGTAGCATGAAATCTTTTGAAGTTTTCAGTTCATCTAAATCAATGAATGCATTCAAGTGATCAAATCATGCTTCAAGATTTATGATTTTGAAACATCGAAAGCTTAGGTCTGGTCTCGTAGGCCTGACCAATGGACAACCAATTGTCACTTGAGCTAAATGATTAGAGGTTTGTATACTAGTCAGAGAAGTATGAAAGGTAGCTCTCTCCTAATGAAAATTGCCGAGGGCCTGTCACAGCCTTTGACCAACTAGACTTAAAATTTTATCCGAGATAATTTTGATCATGAAGTCTGCAAATTACTCAAGTGCTGAAAACACACCAGACATCGATCACCACACAAAAATGGGAAACAAAGACGGAAACCAAAAAGTCTTATCTTCTCCAGCTTGATTGGTATCTCCCATGCTGAACTCACAATGTTCTTGCGAAATAATTGCACCAGATAAGCACACACACACAATCCTGATTCCATTTTCATACAATAAGATACCTACCTACCTTTAAGTGTAGGGACATAACTTGCCGGACAAAGGCATCAAAATTTAAATATACGACGATACAAAGAAGACAAGTCAAAAGGTGATTGACTGCGAACAATCCTTTGTTCTTGATAACAACATGCCTAACTCTAGGTTCTTTGAGCCCTTTATTCTCACCTATACGAGTAGACTCAAAATAAAAGAATCTCCCAGTCCTGTTTTGTAACAACGCCAAAACAATGCTAATTGTGTTTATAAGGAAGGGGTTCCTATCACCTCCAATCTTCTCTACCTAATTCCTCAATCACCCAGTTTTGAACACTAACCCCAGATCACCACCTTTTTAGATTCTAGATTCTCAATTGTCAGTCTACTTACACTACACCACCGATATGATGATGATGATGATGATGACTAACAAATCCCACGCTTTCAACACCGTCATCGCTTCCCTCATCATCATCGCCATCGTCATAGTCATCATGATCTATGTTCCACGCTACATCGGGCTCAAATTCGAGGCTCGGAGAAAGGCGTCCAAGAAGAAGGTTAGGAGATGGCTGCCATCCCAGGAACCCATGGAGCAACAGCAACGCGAACAAGATATTGAGATAGAGAATTGGCCTTTGCAGTGTCCAGAACCTGTGTTCATGAGAAGCAGGCAACAACAACAACAACAACAACAACAACAGCCGGATGATTGGCCATTGAGGAGACCAGAGCCCTTGGTGATGTCAGAGAGAAGACAACGAGAAAGCTTTGAGGATATTGATCTTGGGTATGATGATACCGCTGGCTGTAATCTCGAGGGATTTCCTTATATTGTGCGATAAATGTTTTGGCATTTATGAGGCAAAGGAGACACTCGGAAAGGTAAGTACAGTAGTAGAACGCAATTTCTTTCAACAAGGTAAGTGAGTGAGTGCATCGTACGAGTAATATTATTCTTATATCATTCTTATATCACGAAAACAAATAGTTTTCCCCATTTCAAACTTTGACCAACTCAACTATCAAGTAAAATTATATCGTGACAATAAAACCATTTTGAGATTGAATACATAAAGTAAAAACTCCACACATCTTGTTTGTGGAAGAAGCGAAGACGTTTCGCCCCATCTACTCGTATCTATAAGCGTGTACAACGTCATTGACAAAAAGATCTACGGCGGGGGTCATGCAAGGAGAAACTCAAGTACCACCATCACACCATCACCGTCTTGGCAAAGACGGAACACGTCGATATGATGCTCACCGTACACAATATGTGCAGATCTGACCCGTATTGATTTTGTGTGATGTGAAGCATATGATCTCGTGGACTGCTGCAGATCGATCGGTACAAAGATATGATAGACGATGAGGACGTACACGTCGAAAATACTTCCTTGACCGTCAGTGGCGGCACCTTGCATTATTATTCCGTTATGAATACGAGAAGCATACCACAATTTCTCATATCTGATACTTTTCCTTGTGCTATATATGAGTAGGACTTTCCCAATTTTAATAACTGACATGAAATTTACCTTACCTTACCTCTCCTCACAGAAAACAGAAGAAACTCAGCTTTACAGATAATTCCAAAACACAAATACTTCAAATCACAATGTATCTCCAACACTTGCTTTTCGCCCTCACTTCACTCAGTGTCACAAACCTTGTCAACTCCTCACCAACCTATGCCGGTACACTTTCCACCCCGCCACCACCAGGAGAAAGTAAGCTTTTCCCCTCTCCCTCGTTCAATTCTAAGTAATTAATGAACATTCAGCCTACGTCGTCGGTTATCCCATTTGCGCAACTCCGGGCTTCACCGAAGTTCCTGGCGACTACACCGAAACCACCCATCAATATCCCGGTGCTACACTCACGAGCTGCATTAACGAATGTCGAGCTGCATATCCTGCTTGCAAAAGTATTGCTTTTCATGCTCGTTATACAGAATGTTTGTGGTTCGATAAGAAGGTTGATAAGACGCAATTGTATAAGGATGATACGAGTGAATTTGTTCATTATGATTTGATTTGTCCAATACCTGCTTGTTGAAATCAGGAAGGGGGGAAGAGTGGCTTGCTGCCCGGCTGACAGGGTGAAGTAACGGGAGGAGAAAATGGGACGGTGGATGATTCGTAGGCGATATTCCGGGGAAATGAAGCCTAATATTTCGTGGAGAAGCATAGATCAGGGTATCCAATAGTCCAAATTGCACTTAATTCCTGATTATATCCCAGACGATATTGAAACTATTTCAGAAACGATTCAATTATTTTCAGAGATTGAAAGTATTTCGAATATTGGAATCTCTCTAATTGGTTATAGTCCGGACTATTGGATACTCTGACACAGATGTTCTTGGTGTAGAGTGACTCTTTCTGGAACATAGCCAGCACTTGACTCAATACATTAGCCGTATGTGATCGTAATAAAGAATAGCATTCTTCCACTTAGAGAATCAAGATACTAGTCCAAATTGAAATGGGACTTCGGATAATAATCGAAAGCATTAGAACAAACACAAAACAACACAGAAAGATTAACTCGCGGATACATAACCCTTGGGATAAAAGATGGAAAAAAGATGGTATGAGCTACACTCATGTAAAAGGGGAACCTGAGTTGTAGATGAGATGCCATCTCTCTTCACGAGAAGTAATCAATTCTTACCACCACTTGTATTACAGGCTGTCAAGATCCCTGAAAGGCAAAAGAATGGAAAACACACGTAATCCAAAGAAATTACAGCTTTTCGAGCCCGGACTGCAGTACAGACTGAAATATGTCCAACATTCCAAACAGATTTCAGATTCAAAGAATCCTTATTTTGTCAGCCTCCACTCGAAACTATTGTAGAACTAGCACAATGTGAACCACTCGGTCATTAAAAAGTTAAACATTATTTTCATTCATCTAATCCTCTTTTCTTTCAATCCTTTACTCCGACTCTCTCCTCTCCTTTGTGCTGTTCTCTTGAACCACCAGATGATCATATCCCTCATCAAGAACATAATTACCACGAATGCAACCGGTAAAGCTATGTGCCAAAAGTATTTCTCGTTATGTTCTATACTTGGCATATCCGTAAAATTCATCCCAAAGTATCCCATCAAGAAACTCGAGGGAAGGAAGTTGATAGTGACAATTGTGAGTTGTTTCATGGACTCATTTTGATACGCAGAGATGGTGTTGAATATCAGATCGATCATTCCATCGGCATTTCTTCGAAGTTGGTCGAGAGATTCTGTGATTAATACAACATGATCTTCCACGTCGCCGAGGTATGTTTGAGCCATTTGACTGATCTTAATAGCAGATGCTGCCTTTTGTACATCACCTCTTTGACCGATATTTTTATGATCGCGAAGAGAATTAATGAGATTAGCGATAGGGTTGATGAAGTTGCGCAAGGTGATGATTTCGCTGGTCACAACGTATAATGATGTTGCATGTTTGATATTGGGATTTGTCAAGACATCTAGTTCTAGTGAACCAATTATATCCTGATAGGCAAAAGTAACAGGGATAGCAAGATCAATGATAGCATCAATAATGGCCTGCATTACCATTGATGCATCGCATGATCTGCGGAGTATTGTATCGGAGTTGCTCAATCTGTGAAGAATGGGGGTTTCGATATCGTCGGCGGAGTTTTCGAAAAATGAGATGACATTATTGTCTGTAATATGGATTAGATCTTCAACCCAATTGACATTAAGGGTAGCTTACCAGCTGTCAAAAACATCGAGACCTGTTCAGCACTAACAGCTAGCTTTTTTTGTGTTAAGGGGAAATCTTCTCCATATGTGCGGCCCTTTCTTGATTCGGTCCTCCATGATATCTCTGTAGAGTCCTTAATTTCTTTACCGGTGAAGACTGTACACCATCCGTATGCCCAGTAACATATTCCTTGGTAGGATCATGAAAATCACCCGCAAGTTTATCGTTCTGTGCCATATTATCATTCCTCCTTCGTTTCATGAAATTGTGGAACGCCTTCCGGAATGGTCCTCGTTTTTGTCTTCTTGGACTTTCCAATGTTATTTCTTGTTCATTATCATCATCGTAGTCTGATTCACTATCCTCGTCAGGATGTAAATGAACAAGTTTCTGCAATGTCAACACAACATAAGTATGGTTAGTATACCCGTCTATTGTTAGTCCTCAATCATCGAAGCACGCTGTACAACATACCAATCTGCCTTTGTCCTATTATTAAGATTAACCATATCCTCGATGGCCAATTTGTGTAACTTCTTCCTCTTCCCAACAGCCTTAATTACATCCCAACTGAGTCCATTAATATTTATCCACCGACATTTGATCCGTTGCTCTTGTTCAATATCCAAAAACCTAACCAGTTCCTCATTATTGAACTCCCTCTTGACCATCTTATCTTCGCTGAAGTCCACGACAGTTATCTGGCAATCCTCGTGTAAGTTTATACCTGTGGATCGTCCGCCATCAGCTTTAGAGGGATCAAGCCCAGGTTCTTGACCTGGATGCCATTCTGGTTGACGCGGTGATACATCAACTGTGCGAAATGTATTGGATCGTGAGCGGGTTGTGCGACGTCGAATTGGTGATTGTCCCATTGTGGAGTCGGAACAAGATTGAATAGACGTTGAGGGTTCGAGTTCATCTGCAAGTTTGGGGTAAGCAGATTATCGCAAAGTGCGCATATAGATATGAGAACGAGAAATGCGTTTGTTATGCACAATTCAATTATACGATTGGCTAGAGCTGTGAAAGAAACTCACAAGTTGTAGGGAAAGCCTCCAAGTCAAATCCAACAGCTCTTGATGATGAACTCATCCCCGAAGGAGAAAAGTCTCTTATTTCTGTTTCAGTCATCCTTCCTAAGTTCCTACCAATATCGATTGTGTGCGACAAAATGGATTCTACTGTGTCGATTCTTCGACTTGATCAAGGTCGATGGAATCCTACCTACCTCATCCTTGTATGAAACCGAGGTTACGCCAGGCTTATGGGTATTAAAAAAAGAGTGAATTAACTTAATATAAAATACAAAATAGACACAGTGAATTTAAGATCAAGTAAATACAAAGAAAAAGAATACGACGACGAAGATGTTTCCAATTGTATGGGTGTAGAAGGGTTCATCTGATAATAATTTTCGAAGTAAACAAGCTTTGCCAAGCCGAGATTTCTAGATCCGCGGTCCCCCTATAAATTTAACGAGTTCTGTACATTACTCGAGTAATGAGATGAAGATTAGGATAACGGTCGATTAGAATATACTAATCAAATGCAATGACTATACGGTACCGGTATGTGTGTACTGTATCGTGAGGTTCTTATCTATTTCTACCTTTTGATATGAAGGATTTGCGAGTTATGTAGATTGAGGGATCCATGCCAGCGACCAGTAGGGTAGGCCCGCAAATTATCTATCAAGAGTGGTGAATTTGATAAGTAAACCAACGAGGCTGAGTAGATCTCGATTGAACTCAATTCATTGTTTCTTGTTTCCCCTCAATATTGAGATATATTACCGTAACCGCCGTGGTGGGGCATTTTATGTTCTGTGCAGCGTTGCAGTCACATCTTACGTACCTTGTTTATGTACAGTAAAAACATGCCCTGTATGAGTGAGTGTTGTGCATGGGATCCGGGGAAAACTTTGATAGTTGTAGGGTCAGCTGTCAAACTGTTCAAACTGTTCAACTACTGCTGTACAATCCGAAGTAAGGGTCGATCGATGGAGCGGGGATCTCTTTTCATTTTTCATGCCAGTTTGGGTCTAGGGAGTAAAGGCCATTGGTTTATTCTAAGACTTATGTGCTGTATGCCATGCTGCGATTTAATATTAAATTCCAAGTGTTGATATCGTTGCCCATTTCGCCATTCATCCTTCTTTCTTTCTAAAAACTATCCATATTAATGATTCTTAACTCCGAAGCCATTCCAATTTCAAAAGGCGAATGAATCTCAAATGGAGATCCAACATTAACGTGCAACCCCATGAATGAATCCCCGCCCCCCCTTAATCCTCGCCCATTGAATTCCGATGGTGGACACGGAGTAGTCATCTCCCAAGGTATTGGTAGATGAACTGGTATCATGATGTCGTATTGTGATTCGCATGTATCCATAGGTCGTAATAGAGGACTCGCAAAAGGTGTAGATCTAGTACTGGATGATGCTGGGCTGTACGAAATTGATCCGTAAGTTGATCCTTGGGAAGCAGTACTTCCTCTTCGTCTACGGGCGGCATCGCCGGATGCTCGAAGGAGGTCAAAATCCATCGAGGAGGTCTTCTTTATCGGTCTTTGACTTCTTGCACATTGTGCTGATTCGCCTAGTTTCATGAAGTTGTCCATATCTGAAATCGAGATGATTGGTCCGCCTGCCATCTGTGGAGTAGTTGACGAGGACATGATTTACTGTTTTTGTTAGTCTTTGTGGTATCATTTTGGGAGGAATGACATTACAATATGAATCGAAAATAATATAATTAAGAGAAATTACAATTAAAGTACAGGTCCGTCGAGGATGAATGAAAATTGTTTCTCAAAGTGCAGAGTATCTTTTCGTGGAGGGTAAAGTAATGTTGTGTTTATATAATTCGAAAGATAAGTCGTGAACGAGAATATAAGCTTCGTAAAGCCTTCGAAGAACCGAGAATATGAAGGATAGTGTGGGTTGCGTTATTATATAATATGATATAAAGAGAGAGATCGTGTACGTGTTATGAAATCTGACTTTCTGAGAAGGACAATGAAGGGATAACCTTAGGTACATATATCAAGACCCGATATAATCATAATCGTGCAACTTCATGATGAATCCTACCTGATAACCCCATGGCCAGCGCATATAGGTTCGAGATATGCCTACCACCCAGGCCACCCCCCCACTTGCGCTTGACACAATCCATCCGGAATCCACCATAAGGCTGTCTCCATTCCCGACCCAACCAAAATCTGCTTTATATTAAGAATTGACTGTGCTTTTAAAATTACCAAGCGGTTGCAGTTCGCCTATCCCCTTGTTTCAAATGAACAACCCACGTTTTTGGGGAACATGCGTCTAATTCTGTGGACCTATCAATCCGCCCATCAAATTTAAAGACTGGGGTAAGCGAAAGGCTATGTTCTTGGTCCACAAAGTAAATTAAATTCTACGATTGGTCTATTCATCCCAGATATGAGGTTTGCCGCCGGCATAAATCAAGCTCATTAATCCTTGTTTTAGGCCCATCACTATAACCGTTTAAGAAACATTCACAGCCAATACAGCATCAAGGAAAAGAAAGGAAAGGGGGATCGTTAGTATGCATGAAACTTTCACATGTTTTTCTTACAAAGTTTCGTTTCTTCCTCATGGATCCTTTAGATAACACCAACATTCGAGAACGCTGGCCTACTTTGGGTAGAATGGTCAACTTTATATGGCACGTATAAAATGTTATGTGGCTGGTCTGCGACCCATTTCTTGTCTTATAGACCCTGGTCTAGAACATTTGAAAGGGAGATGAGATCTATTGGTCTATCCGGGAGTAAGCAAATGATCCTTTTGTTGGAATAAATTGTTATTGTTTCAACCTGGGGAAGTCCAATTGAATTTGGTTAAATATGTTACAGTTAGCAGCTTCATCAACTCAGGAGTTTAAATTAGTTAGTCTAATGTTCACGATGCCAGATTTTAGTACAGTGAGATAGCGTTGTTGCATTACAATATACTCGAGTAGTTACTAGACCAAAGATTTATGTGTCATCCGTTGAATCTCTTCGATGTCGTGTAAATTATGAAAATTTCGGCTCAAGATTGCGTGATTGCTGATGCATGTTCAATAGACCTTCACTATGGCTATAGATCCATTAGTATAAAATCATTTGAATCTACAGGGCTGACTACTGATCGGATAGCCATATCTGCATAGATGACTGCAATGGGGAATTTCATTTACGAGATAATGCTTACTCGACTCATCTTTGTGGTTTGGGTTTCGTCCGAGGGCCAGTAGGATCATGACCTTCTGTTAGTGTTGGCCAACTCGAGCCTAGTGTTGAGATTTTACGTATCTTAACCTCTGTGCTAATATCAAGCAGTAATTTTCCGACCAATACTCTACAGTGGGTCCTTGGATGAGTTCCCTAGTTTTTCATGGTTGGGTGTATCGGAGAAAGAATCTCACCCTTCCAATTGTTGGCCGACATTTTTCGGGTAACAACCAATAAGATTGGCTCGTAGAATGCATCTAAGGCACTTTTATTTCCTATAACAGTTGAGTTATCTCTATGGCGATGTCAGTATAGGCATCCCAAGTTGAAACATCAATGGAAGAGTTCGCAATATGCAAGATTCAATATTAGCATAGTAAAGGAAAAATCACATTACAAAGTGGAAGAAAGGGTTCATGTTGGTTACAGTTGGTAATTGTCCCGAGGCAGACAAACACGATAAGAGGGATAAATATGGCTCGAATTGGTACGACTGGTATCAGGATGCGGAAACGTTCTTCCACAACAATCACCCTAACGCCGAATGCAGATCCGTCAACTTTCACTGGTACCATACCCGGAATGATGAACGGTATCTGCAAAGACCAGCCATATGTCATGGAGCCTGCTCGTACTCGGTCTACCGGTACTGAGATATTGTCTGGCTATAATACGGGCATATAATTCGGTTAATGTCAGCGCTTGCTATGAAACAAATCATTTTGTGAAGTCACAAATCCCGGCGGTCGTGAAATCACTCCTCCTGCATTAAATGTATCTGACAAACATTACTAAGAGTATATTATCAAGATCACTAACGGTCATTCATTGACTTTACATCAAGACAAGACCCTAACAGGTCCGAACACGACAGTACAAACTATATATCAACCACCAGATAACAATAAACCTCCAAGCTCGGATCTCCCCGGCCTCCCACAATACCATGATAGCGTCTGGAAGGCCGTGATATCTGTTACTTGAACATACTTTGAGGTCGGCCATCCCTCTCTCCATATCAAGGTCTGGTTCAAACTTTTGATTTCCACGCATAAATGTGGATGGACAGCTATCATCCAAGTACATTGGGAAAAGGCTTACGGAGATGAAGCCAGCTTCCAAACAATGTCCGAACGAAACTCCGAGCTCATTAGTTTAGGATGGGGTATGTTGCATCAAAGCAACGCACCTAGAAAGATGAGGGCAATAAACAGGGAATGGGAATCGCAGCGAAAAATCATCGGGGTGAAAGAGTGGTGGAGGAAATATCCTATGAGCTGAAATGTACTCTATTCAGAACGAGGAATAAGACTTAGAAAGAAGTTGCATTAACAGTTATATCAAATGGACTACAAATGTACACTCGAAGGAACTCGGTGGCACTAGCCTCTTGAGACCAGCTATAGATACGAGGACTTCTTTGTTGCTCTTGTAAGAAGAAGCCTTTGTACACACAGTTGAGAACAAACAGAACAAGGGTTCTTTGATCGTGACAAAGAAACTGAACAATGATTTCTATCCCTTATATACTCCATGATCCACTCAACTTCCAGTCCAAATTACTTTATCCATCACCAATTCCATTAACGGTATCACTTCACACAATTCCACGTAAGAGACAACTTCACCACCACCACCACCATCACCACCACGAAAATGGGTCTCTCAAACAAAGGCGATAGCATAGTCGTATTCACCCTCGTCACTTTCCTATTCATCTTCATCTCCATCTTTCTGATTTATGCCCCTCGTTGGGTATATCTCAAGATCAAAAACCACAAGAAGACGCCTAGCCGCACAGAAATGGGCAATTGGTTCCAACAAGGAGTTAATGCTACAGTCTCGATAATGAGAAGAAGAGATAAAGTAGAACAAGAGGCTCGGACTCGGAGAACCAGATTAGAAGATATTATAGAAGATATTGAGATGGGGGATATGTCAGATACCTCAAGTCAGGGAAAGGTAGTTGTAACATTACCGGAACGTGCTAGAGTATCTGGAGGTAGGCAGGCTACCAGGAATGATATAAATGCTGGCGTTTATATTGTAAGGGGTTAAAGAAGTAAGTGATCTGATTTAATATAATGTTGAAGATTAATATTATAGAAACAGGTTAGTATAAAATGTATTTTTTTTCTTTCTCAAACATAAGTTTTTGATATGACACTAGGAGTTTTGTGACAGCTAATCTTAAGAGTATGTATCGTAAAGTGATGAATAAGATGAATTGTATCAAACTTTGATTGTTCCTTGTTTGGCCGAAGGACAAAGACATTTGCTTTGTTCTGTTTTTATGTGATTGTTCCCAACTAGCTTGTCCTTTGTTCAGGGTATCCAATAGTCCAGAGTACAGACTATAGTTTCACAATGAGATATATTTAATTTCCGAATATATCTCAAACATTGTTTTGATTTTAAACATTGAAACTATTTCAATCATTAATTACATTTCAAATAATGAAGTGTTTAAAATGATTCAATTATTTTCAGAGATTGGAAATATTTCGAACATGGGAATCTCTCTAATAGGACTACAATCTGAACTATTAGATACCTTGCCTTTGTTAAACAGATTGATCATGAATCTAATCAAAGATAGACTGAAATGATTGAGGTTCATGTCTCACCTCACATGTGTTGATGATACTGCTGTCATATGAAAGATTCTGCTCAAACTCATGGTATTTGTTTGGCAGAAATCATGCTGTCAGGTCAGATCAGGTCATTTTGTGCCAACAAAAGTCTGATAGGTGACTTGTGATTTGACTTGTGATTTCCTATCAATGTTTTTGAGTATATCAATCCTGTGCTTCAAACATCCAAACAAACAGACAAACAGACTATCAAGACCATATAAAGAAAGATTCTTGAGCCTACACAAAAAGACTCATCTCATAAAGTCTTCACTCAAAACCAATATAAAAATAGGTGAAGAGTATTAGCTTCAATTTTGCTTTCCCATAGACCTTTCCCATGGCTACTATAGTGTAGTCATTATATAGCTGATAACATCTTATTAATATATATTGGATAGATTTTGTTCACTGATGAATTTTAAAATGTGCCCTTCCTCCCACACCTCCTTCACCAGTTCACTAACTGCTGTTTAAGATTAAATGTCCTCAAACTTGTGACAACATACAAGGATCGGTGACTTTAATTTAAATATTTACTCAAAATTCACTTCCTTCTATCACTAGTTCTATCTAGATGGGTCTTGTGTACAAAACCAAACTATACAAAGGGTAAGTGATATCACTCAATTCCACCTAATTTTCAGAAATTGAGAAGAGATAACTCATTCACTAGAATGTAGTCAATAATACAAGCAGGAGATATATTGTATCAGAAAAAGATAGAAAGATACCGAAGAGAAAGCTTGGCCCTATTGATTCATGACAGTGAATTCTTTCGGAACTCCCATTATTCAAATTTTGAACTCTTCTTAATCCCTCCCACCTCAATACTCCGATCTTGTTCAAGACACAGCACAACCCACACATGAACCAAACTTATTACACATACAATATGGACAATACAACAAATCTTCCAACCCAAGCAAATATGGATGACCCTGGAATGGAAACCGATCCAAACTCCCTACAAAATATCAAAATTCTCCCATTAAATTCTTCTATACCAGTCTTACAGCCAGAAAATCCAACTTCTGGTCGCACAACCACAGCGATCCACCTTGATATCGATCCTTCACAATATATAATCTTTCGCAACATGCTCTCCAAGACTTGCAAGAATCTCGGATTGAGAATGGAGGTTGATTATGCAACAATGTCAGATATCGCGAGAATACAAGTTGGTGTGATTAAAAAGAGACCCGCGAACATTGCAGCAGATGATTCGATTAGGTCCAGGACAAGATCAGGAGGGAAGACTTCAAATTCCACGAGTTACAAGGAAAACGATGAACGCATCGATGGCTTTGAGAAGTCAGACTCCGAACACGTGGACATGGACCACGCAGATCCTGAACATGGGATTTCCGAACCTAGCACTTCCGAGCCTGGTACCACTGAACTAGATTCTTCGACTACACCAGTATCGCTTGATAAAGTTAGGAAAGTCGATACTATGTTCACCAAAACAGAACTTATTGCTTTGGGTGTAGCATACTCGGTGGTACCATCTTGGCCACTTGTAGCTGAGTATGTCCATATCCTTTCTGCTACTTTATATACCCAAAACTTCACTAAGCATTGATCGTCGCCTGTTCCTGTCATTAGCTAACCTAATTTACGCAGATACTTCCCTCACCGCACGCAAAGATCGCTTTACCAGACATTCAAGCATACATTTACTCACTCCGGTAACGGACATGAGTTGGCTCGCGATAGCTTTCCACCTGGAGCCGATATTCCCGAACTGAGAAAGAAATTTAAAACATTAAGAAAGCTTGGGAGTCGCACACGGCGAGTACTGGCGGAAGATTTACCAAAAGAGTATGGGAGAGATATTATTAGGGGCCATCTTTCTCTTTCAAGATGGCAAAAGAATAATAGGAAGCTGTCGGAAAATGGTGAACTGACTTTTGAGGCAAGGCCTCTTTCATCTCGCCAAGAACGTGAACAAGCGCTACAAGAGGAATGGGAAGACGAGGATGATGACTCCGACTTTGAAGATATTCGAACTGCCGGCGCGGCCATGGTCAAAGAAGAAAATGCGAGTCAACCAACCATTATTAAGGCGGATCCAGACCAAACAGATCAGTCTCGACTCTCGAATATCCAAAAATCTTCAATCATTGATCTAGAGGCGTCCACTCGATTCTCTGAGTCGAGTCCTGATGCGAATATTCGAAACCCAAGTGATTCAACAAAGCTTCAATCTAAATCGGCACTCGAAATTAGCAAAAGTCATTTGATTGAGCAACTTTCTCAGTGCCAGAATGAAGAGGAGTTGTGCCGAGTTTTGGTGAAGGGGCTGGAGATCGCTAAAGAGGATCCAGATGAACCTTGCAGAAAGCGCAAACCTGGGCGCCCAACGAAGAGAAAAAGGGGAAGCTCTGACTTGACTTGAATTGAAAAAGGAAGGAGGAAGCTGTAATTAAACTTCATGACCTATAGATGTTTTAATTGATAATTGTCAGTTTAGTTATCATTCTGAGTAAAAAAAAAGAGCTACCACTGCTCTCTTCGGTTGTACGAGTTCTTTATAGGAATCCAATATATTGGAAATTACAGACGTGTGAATACCAGTATGAAGCAAACTTTTGTTGGTGCACTGAAACATCAATCCATTCCTTGCCAAGGAACCCTTGGTGTGACCTTAGAGAGCAACACGTGAAATTCCTCAGATCGAAGAAACTTTTCACCTCAGGCCTCTGAGTCTTAATACCTCACACCTTGTGTATATTGAAGAAATTCCTTTCAAGCAATTAACTAACCGACAACACACCCTATGTATATTGATATCCCCTTCAAGCAATCATCTCACGCACACCCCGGCGCAAAAGCAGCAGCAACACAAACCTGACCTTTGCTCGCAGTTGTTGAACCGGTTTCCGTGAAATATGTAGCATAATACTCCAATAGCATACCATTCAATTCAGCGAAAATTTCAAGCTGGAATTCATAGTGAGGCTTCACAATGCCCGTCATACAATACCTGGGGGGTGTTTGCGTGATCAATTTCTAAGTTCGGAGAAAGGTCATGTCGAATTCAATTCGACCGATTATTTGGGCATCTGAAGATTAGTGTATCAGTAAGAGAGTATATAAGTCTAAAAGTGTTGAAAAACAGAAGTTTCGAAGTACCACGGGGGAATCTGAAACGATGGATAGGGATGGTGTAAGAAGATGTGGTGATGTGAATAGAGGAAAACAGAAGGCCAAATCTTTGTTATACTTATGCTCCAAATGAAAATGAGATCGAGTTGCCTTATCAGAAACATAGATCAACTCCTCACATATAAATTTATCTTGGTGCAATGGAAAGGTAAAAGTTGATACGAAAGGTTCGAATCGATGCTTTGATGGAATAAGTGACCCCTATTTAATGATCAATGGGGGCTGTCGAGAAGGTTTGTTATAGTGTAGCGTACCTTGGTAACAAAATAGTTAATGACATGAACATATTCCTCACCATCAACAGGGCATCGTTCACGATCTCGTTGAAACGTGGAGTCCCTGTGTCCTTCAAACCCATGAGTGAACGAAAGTTGGTAAGGCTCTCTACGGAAAAATCCGTAGCTAGATTCAGCCATCCGTGCTGGGCCGTTTGCTTTGTTAAGAGTAGCTAAGACAGCACTGCAGGATACTGCTGTAACTCTATCCAGTGCCCGAGTTAGTTGCCAAGCCCTAATATCCGCAATCATCAGGTTGAACTCACGAATATCCAAAGTCACCATCGTTGTTGTTATTGCCTGTCAGTAGCTCAATCTCATAACCAACCCCCCCCCCCACCCCCCAGGGCCGTCTGAAATTCCCTTGAGGTAGTTCCGAAGATAAGATCTCAGCGACGGCGATGCCCCAAACCCCCCAAGCAAGAAAACCTTCTAACAAACTCGTAAGCGTACTGCCGAGGTATGGTCTCGTATCACGAGATATCAACGGTACATACCTTGACTTTTAGACCCTTCTGGAATGTAGCAGATAATTGAGCTTGTAACAAATTCTTTACACGCTCCAAGAGGGGATTGAAAACCTCTTCCCAATCTTGTCTATTTCGGTAAAAATCAGCGATTGTTAGCAGGCTTACATTGCATATAATTGGTGATGTGGAGTGGTACAGACTTCATTACGACGATATAGCTATCATCGAACCTTTTCTCTGCACTGTGTTTCAGACCAGGGAGATAAAGACGGGTTTTCAGACTAAAGGAAGCAGTGACATCTTTGCGTCTCTTAAAATCATTTTCAAAGGTTGGTATGAAACGATTGACGATAGACTCCAAGGATTCACCAGCGGGTAAGTTGTCAAGTAGATAGGTTTCATCTTGTAACCTATCTAGGAGCATTTGTTTGTAATTCTCATTCAAATAACTACCACCACAATTGTCACCTGTGATACATTAGCATGATTTTAAAGATCGAGTTTAACTGGTGTCTTACCCCCTGGTGTGACCTTTTCTTCACTTAGTCTAAGGGGATGCTTTGTGCCAATCTCATATGTGACAATATCGCAAGTTCCTCCCCCGCAATCTGCAATAATGAACGTTTCTCCTAGCTGTAAGGTGTGAATTAGTTCATGTTTTGTTGAGAACATAAAGTCTGAGAAGATAAAAGGGAAGTAACACACATGAACCGAGTTAGTACCCGCCAGCATATAGGTTGCGGCCGCTTCCGGCTCCGACACAATGTAAGGTACAATAGCATCTGAAGTATCTCCAAATTTGACAGCTCGTGCTGCGGTCTGTAACGCAGTTTGAAGTATTCGAGACGCATTTGGGCTCCATATTGTTGGTACAGTCAAGGCGAATTCAACAACAGAGCCATCGGAAAAGTTATTTAGTTGGATGAGTTGCTTTTTGGTATGTTGTAGAACTTTCACAAGAAAGTCCGTGAAGATATCCAGCACATCCCTTGTATCGGGGGAATATTTTGAGCCATGTTTACGAATGAGTTTATCATGAATTAGGCCCTCTATGATTTCGAGCAACTCGACACGATCGTCTAGTGTGTAAGGCGTTTGGACTAGTCGCAACTTGGATCGCTTAACCCTAGATTTAGGGTCTCTGGAGATGTTCTCTTTGTATTGTTGATTCTGTACCTCGTAGGCCCAAAAGAACTCAGAGGACTCGGGCTCGTCAAGTGCAAAATATTCACAGCCCAACGCGTCATTCGTGCTTTGAGCAAATGCCAAGGGGTGATGGTTATCAGCATACACAAATTATTTTAGTGTTCCACCATCTTCGTCAACATCTTGAGGGGCTTCCCTAGACAAAGGAATCGATGAGTATCACTGCAAAGTTGATCAGCTCCAATCTTCCGGGTACCATGAATGTATTTTGTAAGTAGCTATGAAGTTTACCGTTTCAGTGGGCACTTGAGGCCGGGTTCCGTTTGACTCACTGCAAGCCAAATCATCTGGCCAATTTGTAATGCTCCGCAGTTCACTAGGAGCAGCTCTAGGATATTGTTCGTTGATAGGATGGGAGAAATAGGACACGGAAGTAAATGTAGTTCCGAAATCGATTCCTAGGATGAACTTTTTTTCTGTGTTTTTTGCCAAAGTAGCGGTTCTTTTAGCCAGTCTTTTGCCGGAGGATTGTAATGTTGGTCCATTGCGCTTTCTGTTGAGGCTCATTGTTTGAAGATGACTAGAATGATACAAGCTCAGTTCACAAGCGTGTGATGGACAGTAAAGGAAACTTGGAGAATATGAATCAATCTGGATGACAGAATAAAGGAAAATCCGTTGAAAAAGAGATGACGAGAGTTTTCAAAAGGTTTGATTCGTATGTGGTGGTCTCAATGTCAAAGCAAACAAACGGCAGTGGTTGAGATAAATTACTTGACCAGGATATCGGCAAGCTGCATACAAATCTTTTGCTGTACCACCAATCAACTTCGTCGAGTATTTCTCGAATAACACTTTCTGACTGAAAGCCAAGCAGCTGGGGGGCCTCGCTTAAATCCATACAATGTGTTGGCGGCCACCGTAGAAGAGCAAACAGCCAGTTCAAGCCACACTGGAAGTTCATCATTTCATTCAGCTTTTGGTATATTCGCGTTCCTTCTGCAATAACTACGCAATTATTAAATCGATCAACACTTTGATTCAATCAAGATGTCTGATAGGTGGTCACTCAGTGAGAATGTGGCTCTTTTTGCTTGGCTCGATTTCTGTATTGCAAACAAGATAAATTGTTTGAACACAATACAGAAACACATGGAGAAAGAGACTGGTATCTCTTGGTCCAAACACAGCGCTAGAGCGAGCCTAAGATTTCTGGAGTGGAAGTATCGCAACCTGAATGAAAAACGCGGACTCAAGCCTGATGAACAAAAAGGAAGCTTATACATTGTCCAAACGGGATCTAAGTGCTTACAATATCCTCCTAAGGACATGATGCGGTTGATCAAGAAGGCGCTGATCAACTATAAGAACAAGTATAGCTCGGAGGCAATCCAAGAATTGTTGGAACCAAAATTCGTCAAGAGTGATCAAGGCCAATCACCGGCAAATATACCTACTCGCGAATCATCACCTGCAGGGTCTCCCATAACTCCATCATCATGAGGTCGGGTACGCCTGAGAGATGATACAGGTTATTTTAGAAAAAGGGATTCATTGGAAGAGATAGAAGAAGTTTCGAGAAAAAGGCAATGTTTGAAAAAGGTACGAGAAAACTTTAAGCTAGCACCCATCCATGGTAGTCAACTCTTAGACGTCGAACTGTCCCTTGCGGTTAGATTTATTTGCATTCTACCAACAGTCCTAATCAGGCGGTGCAGCATTTAGTTTTTTGGGTTCAGTTGTTGATAAAGGAGTAACTGATTCATTGTTCAATGGGGGAACGATACAACAGCTGATAATCTCCCAAATCTAGAGCATTGAACCAGTCCAGCCTGAAAACCCAGCTCAAGCCTCAAGGACCAGAAGCTCCCGAACCAACTTCACCTCGGGGAAGGTGGCTCATCGTCCGAGTGGTAAGCAGCCGACTAGAGCTGCAACACCGACTAGTAATGAGGATCTGGAACTCTCCTTCTCACCCCGAAGTCTTCTGGTCGATCGGCCCAGTGTCGAATCGCCTGCAAAGAATCAACACAATCAAGTCGGGGAGGGAATATTGGAGGATATGCAGGAACATCACAAGGAGATCTTGCAGATTAAAGAAGCAGAAATAAGAATTATTCGAGAACAATGGGATTCTGACCTCCGCACATTTTATGGGAAAGTTGAAAGACTTGAACGATCGGAAATGGTCCTCACAGCAAAGAATTCGGCTCTAGAAGCTGCAGCTTCCGATATTAAAGGTGGAGGGAGCAACCCTCTGGAACAAATGATTGCTCAGAAGAATGTTGAAATATGGAAATTGACCCAACAGCTTCGCCGGCAACTGAAAGTGACACAGCTTGGGGAGACAGAAGCAAAGTACCTACCGCCTCAGACTATCCACACTGCCATGAATGAGATTCGCTTCGTGTTGGAAGATATAATCAGATCCAATGCTTTGTGCGTCCCGCTGGGTCCGAACGAATGGTTTGATGGTGACCTTGAATACTTGGTGAATTCGGCATTTGATACTCCTCGAGGATCGACTGAAGGCAAGCTTCAATTAAAGAGACTGGACGTGAAACTTGGACCATCTGCAGTATTTAGCATTCTAGCTATCACTGCATTAAGAGATTGGGTCTTCCTAACAGATTTCCCACACGTCGATTTGGGATCAATGAGTCTGATTGAATCATATCGAAACATTGCTTTTGACAAAGGTAAGCAGTCTCATTAGTGTTGTCAAGTCTTTTGATCCCTGAAGTGAGAAAAAAGCCCTGTTCCATGTTGAGTCTTGATGTTCTAGAATGCTGACTCGATATGGCAGGTGGATGGGAAGAACTGCGATGTTTTGATTTCGGGGCGTTTAAGGAATATATGAAACAGCCATACTTCAAGGATGTTCTAAACCGCACTGCTAAGCAGCTGGCTTGTCGATTATTAAGGACCTTGAGCTTTCTCTTCGGTGAAAGTCTTGAAAGAGTGGGACACGATTGTTCTTTTCATACCTGGGGCGAAGACTTCGATTCCTGGAATGAAAGACGGTACCATTACGAAAAGCTATTTCAGACTGCCTTGGAGTTGAAAAGTGGCTCTGTGATTACAGACGATACTTATACCTTTGAATTTTCATCGAAGCAAGAGTACATCAGCAAACCATTCAATAAATTGAGCGGTCCTGAAGAATCTTGGTTATGTCTATCCATTTGTGCGTATGGTTCAAAATCACTAGTCTTTCCAAGGGGTAAAGAAGGCGCGCTGGTCCAGACACGAAATTTCCTGGCTTCGGTGATTGTCGATTGGCCCTGCGACTATCGGAAGGATATTTATCTCGATGTGGACCGATCATACCAAACGAGAAACTTGTCACAATTAAGTAGAGACCGGATGAATCTTTCGGCGAGACATAACACTAGTACCCCTCATCCTATGTCACATGCTGCTGATTCGGAAAGTTTTAATATAGCAGAGATCGATCATTCTGCGATTTTCAAGGCACCAACACACACAGGCAACGTTCCAGGACTTCCTAAACAGCCAATTCATCGAGTTCCAGTTAGAAGTTCGGAGTGTGTATGCAAGTTTTGTACGAAAGTCTTTCGCAGGACTCAGGGTCTTTCAGCACATTACAGGAATAGTATGAGCCCAAAGATATTATATGAGCTACACTGACTTTCTACTTAGAAACTTGTAGACGATGCCTTGATTGTGGTAAAATTTGGCCAACAGTAGATGAGTTGCAGCAGCACATAGATAACGAACATAATCAACAGTTCGAAAGGGCCAAGTCGCCACTCTCTGGAGCCACACAACCCCAAAACTTTTCATCTCGCGAGGCACAGATTAGAAGTAGCCAGGTATCAGACAGCGTTGGTTCAGAAAACTAAGACGCACTAGGATTGTTGGCAGTTATGGAAGGATACGACACGCCTGAGAATATTTGTCAAAGCAGCAATGAGCTCGAGGAAGATTTGACGGCAGTCTCTGAAACATCCGTAAATCGTTTTAGTCTGCAGGCGAACAAGATACTCAGCAGTTCATTCAACAATGATCATGAAACTTCCAGTACTAATTCAAATCAATGCGATGAAACCGAGGACGGCGAGGCTGATGACAATGATGCTGATGACGATGAGAGCTTTGATGTAGATAGAAATGAGACTATTGGAGGAAGAATAATTGAGAAGACTGCTGATGATGAGAGTACCAAGGTGGACAGTGAGAGTACTGAGGTGGATAACGAGAGTGTTGGAGGGAGAATGTATGGGGATATTGAGGATGAGGATAACGAGATCCTTGAGACGGAAAGAGATGAGAGAATTGAAACTGCAATTGATGGGAATAAGGAGGTTGATGAGAGTGAGGGGGTTGAAAACGATGAGACTATTGATTTGGAGGACGATGAGAGATTCCCGGCTACTGACAGCATTGAGGTCGACGACCACGATGAACTTTTGCGAGCACATCAAGATGACAACGACGACGACGACTGTCATTCCTTGCATGATGGCACAGAATCTAGAAATCAGAAACGTGGTTTTGGGCAGTATGCAAGAGCGGAACTTGGGGCTCATGAAAGCCTCAGCGACAGAGTAAGAACGACATGCAGTCAGAAGTTAATGGAGATATGGAGTTTGAGGAGGAGGAAGAAATCGATGAACTACAACCATTCAATTCGAGATATTTTGTGATGAAGAGTAAGAACAATTAGTACCGGTCTGGTTTTCACAAATAATTAGGTAGATTAGATCAACGGTATAAAAATTCGAGATGATGATATGGTTGAATGAACAAATACAACTTGACAATGTGTGATGACAATGTAGGTAGGGGTAGGTAAGGGGGGGCAGGAAGTTATTTGATTAGTTTTACCAAGCCACTAATCTCAGAACAACACGTGACTTTTATCAACTCTCATCCCAGGCTTTATCAGATATACTTTCAACGACAACACGCTTGCTACATAGAATATAATACAGCTTTGTCTGCTGTCTAGCATTCGAATAAGAAACTGGGCGGTTTAAAACAATACACTATCATATAGGACAATGGTTATACCATCGGTTTGTGCTCCCGACGAAAGAATTGAAGTTTCCTCTACACTATACTCGAGTACAACATTAGGGAGTACCAGTAACCTTACTGTACCATTCATTTCAAAATTCCTCACGATGTACATCTACAAATGGACCCTCATAACCATAACCATAACCCTCCAAATATCCACATCCAATACCCCCTCACTCAAAGTTGCCAATGCCAATGTGAAACTACACTCTCTCATCACCGAAGCACCGGCAACTGCTGCTCTGGCTTTACTATCAACAACCTCGATATTACGGGGAGCAACTGCCCCAATCAATTATCACAGGAGTATTCCAATGCTGGCTCATACGACAGATTGCAATACCGGTACCTAGATAGCTGTTTGTATGGAATGTGCACAAGGGAATTAATATCTGATGAACTTCAATTCCTACCCGGAGAAGTGACGGCGTATAAGTTTCCCATGAGCATACCCATAAGTTATATTCTTCAAACCACATATATACTCCAAATCAACTTAACTCACCTGTCTGACTTCTGTGCAACTTGCAATGGCATCAATAAATGAGTTGGACGCTCATCGGCCATGAGACACAAACTCGACTAATAACTGAATCCTCCCGCGTCCCAGCTATTCGTTCCAGACTTATGCTCTCGTTCTTCACATTTATAATGCCTGTTTTGCATGGGAAATTGACAGCCTCAAGCTCAAATAAACACTTTTTAGAGTCACATCTCTCCTTCATTCTCCGGAAAAAAGGCCGACAAGCCGACAAGCCGCTAAGGAACATTCAATATATCAATAGTTGGCTTTTACAGGTTTACGCACATCAAGAGGAAGTAAATCATTACTAAAAATACATCGATTGATTAAAGTAATCACAAAGCTAATCTAGCACGAACTGCGTGCTTACAAACTGCCATGCACCATATTCTATTGTGCTTGCTTACCACCCGGCCCATCCTCAAAACTCCAAATTATACTATACACGGTATATTATCTCCCATTTCTCCCTCTCCCCCATGCCAAAACACCTTATAATCTCACCACCATCTTTACCAACTCTCACTCACCGATCACTTTCCACCAAATATCTTCCCACAATCATCCACCACCAATCACCAACCTCCCAACCTTGCATATTGTTGGCCTCCCTAGCCGTTGCTCCCAAACTTTCGTAGTCACATCTTTGCCATACACCTCGTTCAACTCCCCAATCTATCAATTGTTTGATCTCCCATGCGTCAAGACTAGGCGCGAATACCTTTTCCAACCCCTCGATATCAATACTGCTTCGTAACACGAATGCACCCGTAACTCCGAGGAGTACTTTTCTCCACATGCCTTCTATGACCTCCCCTTTTATGCTTCTCCAAACTGGAAGTGCACCCCTTGGACCAACAGGTGGAGGTTCCGAGATTGCGTCAAGGTTGGGTATTGTGTGATTGTAAACATAACTTGAGGTGGGTGTGATATCCATCTGGAAACGATATTTCGCTTTATCGATAAGTCTGGTTTCATATCCACCTTCCGTAAGACCGAATTTGTTCGCTCTAATGTTACTCTTCTGAACGTGGATACATCCATCAGCCTGTAGATTCGTAATTGCCAATACGGCTCCCTCATTTACACCCCACGGAATATTAACACTCGTTTCCCCATTTCGGAATTTCTGGTCCAATTCACATTTGAAATCATAAGCTTCCCGGTATTGTTTCTCGTAAATAATCTTTCCAGTACGAACGAATACCGCGTTGAAAGCATCTGGAAGGTTATAAACTCGACCATTTGTACGAAGACGCTTGTTCTTAGTAATAATCTTGTTCTTCAACAAATCTTCTCTAGCCTTGATGATTATAGCGCTCGGAAGACGATTGAGTAACTTGTTCGCTGCTTTGCTGTCCCATAAATGGTCGGGCGTAACAGCCGCGGCCCTGCACCATGATTTTGCAAGTGCATAGTCGTTGATCTCATAGCTTGAAGTTTCTTGTTGGAGAGGATAGGTAAAGGGGACAGAGTTGACAAGATTCATCCTCTGGTAGACGGCGGCAAGAGTGTAGTAATATTGTTCGGACCAGTAGTTACTTCGAGGTTCTGGGACGAGTGCATATTTATTCTTTAGCTCTGAGAAGGAATTCGGGAGGTCAAATGTTTTCTCTTCCTGAGTGGGAGTATTGATCTTGGACATGGCCCAATCAATTAAAGTGTTAAAATCGTAGTCGATAACATGATCATAGTCAATTGGTTGCACTTGACCCTTTCGATACCCGACGATAAAAATCTGCTGAAAGTCTTTTGTCAATTTCTCAACCATTGGCTTTTTCTTGTTCCAAACAACCTGCCACCATTTCTTGAGAAAGTTCAAGGAATAATCCTTAAAGACTGAACCTAGCATGACCCAATCAATGTTCATCTCCAATCCTCCAAGAATGGCTCTAATAACAACAATACCCATAGTCAATCGCTCTTCTTCGTCGGCAGCTAATCCTTGTTCCTTGAATCTCTGTCTCTTTCTGCGGATATTGGTATCATAGTTGACCATCTGAGTGCCAAGTAAATCTGCAGCATATCGCACATCTCGATGAACACCAAGAAGATCATCTGGCGCAGATGTGAGACGTCGAGCCATTACCCATTTGTTCTTTAGACCCTTGCGAACACCAAGATGTGGCTCTTTCTTCTGTTGTCTTTTGCGTTTCGGTCCAATGAGAGTTTGCTGCTCTGGTGGTAAGTCATCATTGTCTTCAAGAGCTGAATATGGCAACGTTTCCAATGTGAAGGATGTACGATCGAGCCATTGCATCTTGAGCTTCTCGACATTAGTGCAAGTTACAAATGGATGAGCGAGATCCCAAAGTCCAGCAGATTCATTGAAGAATATATGAGGAAGACCTGGTGTCAAAGGAGGAGATGGTATGCTAGCCAAACCAGGATTATTTTGGCGACCAATCTCCTCTTCGAGTGGTTTTGCCTCATAGTGATTCAATATATCGAGCTCAGTCATCCCATCGATACTAGCTTCCATCAAATCCATAGGATCTGGTGTCAATGACCTGTAACCTCGCTTTGTAACTCCGGTAAGTCTTGATATCTCTGGATCCTTTTGCGATCTTGTACGATATGTATAGTGACGCTTTTGTAGTCCAGTAGCCTTCGAAATCTCTATTTGACCATCGGGTCGACTAACCAAATCGCCTTGAAGATTTTTGTTAAGCAATTGCTTTGATAGAATTGATGGACGCATGATTGGTTTGTTGGGATGGATGACTGGTCGATGACTATCTTCTCGCTGCTGAAGATAATGTTCACCCTGGGGGTTTCCAACAACCATCTTATTTGGCCTGGCGAATATGGGATTCACACCATGTCCAAAAGGTCTAACGGACCAAGAGCCAGAAGGATCTTGCATGATTGTAGTTGGCTCCGGAAGACGTTCTCTTAACTTGTAGGTTCTTTTCGGCTTTGACGAAACATCCCATGCGCCGTTGGCCGAATTTTGTAATGCTGTTGGCTGCGGGGTCCACGTCTGTTCCTGTAGAGCAGTCGTATGTTTTCTTCTTTCTCGTTCTTTGAGAGATAAAGGATTACTAGGGCGTCTCATACGAGGTTTCATTTGATTTCCATTCGAGTTTGAAGGTATTTGTTGATGTAATGAAGGCCTTTGCAATACTTGCGGAGTGTAATCTGGAAAGGGTGAAAAGTCGCTTGCAGCACCATCAGAATCCACATCAAGGTCCATCGGGTCATCTTCAAGGTCATCTTCTGCGTCTAGTGCGTGTGTCTCAGGTCTAAATTCATCATCTGAAGATTCACCCTTACCTGCCTCTTCATCAGATCCCAGTATATCATTAAGTTGCGTCGCTGACATCTCTGGAGCCAAAGGAGAAGGTTTCCCAATCGCATTCAAGATCTCTAAGATGACACTTGGTGGAGAGAACCCAAGTGGAATATAGAAATCGGGGTGCTTCGCTTTCACATCGTCTTTCAATTTGGCAATTTCGGCTATGGAAGGGGCCGGTGCTCTAACATCAAATAAAATGCTCCTAGTTATGGTTCTGCTCCTAGCACCGGCAAAATCAAACGTAATTTTCGAAATTATCCCATCTTCAAGTAACTCATCGAGAGCTCTTGTAAATAATTTGTGTTCTGGGAGTACCTTGGACGTAGGATAATACTTAAGCCAGCATGCAACAAATGCAAACCAGAGACCACGTTCGCCGGGTAACGCATTGTTATTTGCTCGGGTAAGACACATGATGACATCCTTAACAACCTTCTCTTTCGACGCCGGCAATACTGATTGTGGAAGTGTTTGATCTGGGGTTTGAGGGAGTGATGGAATTTTTGCGAGTTCTTCCGTAAGTGATGGCGTTTGCTTAACAGTCTCAGCAATCTCCAATAACGCTGGTCTTTCACCTCCCAGCGATTTATAAACTTTTCCACTTCTGCCAATCACCGGCTCTCCTCTATCTCCTCTAGTCTTCTTTGGAGATTTCTTCGATGCGGCGACTTTTGCAGCCCATTCAAACACAGAATCATCCGAGTCACCACCTTCAGGTTCAGAATCATCCGTCGGTACAGGTTGGCCTTCTTTCTCTGATGAAGCCGCAGGTTTACCTTTCACCTTGGTCACTGTCTCCATATTCGGTGTCTCCTTCCTTGATCGGCCATATTGTCGTGGCTTGGCAGTTTTGGGGTCGAAATCTGGGTTGCAGGTTGTTTGTGATTTGGAAAGATGGTATTTTATACCCTCTTTATTCTTAAACCTAGCACCACACTTCTCGCATTTCCAAGGCTTATCGGCAATCACTTCCGGATCTTCAGCCTGAATTGTTTGTGGATTGGCCATTTGTATGAAGATTCGAGCAGTAACCAAATTTGCCCTCATTTCGTTCGCGGATTTGTGAGCTTCCTTGGTACGAGCAATCAAGAATCGATGAACAACAATTGATTCATCATCTTCCTTCTCCTTTAGACGTAACTCCATTGGATTTGAACCTGGCATGGAGACGATTGGGTTCTCGGCCACTTTCGAGACTTGCATTGTCCAAATAGGATCCGTTATTCCTTCGGCCATTGACCAGAATTTCAATTCTGATTTGTCACAAGACAAAATGAGGTTACCCATCACAGAATTGTATATCGAAGACATTCGAGAGAAGACTGATTCAAATGGAACCGCCTCGGCTTTTTTGAACGCTTCAACATCATCGGGAGTGGCTGTTGGTGGAACTCGCTCGGTTGTGATATTGACACTTGAGGATTCTGGAAGCTTCGAGATCACCACAGTCGAGTTTTGGGGACTTGGCGTTTGTTGGATATTGGGCATCGATCTCTTCCGTTTCTTCGGTTCTGGAGCGAGTTCTGGAGCAGGAGCGGATTGCACAGATGGCGATATGTATGCTTGAGTTTGTTTGGATTTTTTTGATAGAGTTTGATCTATTTGAGATTCCACGGACTTGGGGGGATTAACTTGATGAGACAAATTGCCGGGTTGACTTTCCTCCACAGATTTTGTTGAAAGAGTACCTTGAGTAGGGAGAACTTGTACTGAAAGCTGAGGTGATAATTGGGCCTGTTGATCAATTTCAAGTCTTGGTGGGCTTGTATGACTATCTACATGCGGTGCATGCGGCGTTGATAATGCAGATTCCATGGGATTGAACTGGTGGCTGAGAGGCGAGGATATTTGCACTTGTCCCATTAAGTTTTGTCTCCCCATATAGCCCTTCGATTGTTGATCCGTCATAGAACTTGTAGGCCTAGAATATGGAGAAGGACTGGATGGAATAGATAGAGGCTGAGGTATATGTGGATGACTCATTGATCGGGGGCTGGCATACGTGGTGGGACGATTGGCAACAATCTCTTGTGATGTATGAGCTACTGTCGATGGTTCCGAGGCATGCGATGAAGAAGCAGGACTGAACCTCTGGAATGAATCAGTACTCATTGGACTTGATGGGGAAGTATCTGATAGCAAAGCATCTGGCGGTAAGAAACCAGCAGGCCATCCAGTCTTTGGGCGTATTTGAGGGGGTTTGGGGGGCTCGGGTGGTAGGAAACCTGCAGGCCATGAATTCTGTGGTGGGCTTTGCTGCACTGGTATTTGCTGGGCTGGACTTTGCTGAGCGGGTCTTTGATGAATCGAGTTGTGAAGATGAGCCGGACTCTTTGCTGACCAGGAATTTAAGGCTAAAAATGAAGGGGTAGCCTGCTGTTCACCTTCGTACGAAGACCTATACCTATCAACGGGAGAAGGTGTGTGTGTGGCTGGGGTGTTTCCATGTTGCGGTGGTTGATAGCGGCGACCATAGCTCTGACCATTTTCAGAAGGCACTCGGTACGGTGAACTATGAGAGTTGATATTCGATGCCGGTGGTAAACGATTTCGTACAGTTGCAGATAGTTGATGTGGTTCCAATGGTCCAGTCCATCGTGATACCACCGGTTGTTGCAAATCAGGTGAACGAGCCTCATTTTGGAATGAGATATTATGAGGTCTGTTGTGTGGCGGAGACTCATATTGCGAGACTGGATGCGAGTATTGAGGTTGAGGTGATCTTGGACGCATAGAATCCATGTACACTGGAGAGAGGAAAGAGCTTGATTCTGAACTTTGCGTATTTGAACTGCTTGCAGGAGCTTTTGGATGTGACCATGACGTAGCCTGTTGTCCATATTGCAGCGGGTTCGCCACGAAAGGATCGAGTGTCGATCTAGATGGCCCAAATAGTTCAGGTGTAGGACCTTGACTAGGCTGTTGAGCAAACCCACTCCTGAATCTCTCGAACTCTAGTGCCAATTCATCATTCGATGGAAAAGAATTCAATTCAGTATTAGGTCCGGAAACTGAAAGCTTTTCTGCTGAACGAGCCTTAAATCTTTCGAACTCCAAAGCTAGTTCCTCATTCGATGGGAAAGAGTCAGGTTTGGGACCGGGGATCTCTGATAGAATTGCAGTTTCAGCACTGGTAGAACTTGGTGGCTTTCCAGTTCCAATATTGGGAACTTCGGATTGTTTTGCAGGTTCAGTATTGGGAACTGTCGATAGCTCTGTATTCCCTACATTGAGAACTTCTGATGGTTTTTCGGTTCGAGTACTGGGAATTTCTGGTAGCTCTGCAGTTCCAGCACTGGTAACTTCTGATGGCTTTGCAGGTTCAGTTCTGATAACTTCTGATGGCTTTGTAGATTCAGTTCTGGTAACTTCTGATGCTTTTTTGGGTTCAGAGTCAATTACTTCCAATGACTTGTCGGGCTGAAGATCTAAAGGTTTTGGACGCTTCGATCGTTTTGCTTCAGATTCCTCATCCCTCTTTCTTTTCTTAGACTTCTCATCTTCAGCAGCGGCGGCAGCAGTAGCAGCTTCAACATTTGCAGCCTCTTCCCCAACCATAGCTTGCAAATTCTTTCTCCTCTCGGCAAGTACCTCAATCCATGTTCCCTTTCGACTTACCAATAAATTCGAGTCACGAAGTTTTTCGGATTTCACCAGTACAACGAGTGTCTTCTTGCGAGCAAGCGTTCTCCCTTCCTTCGCATCAAGAGGATTGATGTAGACACCATCGATTCCAGCTTTCCGTTTCTTATCATCTTCTTCCCTAAGTAGATCCTCGTATGAAGTATAGAGAGGTTCGCGATGTCTTCGAAGTTTGGATGGTGTAGTAGAAACCACAGATTTACCAGGCTTGGCAGTTGTAGGTTCAGGTTCAGGTTCAGGTTCAGGTTCAGGTGATGAAACTTGAGTAGGGGTGAAGAATTGTCGAGGTTTTGGCTGTCTACGAGATGTGCGGAGTCCTGACTCGGTTATGTGAAGTCCTGCATCGGCTGTTTCTTCGGAATGAACCTCTGGAGGCGTTTCGTTGATAGGTCCTTTGTGTTTGATAGTCGGTCCTTTCGGACGACCACGCTTTTTCGGTGGAGGTTTTGGAGTTTGAAATTGTTCTAATTCTGCAAGTGACGAGAAGCTCATATTTGCAGGATATTCCGGAGAACTCGCCTCTACTGCTTGACTGCTAGTGCTAAGCCCATGACCGGAGCCTTTTGGGCGGCCTCGTTTACGCTGCTGTCCTGGCACAGGTCCATGGCGAGTGATATCTGGTGCAAAATAATCAATCCCATCTGCATTATTATCAAGTGAGGAGATAGATGCTTGAGCATCTTTACCAGGGGTGTTTTTCGACAGATCGGATTGATATTGGTATCCAACGATGGGCGTAGATCGAACATTCACGGGTAACTGTACTTTTGCTGGATGTTCCGGGATTTCGATGTTCATCTCAATAGGTGGTTGACCATTAGCGGAGACATTTGTATCTGTAAATTGAGCTGATGAGCCTGGGCGTAGATCTTGAGGATTAATCATGGTAGTAGGTTGATTAGTGTGTGATCTATGATCACTCTTGGGTATATGAGTACTCTCGACAGGGGAAACTCCAGTCATTTCGACATCCTTGGCTACATTGTTTCTTTGCGAGGGAGGTGCAAGATTAGGAGTGTGAAAGTTATCTGCCTCAACGCGTGCTGCATTCAAAAGACTTTGTAATCTCCTCTGTGAACCTTGACTACCTCGTGGATCATCGGCAATCTTGTATGATTTTTTGTTGCCAGACCTTGGCTCAGGAGATGGGCCTGCCCTTGTGAATGATGAACCCTTTCCGACGGGAATAAATTGCTCTTTTGGCTCCGGCGATCGTTGAATCGGAGTTGTTACGTCTGCAATAACTGACCCGAAGGAATCAATGGGCTTCTCAGACTGCGCAGTCCTACCGTTGCCATCCGTTGCCCCCTTTCCTGGCTCCTTCTCACTGCGTCTTCCCACAGCCGCCTCGATCATTTCCACGTCAACCGACTGTGCTTGAACTGAGACCTTCCTAACTCCATAACCCAATGCCAGCGTATCACACAGTTCCAAAGTCCTCATCACCCCGACCTCTTCCTCGGAACCCTGTACACTAACATCATATCTCCTCACGAAAGCGTGCCAAATCTCATCTTTGACCTGTTGATTTGCCGCAACTTCTTCACTGAGGTTTTCGTCAATTCTCTCAGAAAGATCTTGAATAGTAATTCCTAGAATACTTCATCAGTAAACTCTCCATCTTTCTCTTTCGCTATAATGGAGGGGTGAAAGGGATTTCATTGGTCGATCACACGTGATAGATACATCCATTCACATTGGCTTCTCTCGGAAAGACTCCAAAAAAGATAAAGATGGAAGAATGCCCCGCTCTCTTAAATGCGACTCCAGACCACTGAACCATCGTGACATTTTTGATGGTCGAAACCAATCTGCTTCTTCATAGAGAGAGAGTATATCGACAACCCCAGTCATCAAACCTTCAGTTATCAAATCTCCAGTCATCAAACCTCCAATCATCAAACGAACCTCCATTGGAAAGAAATATAGAATTAACTTTGACGAGGCTGAAACTTTTAAGAATTAAAAAATTGACTTACCCTGCTCTCTAAAGCTCTTCACGAATTGATAAAGCCAATCCATCATTTCCTCTTTTCCTTTTGGCATTGTGTGAATATATCGACTCTCATAGTTTTATGTAGTAAATGCGATTAATGAAAGCCTTATAGGTAAATTTGTGACATATTGAGGTTGTAAATGTTGAAGTTGTTAGAATGATTTTTGCGACATATAGAGGCTGGAAGCTTTAAATTTTTAAGCGGGTAATGCGGGGTCTTGATAGCCTTATTTTGCTTGATGCATGAGTTAGTCATGACAGATGATTGGTTAAAGTGAATGGATTCAATAAGGCTATGATCGTGGCCTCGGCAAATGTAATTATTTGAATTGAATAGCAAAATAGTGTTATCACTCAATGACTACAACATTTCTATGTGAAGAATAAGGGTTCCATAAGATTATTTCTTATTATCTATAGTTGAAGACTGTAATGGATGTTCCATTTGGGGTATATATATATTACTGAGACTTGGCTTTCTCCTTGTGATCCTTCATTATTTGTCTATACGACTCAACAATGGTCTGCCTCACTTCACCCAACTCTTCTCTCCTCCTCAAACTTCCAGATGCCTTGGGTACATCGGAGACTTCTCCCTTCGCTCCTCGAAGCTCCTTGAATTTGGCTTTAGGAAGCTTTGTGAATGTCGGCGGAGCTTTTACCACATCATGTAACCCAGCCTTCACCTCACCTCTGTTCTTGGCAATTATTGCCCAAGGATCTTCGTTCCCATCATCAATTTCCCCTACCACCTTCTTCTTCTTCTTCTTATTCTTGCTAGTCTTTCCATCTGCAACTATATCGGATTTCCACTGCATTTGTCCCTTTTCATCTACCTCCATATCATCCTCTTCCCTTAGCTCGGCTTCCTCTTGTCGTTTATCCTGAATCCTCTTTTCATCTTCCCTCCATTCATCGTACATTCGATGCATCTTTTTCTCCGTCTTCGTACGTCCCTGCTTCAACCCTAAGGGATCTTTACCACCTTTGGCACTTTTGTGAATCAATCCTCCAACCGGTAATGCGGCATCAACTCTCGCTGAAAACTCCCACATCTTTTCTCCTGGTCTGATCTTGGGAACTTCTATCTCTGGCTCCTTTTTTGTTGGCACATTCTTTTTTCTTGGATCATCGTCATCGTCGTTAATCTTCGCCTTTTTGACTTTTGGCTTCTTCACACCATCATCTAATCCTTTAGGTAATTTCTGTCCGGACTTGAAAGCCATAAGCCTTGCAAATGCCTTAGGTGTATCATCTTCCGCATTGGTGTTTCTCTTTCTCTTCTGGTTCTTCCGCGTGGGGTTCAATTCGGTAGTGAAAATTCCATTTGCATTACTTGATTTAGAAACAGATAGAGGTTTTGCGATCGTGGTGGGTGGTAGGTTGATACTATGAGAGATATCATGTTAATTGATGGATCTGCTGGTTGATACAAGAGGTCATACGTAGATTTATCCTCTCCTCCTTTGCGAGTGTGTTTGTGAGGCATATTTGATGGAATTCGGCAATGCTTTAGTACTATCGTTGTCGTTCAAAATTTCTATTATGTTTGCTCTGCGCGAAGTTGGTGGAATTAAGTTTTTTCTGCCACAAAGTTTTGGGCGGTGAGACGTTTGATCTTGGCACTGATATTCGCACAAAGGGTAAGCAAGATCTCCTTCAGCCAACTAGGAACATGAGAATTGTATCATTAAATCAAGAACAAATTAGAATTAAATCAGATAATCAATAGTTTCATTCTTTTGAAGTTATCGACTTATACCATGAAGTATTGTGGCATTTTACCATATAAGATCATCATGTCACTCCCACTTTTTACTCAACTCTTGAGGAAATCATCGAAGATCTCGAAGCATTCTTGACGTTGGCTTGAAGCACGTGCCCAGTGAATGCGGCACAAGTTGTTCCCTGATGGGTCTAGATTCCTTCAAATGGGATGAAGGCGTCGAAGGTGTGCTTAATCCATAGAGAATGCTTGGATACAACACTGAAAACAGAATTATATCGGGGGAGACGGTGAATCGTAGTTGACATGATTGATTGATCACTTATTCCTGAATATCTTATGATGACTTCCTATTGTTGTTATTATTATTCCTCTTTCTCCTGCCGGTATCCTCTTTAATCCGTCAGCAGTGACAATTTCTCTCCATCGACTCCATTGAGTGCACGGAACCGTCGGCCTGGAGGGCCTTTTTGAATCAATACCAAACATTAAAACCTCCTCATACTCATAATTTGATATCGGAACCTCGTCCAAGCAACTTATTCAGACTCGAAACACAACTAGTTTTGCTTTCTCCCCAAAGAAAACGGAATTGATTTAAACTTCAAACTCTCCCCTCTGAAAGATAGCGGATTGAAAATCTCTGCCAAGACTCTTGGTATTCGACTTCAATCGATAAGACGAGAACTACCGGTATCAATAACGGGGAAAAGATGTCCCAACTACCATCAAGCCTCCATTGCACAGAAAATACTGAACGATATGATGAAATAACGAAAGCGATAAATAGCTCCCTGCGAGATTCTCACGATGACGGTATCCAAGCGTCAAATCACTCCTCTAGTTCCTCCATTCGACTTCATTCCCCTATGGAGAAACCAAGGAAACCAAAAGATTCTTTCGAGTATTCGGATTCACCTACTCTTGAAGATGGAATCATGTCTAGATCCAGAAGTACAAGTCGAACGAGTAGGACGAGACATTGGTGGAACAAAATGGCTGCAAAGAGTAGGAGGAAACAATCTTTCAATGAGATGGAGATGTTTGAGGATGTCGACACAGATGCAAATACAGAGATTGGAGATGGGTTATTGACAGGTTTACATAAAATAACTAGACGGCAGAGGAAGAAGAATGGAATCTTCAATTATTTTGTCTTCGGAGGCATAAGTGGTCTAGGTATATTGTGAGTTCCGCAAGCACCACCTACACCGAGGAACTCGGTGCTAATTCTCCCTAGATCAATCCTTCTTCTCATAAACCTCTTACTCGGAGCTGCAACATTACTTTGGGCTCATGATATCGACAATGTTCTGAAAAATTGGGGAAAATCTGGGACAGGCACAGAAGATCTGGCATGGTATCCCACCGATTTCACACGAGACATAAACCCTATTCCTTGTCATTCTCACAATGATTATTGGCGACGGGTACCATTATTTGATGCATTACGAGCAGGATGCCTAGGGGTAGAAGCAGACGTATGGCTTTTCGATGATGATTTATATGTTGGACACAATACTGCATCCTTACAACGAAATCGAACCTTTCAATCTCTATACATTAACCCCCTTGTCGATATTCTCGAACGACAAAATCCAATCACTGATTTTTACAACGGTACCAGCCATGGAGTTTTTGATGCAGATGGTGGGAAATCCCTAATTCTTCTGGTTGATGTGAAGACCGGCGGAGCAGAAACATGGCAATGGGTCCTCGACCAACTGGAACCACTACGGAAACATGGATGGCTTTCTTACATCGAAAATGATACTTTACACACTCGACCCATTACAGTTGTTGGAACCGGGAATACACCGTTCGATGTTCTTACCAAAAATTCAACCTATCGCGACGCCTTTTTCGATGCACCCCTTGATACAATGTGGGAACCTAGACATGTCACTGAAGAAATGAAAGATTGGCCTAAATTTTATGATGGGGCACCTGGGGAAGGATTATATGAAGGCGAAGGAAATGCAGAGGAATTTGTTCCTGGAACATCTGCCTCGAGTAATTCACCAGCCATACCTGCCAGAACAGCAATTCCAATGCCCCACCAACATTCAAATAAGGGGCAGGGTATGTCTGGTGTATCATCTGATACCGATTTTAATTCACTAAACTCATATTACGCATCGGTTTCTTTCAATAAAGCAGTCGGTAGAATCTGGAGAGGCAGATTAAGTCCTAGACAAATGAAGATCATCCGTGGACAAATTAGAGGCGCACATAGAAGGGGACTCAAAGTTAGATATTGGGACTTACCAAGCTGGCCTATTGGATTAAGAAATCATGTTTGGGATGTTCTTGTGAAAGAAGATGTTGATTACTTGAATGTTGATGATTTACGTGCGGCGGCGAAACAAGTTTGGTGAAAGGTGTTAGTGGCTTTCGTTTGTGCGTATACGGAGTTCGTGTTTGGCATGTTCATATGGTGGTGTTTTGATGATTATCGGTCTGGTGTTTGAATATTAGCATTGGGGTATGTGTAAAAGAGGTTGCATGTTACATATATGGTGTTTTTGTTGTATTAGCATTGGGTATACCTTTGAAAGCGAATTGATGTGCATAAATATCAGTATAGGATTGTAAACGAATGGGTTACTGTAGAAAGAATTACTCGAGTGTGATATTTATATTTTATGGATAGTGCATTCGGAGAAGGGGGGAAACTATTGCTATTCTCGAGACAGACTTTGATGTCTGATTTTCGTTCTCTTTTTTTTGGTTCAACTTCTGTCATTTCTTGATCTGCGTATATATCGATGTCAATTTTGGGTTCTTGCACCATTTTGTAAGATGCTTCAATATTCTATCAGGCTGTTGATGGATAGTTGTTCTTCAAATCACAGAATCAACTTGAGAGGGGGTAAAAAGCAACCAAGCGAAATTCTACATTACTCGAGTACTTGTTCAACTTGGTTGTAGAATCAACCACTACCCACCCACCTTATTTGTATTCAAAAGTGCAATCGCATTATCTCACCTTGAGAGTTCTATGTAGAAGTTTCAATCCATGTGCCACATATCCATCCAATGATGGATATCAAGTGTTCGTCTATATGTAGTCGCTTTGTGTCATCTCTACTACTCGAGTAGATAGCATCTGACAGGCAAATGTTACGTCTTATATGATTACGGCAACCCTAATACTCAAATAAAGAACTGTGGTAGTCTGAAGTCATGCATGGTAAATGGTAACGGCAGTTAAGACAACCTTGTGTCGTCATCATGATTGTGTATCAATAACTACAAATGAAAAATCATCTCATCAGAAGATAAAAAACCCACCACTTCATCACAAAAACTTCATCACAAAAGCGCATCACAAAGGTATCATTACGCACTCACAAAGGTGTTGTGATTGAGCATCATTTTCCTCCGATTCATAATCATAACTAGCAAAAGTCCTGAACTACCGGTATGCCCGAAAAGCATATATCTTGTTCCTCTTAAGGCAACCTTCTCCATCCGGAGGTATTGTGGTTGTGTCCCTTCAGGGATCACTCAATTAACTCTTCAGGGTTTAACATCACTATCACCCCCTACAACCCTTCTATTTAATACCTCTTCAACGCTTTATCTCATTTATTCCTATGACCACGTTCTATCTGTGGCCTCAAACGAAGTGCCGATCTCCAATGAATGAGAATATACAGTATCCATCCATTGTATCTCTAATGTGATTGAATTGATACTCGTCGCTTTTCTCTCCACAACTTCAACCGGTGTTCTGAATTTGGCTTGATTATGAAGTTGGTTGTGTGTTTAAGGTATGGGCGAGGAAAAGTGTTAAGTCGTATGCTTTCATCCAATGACTCGTTGCTGTTGATGGGCACTTTTCAATCTTTGACATTAGTTCTTATATACCGATACCTCAGGCTTGAGCTTTTCGTATATAACGATTCTCTACTTCCCTCTTTATACAATATTCAAATATAAATAAACTATATTTGAATTTGAATAAACGATGTTTAGATTTAAATAAACTATAATCAAATCTAAATAATCTATGTTTGAATTATTCTCCTAGATTTTCTTTCTTTTTTTCTACTCTCTCTCTCTCTCTCTCTATCTTTCTTTACACTCATATTTATAATCTATAATAAAAATTCACTACTTGAGTATTCCAATTCCCAGATTTTTCTATCCAGAAAAAGTATATAGTCTAGGTTTCCTAGTATGAGCTAAGAAAATTAACTCCAAAGAAATAGTTGCGACACTAGTAATCCATGGGGAAAAGATACTATGATTTCCTACTCGAATGTATGCGGCTTCTTTTCTCCTCACGAGGGGGGTTAGAAGTTAAGCATAATCTGAAAATGCTTGATATCGTTGTTGATAAATAATAGTGTATATTCATTTTCATAATCCGAAATAATACCACTGGCTTTTATTTTCATTGTCGTTTATCCCTACAGTACATGTTGTCATTCTCGAAATATTGACGTCTTTCACTCTATCTCCGTCAACATATCGAAAATTGAGTTGCTTCCCTGGTAAAGTATAAAGTCGTTTCCCCGCAACATTTCCTTAACCCCTGAATACTATTCGGTTAACTCTGATTGACTTGTATGAATATATCAAGACAAGTATCTCGTATTGATGAATGTAGGAAATGGATAGATAAAACCATTATGTGTGTATTGGCAAAGTATATGGAGTAGGAACTGATACTATTAAAAATCATGAAGTACTACTTGCTACCTTTCAGTCGTGACAATAATGCAACTGTTAATCACGTAAAGGACATCAAAAACCCCAAAACCTTATACAAAGCTCAGTCTCTCCAATAAACTTTCCAATTGTCCTTTTTAAATACAAGAAAATTGCATCCCAGGGTATATATCTATCGCTAGTGGTAACGCCGGCATAAATACTCACCCAAACTCCCAAAATCAATAGCCAGCCCGCTTAACACGAGCCGGAATAACACGACCACCAATAGTCTCCTCCTCTCCACCTAATTCCCAAATACGCTGCCACGCAGACTCTACAGTCAAAGGTGCATCAGCCTCAACTCCCGAGGAAGTCTCAGTGTTTCCCTCTTCCTCCTCTCCATCGTAAAATTCAACCTCGGGTTCACGAATCTTTGGTGGGCGTCCGACACGTCCAGTTCCAATACGTCCAATTGGACGAGGTGGTGCTAATTCCCCAGTAAAGATGTCCTTGACTTGTAGTTTGGTGAGGCCCATAACTGGAAGGGCGCTACTCTTTTCTCCATGATTTCGACGTATGAGGTAAAGACCCTCGGCCTTGTTCATGTAATCTTGCCATTGAGCGTCGGTAATCACCTGCTTGGTGTAAGGTGGGTATTGGGTACGACTCATTTCTCGAAGTTCATTGATGAGCTTTGATCCCGTAAAGAGATTAGGGTGACGTTCCTCCAAGAGATCTGCCAGAACACCGCCGATTCTGTAGACAAGGCACTTTGCAATGCGAGGTCCGGCACTCGGATCACCTTGGTCGGGGATTTTTGTCTTTATGAAGAGCTTGTTCCAGAGTAGACTGGGAGTGATCTTCTTGACGAGAGTGCCACCTTCAAGTTCCTCGGTAATCAAGGATATCAGCATATCCAAATGATTGGACTGTGTGTCGCTCCTATCGCTAGTGACAAGAGGGAGATCTGGAATAACAGGAAGGTCGACAGTTATTGCCTCTGGTTCCGGCAGGGTGTATGTATTGGCTCTTGTGTAAGCAGTCTACTAGAGTTAGTTTTGTAAGAGTGAAATATACGACGAAGATACGTACAGGACATTCTTTCATCAGAAGGTTGTAGATTTCTGTGTTGAGCCATTTCATGCCCCTGGTTTCTCTTTCTACACAGACCTCTTCACGAAAAGCAGACAAGAGGAAGAATGCATTTGCATCTTTAGTCAAAACTTCAACAACACCGTCTTGTAACAGCCCACGACCATCCTCACGAGCATACTATGATATGTAATCAGCCTTTGAAGTATAGATGGATCCAATTCAAACTTACTTCCCAACAAAGTTCAATTAGGTCATCCTTCGACTCCCCAGCAAGTACACGCTCGTAGTAATCGGTAACAAAGTGCTTCAGCTCTGCACTTTCTACCATGGTGGTGAAGTGTGCTACATATTTTTGAGAAGGCTTAAGCTCAACCCAGTACTTGGTTGTAGTGTCTTGAACGTAAAGAATGATAGCACCAAGTTCATCTCTCTCGTAAGAGAACATTTGGAATTCAACTTGACATTGTGTACCATTTGGTCTCTTGACTATTAGGAGATTAGATGTTGGGTTGTTTAAGAAGAGTAGTGGAAGAAATCAGATCGAAACTTACATTTATATCTTTCCGCATTATCTACCCAGAGTGTACCCTCAGCACGCAATTGCAGTCCAGCGGAAGAATCGAATACATTGGCAATGGTTCCATTTCTCTGATAGACAATTGTATCCTGAAGAACGAGCTTTGGTTCATCGTCAAGATCCATATTATCGACATTCTGTTCCGAAGAGTTGTTGCTTTGGTATTGTGTAGCATCAGGTGTGTCAAGCATTGCAGATGCAAGAGCATTTGTAGCTTCGTTCATGGTTTTATACTTTTAAGGTTTCAACGAAATGAGGAAGAATTGCAAGAGCTTCTCGCTCTCGTGATAGGAAATGCTCGTTGACTCTTGATACCAGATGAAAAAAGTACTCTTCATCAAAGGTACATTTACGTGTAATGGGACCAGGTGCAACGGTTCTTTTTGTATCATTCGAAGTCGAGTTCATGATCAAGCTCATGGTGAAGCTCAACTTAAGAAGCAGACATACTAGGTATTTTATAATCGGTCAAATTATTCTCCGGGATTGTTGTTGTGGTTGTTCCAGTTCCGTGATCAATCTCCACCATTACAACTAAGATCACATGCTGATAAGAATTCCTTATCAGTTCCACAAGCAACTTCAAGCTTTCGCAAAAAAAGCTGGAGAATCTAAACTTCACTCCACTACAACGACTAAACATCTACTACCACCCATTGAAAACATATCACCAACAGATATTCCGGATGTCCTGGTGGAAAATGACGAAAGGAAAGGTTATGGAAGGTGTATTCGGTATGCATACACCCAATCCATGTGTAATTGGTATCAATAATTGATAAAAACCCACAGCCATTAATAAACCCAGCGGTCGTTCTTCCGCCCAAATCGTTCGCGATCTTCAATATCACTTTAATCCCTCACAATTATTTGCTCCATGGATCGAAATAGAAACCAAAGCTCGAATTGCTGAAAATCATAACCAGAAACAGCGACGCAAGAGAACGAATAAGAATGTTCAGGTCAAGATTGGTCATGGAGGAACTTTAGATCCATTGGCTACTGGAGTACTCATTGCTGGTATTGGAAAGGGCACAAAAGAGTTAGGGAATTTCCTTCTCTGTACAAAGACTTATGACACAGTTGTATTGTTCGGAGCCGCGACCGATACATACGATAAAGATGGGAAACTCTTGAAGAGGGCACCATATGAACATATCACACGAGACATGGTCGAAAAAGGACTTGCCAAATACAGAGGAAAGTTTATGCAGCTTCCACCACTATTCTCCGCTTTGAAGATGAACGGTAAGCCTCTTTACGAATATGCGCGCGAAGGAAAGGAAATACCCAAGGAGATTGCGAGGAGACAGGTTGATGTTTCAGAATTGGAATTATTGGAATGGTATGAAGGTGATGAACATGAATGGAAAGCACCGACTGAAGAAGCGGGTTATGCGGAGGTGAACGTTGCGGCCAAGCTTTGGAAACAGGAGAGGGCTGAACCGGCGTCTAATAAGAAAGAGATTGAGAATAAGAGGGCGTTGGAGGATTTTGAGAGCCGAAAGAGAAAGATGGGTAATGACCAAGATGAATTGGTGTTGGAAAGGCCAGTCAAAAAAGCAAAGGAGGGGAGTGAGGAGGATAATCAGGATGCGATGATGTCGGGAGGTCTCTTTTCCGATAAAACGCCAGTGGAAGATCAACCAATTCCTTCGAAAGAACAAGTTAAGAAAGGACCTCCAGCGGTGAAAATCCGCATGACTGTATCATCTGGTTTCTATGTTCGATCATTATGCCATGATCTAGGTGCAGATCTGGGATCAGCGGGATTGATGACGAGCTTGGTTAGGGTCAGACAGGGACAATTTGAATTGGGGAAGAATGTTTTGGAGTATGAGGATTTGGCAAAGGGAGAGGAAGTTTGGGGACCACAAGTTGATAAGTATTTGAATGAGTGGAATGGTGAGGAGGAGTCTTCTAAGGAAAGTACGGAGACGGCTACAGAGCCACCTGCAGCTGTAGAAGAAATTCCTAGTGTGGAGACTGAGATGAAGGTGGATGGCGAGGAGGTCAAGAAGGAGATGGAGAGTGTAGAGGTTGAGAAGGAGATCGAGAGTGCAGAGATTGAGGAGGTTGAGCGTGCAGAGGTTGAGAACAAGATCGAGAGTCCAGAGATTATCAAGGAAGCCGAGGTCGAAATCGAGGATGTCGAAATGAAGGAAAATAATACCGAGGCATAGAGGACATGACGAGGGGCGGGCTAGGCTAGCATTGCCAAATAAATCCAGTTTGAGGGCGTGATCGGCGTCTTGCTTCAAAGACAAAGGTCGAATCGGATATCTTATGAGATATATATTGGCGTCCGTGCAATAGCTTCATCAATTGTATTATACGAGCATCTCAAGAGAAATACAATAGCCCTGGTTAGCGACAGAGGCAAAATATAATTGCTATTGATATAAATTTCAAAGTTTTTTCACGTCAGAATGGCTTTTACTAGGTACAAACTACTCACTCACACCAAGCCGCCCATTTACTTGTTCTTTCCATCATCCACATCTCCATCTTCATTCCCATACATACCCAAATACGTAGCCCTCAACCTCCCCATCAAATGTTCATCCGCCGTAATTCTCTCCCCTTTCTTCCTTTCCCCCTCTCCATTCTCCTCCCCAAATCTCTTGACCCGTTCACTGGGCACACTTTCCAACACTGTCGAACCTACTGGATGACAGAAATAGGCAATACTATATCGATCTGCTATTTCTGATGGGAGGATTGATTTGGGAAATATTACGCGGTGGACGGTGGATACTAGGAAGTTGTTGGTCCAGTGGGAGAGGAGATCGCCTATGTTTACGACTGGGATTGGGGGGTTAGTATTGGTTTAGAAAGTAAAGATTTTACGGGAAACGTGTACGGATAGGGTAGATGATATGGAAGGTAAAACGTGGAGTGGGAGTGTGAATGAGGGGAGTGTGAACGAAAGAATGGAATGTACTTACGAATTGGAGGGGAGGGATCAGATTCCGTCGGAGGGGGTTGAATAGGAACAGGGGTCCATTCTGGCTCGGAAGTGGAGGAAGGTGGGAGAATTTCGAGACCTGGCTGAGAGGGTCGTTCTAAAGTGAAGACAAGGGTTTAGATGGGGTATCCAATATCTGGATTGACAGTGGAATGACATACGGAAAAGAAGAGTAATAGATCCATAATCCGAATGCGCACCAGCTCGGATATCAACATCGGGTTGATAATCGGAATCTGGAGGCAAGGAAGGGTAATAGAGGAGGCGGAGGACACATCCTGTGGTACCGCCGTGATGACGGGAGGAAAACCAGGTGGAGCCGCCGGATGCGGGGTCAATCTATGTATAGTTAGTTTGTGTTGGAATAATGTAATGGGGGGGGGGGGGGGGCAAGTAACCTCGAGACCAATAGCGAAAAGCGTAAGCAGTTTGAGACAAAGTTTATGACAGTAGAGTTGAAACTCGTTGAGCTCTGTTTCGTGTGGAGATAACGACGGTGGGAGAGGTTGTTCAGCTTTTCCATCCACAAAGTCGCCTAAATTGAATGCTCTGGAGGATAGGAGTTAGTTACAATGATGCATCGAGGAAAACTTAGGTAGAGACGAGGTACTCTTTGAAATCTCCAACCTGTAACTTTATTAGCCTTAAAATCATATATTAACCATCATGATAAGAACAAACCCTTTGGTTCTTTCCATCTAGACTCTCGGTATGCATCCCAGACCATCCCCTATTCTAACCACTCATCAGCTCTTATCCTCCGCGATAGAAATCAGAACTATTCCATGACACATACATTCTCCGTAATTTTGCATGCTTGTTTCTCCTCAATTGGAGAAGAAAAGAACTTCCGAGACTACTTGTTTGTATTAGCCATCAGTTATGAAAATGAATCGATGGAACTGTACCAGCTCAAAGGTCCTCTCAATGGCATCGACAGGGATATCTTTCCCCAGATTTCTTATATAAACGAAGCCAAAGGTTGATGCAGCATCCACAAGCTGTTTAGCAACTTCTGCATTTTCAAGTACTGAACCTGATATATCGATAACTGGTATACTGCCTTTATCAGTAGACGACATGATTCTTTTTCTTAGGGTGGGATGAATAGTATGGAATGAAGGGCTCATGTAAATGTTTCCGATAAGAATTGCTTAGATCGACGACCTTATCGTGAAATACACGTGACTATTCCAAAAGACTTTATGGTAATGAGGCTCTGCTTTACGTAACGCGCCTCGTCTAGGCTTGATCCGGTTATTATTTGGAGCTTGGATACTTTTTGATACAAGTTTTGAACTTCTAACCTCGTAAATAACCTTTTCTACCCAAGTACTTTATCTTACCTACCTAGTTACCAGAAATAGTAATTTTGGACAACACCATCCCATCAATCTATCATATACATTCACTTCAAATCTTTTTGAACTTTTGCATACTAGGTACACACACCTGACTCTGATATACCCTTCATTACCATTACCATTACCATTTACCTTTACACTCCCATATAACTTCATCTCACTTACTCTAGACCAACGTCATTGATCTCACAAACGCCCAACGTTCCTTCCTACAAATACTCCTCCAATCTTGTCCAGACGGGCTACGACTACGAACACGCGATTTGGTATCTTTCGTTTTTGGAAGTAACTTGGAAATCGAATCATAATTAGGAGGAACTATCTGATAGTGAATATAGCATTCAATATTAAGTTGTCAAGATGCCTCGTAAGTTCCCATTTCCTTCTCAACCAACCTCAACCTCAACTCCAACTTCATCCGCAATCGCAACGCAACGCACGCAACTTCAACTTCAACTTCAACTTCAGATCCAACTTCCACGTTCTTAGAAACCTCCGCTTCGAGAAATCAAAATCATGGCAGAAATGGTGGTCGAAAACGAATCAAGCCTACAGGGGGAGGTTAGTCCTTCGGCTTCGATAGTGACCAATCCCTTCGAGAATAGTCTCGATCATCGAGGTTCGCCGTCGCTATCGGCCACTGAGGTGGTTCACAACGAATACGACTACATAGAATACATTTCGGACTATTGGACTGATTTTACATATTTAGTAAATTCTGGCGACGCATACATTGATGCTGGAGTAGTGTAAGCTTTCAATTAATTTGCAGGAAGTACACTGGCTAATTTGCTACAAACAGTACTATGTCACTCTCCGAATTAGTGAACGCGAAAATTGGTGTTGAAGCTACGGCATACCTTGCAAATCTCCTGAAAGGCTCTGCCGATGAACCTCTACTTGCAGCTTTGGGTGGAGATCCCATGGCATTGAAATTACACATCGAGCATGATTTAAACAATTGGAAGGAAAATGACATGGAACCATACTTTGTGTTTGAGGGTCAATCAATTGTTGGCAAAAAGGAGATGACCATGCGTAGTCTGAAGGTTGCCATACCCGAAAGAGAACAAGCGTGGGCTTTATATAACGATGGCAACCCTACAGATGCTGTCGCGGCTTTCCGCAAAGCTGGTGAGTGTCTGGGGTTCTCAAGTGATGTCGTTCATATATACTAACTGGAAGTAGGCGCCATTCAAATCACAGACTTATACCATATCTTACAAGAAGTTCTTACTGCAAGAAACTTGGAGTACATGACTGCTCCTTTTAGTGCTTGTGCTCAGCTCGCCGCCCTCGATCGTCATGACGAGCAATACATTGATGGAATTATGGGCTCTCAAGAATTACTTCTCTATGACATTTGGGATTCTGTCATTTACCCACCCACCCTGACAGATTGGGACAATAAAGCGTTCAGAGGGGTCGTCAGATCAGAATTACTCAAAAAGCTCAACGTCGCATCAGATATGCTTTCCGATGCATTATTGATGACCGGAACATCATTCTTACCACCCTTCCCTCCACTCCAAGACCATACCATCATCAGTCGTCAACCTTATAACGTTGGTGATGCTTTCAATCTTCTCAGGACGTCGGAAAAGTCGGTTAGTGCGACTTGCGCAGCTTTCAGTGATATCTTAAATGTACGAGACCGAGATTGGCTTGATAAGTATCGTAAGGCAAAGATGGGTATCAAGCATTGCGTTACCGTAGCCACAGACGGAAGCATTCACATCAGGGAATTCGATCACCTGACTGGCGACAATCATCAATATCTTGGTTTACAACTACCCGCAGAGTTATACTCCTACCTTCAGAAGGACGTTATCGGTCCACGTCTCATGAATACCTTCAACTCTCTCGAATATCATGTTCTTCCAACCCTCGATGGTTTTGTATCAGATGAGTATCGAAAGTTGATTACAGAATCTCTTCTACCACTCAAGGAAATTTCTGCAGCTCTTATTGCCCCTCGAATGCATCGGGGCTTCCTCTACAAAGATATTACCATGCGCCTATGGTTTGACGATAACAACAAGCCAACATTAAATCATAAACGCTTACAACCACAGACAAATGATTTAGTTGACTTGTGGGGTGTTAAGGATTCCGACTTGAAGAAATACGAAACTAAATCTATGCAAGCAGGAAAGATATCTTTTGCCGCCATATCATTGCTTGACAACAAAGATCTCCCTGCCAAAACCATTGGCAAATCAAAGCCTACAAATCTCTCATCAAAGTCAGAAATTCTATCCAATTCGTTATGGCGTTTACTTCATCTCAGAGGTTATGTCAATGATCAACATGTTTTGACTAATTGGGGAAAAGCATTAGCCACCACGTTAAAGGCCATCCAACCTATCTCCGAAAAATTCCAGGATGCTCACCTCATCGAAGAAGCAGCATTTATGGCATTCGAACTCATTCGTTTTGAAAATCTTCACACCCGCGAGCGTCATCCTGAACTAATTGGAGGGCCACTGCGAGGTCATGAAGAAGACAAAGCAAATTGTATCCTCATCAGTCGAGCCGCGTGTCTTCTTAAGATTAGACATTCGCCCATCGGGTATACTGGTCCTTTGAGCAAGAATTTCCTCTCATATCATTCAATTATCAAATCTATTAGGGATACAGACAGAGATTTAATCGAAGCCATCGTTGCTTCGATGCTCTTGAGTGGTCAAGTTGTTAGGGATGTCAAACAATATCAAGGTCTAGGTCGCAGGTATGTATCATCTCGTTCTTCTATCTCCTACTTGCCAAATGGCCAACTCACTGACATTTCTTAAAATAGTCTCCCATTCGATACCGATATCGACGTAGCTTTCGGAATAGCCGTTAAAACCTACTTGGACGACTATATCAAAGCTGATCTATCTAAGGAGGACAAGCAGATAATGAAGAGTGCATATAGTGCAACATATCTTCCTCATGCAATCAATTTCGTAGAAGATCTTGATGTTGCATTTGGTTTCTTTGATGCATTACATATGGGAGTGAAGACCTTATCAGACAAGGAGATGAATGATGAGGACAAAAAGACATGGGATGATGCTAAAGCATATCTCGATCTGAGAAGATAAATAAAGGAAGAGGGGTTGGGCGGCAGTGATACAATTCTGGCTGGATGTGATATATGTGGAGAAGGGATGGGTTATGGATATCATGATAGATGAGATCATGGGAAATTAAATGGTTGGGAAGGAATGGACGGCTGAATATGGTATATCATAATCTATGATGTGCTGGTTAATCTGGTGTACATGTACCTTCTCGCATATTGCTATAGGTATAGATCCTAGTCGAGAGGGGGAAGGAGAACAGCCTGAGTAGGTAGAAGCTAGAAGAATACACTGTCGTCAACCCCGTATCGTCTTGCTTATCACTCCTTTGTAGTCTCAATCTGTCAAGTCATTGGTTTTTATTCTTAACCCCGAATTGTTCGAGCTTCACTTCAACATCCCCATCCACATCCTTCATTACTCACAATCATCTCAATTCCAAAAGAAAGAACGACGAAGAAGATAATGTGACGTGCGAATGCGTGACCTGAGAAGGAAGATGCAAATAATTTTGGAATTGATTTAGAGGTTTCACTGTGAGTGTTCGAATTTAATTGAGTGTACCAGATACGCCTGCAGATTTAGTGCTATGCATGACCAAATTCCCCATCCATTACCTTAGGGGTATACCATCGCAATGTAAGTTATACATCCCACCCAACTATACAATAACATCTAAATCCCACATTCCATACCCACACTCCTCATCCCAGATCCTTACTTGATCAAAGTTCCACACAGCCCAAAGACCCTCTGCCATCTCTTCCCTTCCCCAGCATCCGCCTTTTCTGGATCTTCTTCAGGCAATTTGATACCGTATTGTTTAATGCAACATTCAAAAGGCTTGTTTTTCGGCTTGATTGCCAGTGGTGATGTTTCTTTTTCACCGCCTTCATTTCCTTTGGAATTTTCACCTGTTTGCGCTAGGGCTGCTTTCTTGGGTTTTTCTTCTTTCTTCTGACGGAACAACTTTTCGTTTTCTTCATCGGTATCTTGAGGTAGACAATTATTAGTCTGCCGGGGGTCGTCTAGCTCGTCGTCGGATTCTGAATCTGTAGTTGAGGGAGCTTCAGGTAGCACTTTTTCGTTCTGTGATTTTCCTCCTTGGGCCTTCTGTAGAAGCATGGCGGACTTTTGCTCTTCCAAATCTCCCCAGAGTTTAAAGAGTGTTTCTTTAACATTGTTGAACATTTCTGGGTTTTCTCGTAGGCTAAATGTGTCTCATTAGCTCTCTATTAGTCAAAGACAAACAAGCGCCGAGAATTAGGTTTCAAGGGACAAGGGACAAGGCAAACATACTTGGAAGCATCGTCCTTAATATTTAACAACGTCTGCGCATCATAATTCCCCACAATAAGAGTAACTCTATCCCTGGGAGCATCTGGATTCGCATCCTCAACCACAAGCGCGAATCTCCATTCCCATTTCCGTGGTACAAACCCTTTTCCCTCACGGTAACTCTGCATGTCTTCTTCAGGACCGACATCTTCGTCACCACTATAATCAGGTAACATGTCGAATTCGCTAATTTTGCTACCCACGGCAAAATCGATGATGTTTGGAGGATAATAGTCTACCACTCGAACGTTGACTTTATAGTGTTTGTTCTCAAATGGTAGGAATATTCCCTCGTACTTAGGGTCGGAGGAGAGGGGTTTGCGTTGAAGGATAGTTGAAAGGGGGACTACAGCCTTTTCGTGACGAGGGGGGTGCAATATTACTATTGAATGATTAGATATGAATATTAAATGGCATGAAGACTTACCATTGTCATTCAGATCGAAAATTTTAGTAACTTTGGTCTCAATTGCAGAAACTTTGGCATCTGGGTTGGCTCGCGCTTCCTTTCTCCGCGCCTTGGAATTCTTCCCGCTTGTTTGTTCATCAGCTTTGCGCTTTTTTTTCGTCCTCGTAATTTCTTCTTGAAATTTTTGTCTGTGAATTTTATGCTTTTTGGTCCAATCAAACTTTCGTTGAACACCCGCTGTCCACCGAGGATCATTATTCTGAGGATCTTCAGATAGTTTCAAAATTTCTACCTGGACTTTACCCGCAAATGCTCCCCGGTCACCACGAAGTTTACCCTCTAATAGATTTGCCTTGCCATAAATGAACTGAACGTTGGTTAAACGGAGCCACTGGCCTTCCTTGACCTTGTCTCGAACGAATTCGGCATGGTTGTCCCATAATGTCAACTGAATGGTCATTTTTCCGAATGGACCTTTCCAATCTTTTGCTTCATCCTTGGATTTGGCTTTTATATAACCGTAATCATCACCATCGCGACCTTCTGTGGCAACATCAGATAGCTCTGGTAGAGTGTAATTGTAGAATTGAGGATGAGCTGTGTAATCGGTGAGGTAAACGGTCACCATATCAAAACCAGCTCCATATATTTTTCTCACCTCACCGATGATGTCATGAAATGACCCTTCCTTGACATCTTTGAGTAGACAATACTTATCCCTAACATTCATAGCTTTGTCTGCTTTTTCCTGGAATTCTTGAGTATTAGGAAGGGCAAGTTCATCGAGATGTTGGTTTGCCCATATCACATACTTGGTCTCAATTGGTTCTGGACGTCGGCATCTAGCCGGTGGTGTTGAGATCCAAGATGCATTGATGATGGGGAAAATGGCTTTAGGAATATTTGCAGCACGAAGTATGTGAAACTCGGTAGTTTTATGAGATATCAACTGAATCTCACCCATGCGCAAATGTGCCTAATAAATTTGTCAATCAACTACTAGATGGTAAGAAATGAAGAGAGAAAATACCTTTGCGTTGCGTATGAGAACAGCATCTTTAGGATTGTGTATCCTTGGCATTTTGTCCTCTGATGCGAAGACACTCATTCTTAAGCCATATTTCTCGAATCGTGATGAGTAATCTTTGATTTGGAAAGAACATTTAGAATCTGAACAAATGGGTTAGTATAGATCACCTAGAAGTTTTGAATCACTCACCTGTTCCCCTAGTTTTGATAGGAGGTTGATAATCCATCACAAATCCTATAACATGGACGAACTGTTTTTTTAAATTTCCATTTGGTAAGATTTCAATACCTTTGATATATTCAACAGTATCGAAACCATAGGGAAGGGCCATTTCGGATATAGGTATAGGTATAGGTATAGGTACAGATACAGGTTTTGCTGCCATGTTGTCGTTATTTTTGATATCGGCCATTGAAGTACTGATTTTGAATACTCAAACTCAAGTATTCCTAACAGCAGTGTTCGTTCACTGTAGAAGTAGTCTATACTTAATTTAGATTGTTGATAGAATTGAAACATAAGCTTTTGGTGTTACATAGCTTGTGTATAGTTTGTATATCGGAATACTTCCTCTTGTATGTCAATGTTAAAGTAGACGCGTTACTTGCATAAGGCTTTGGTAAACGATAGACAGTAGACGGTAGACGGTAGATGGTAGACGCGACTTGAAGCTAAATGAGCTAATGATGTCCCTGTCACATGTCAAGCCAAGCCAAGCCAAGCCAAAGCAAGCCAAGCCAATCAACGTTATCCAATTGAAAGGAACGAAACCACAAGAGAACCTTTCAAAATGCTTAGTCATGTTTTTTTTCTTTTTCGCTAAGATCACGTTTTAAATTGACTTTACCGCATTCGGTTTGGAGGCTGATTGTTCCTCTCTTCTTCTGGATTCTTTTGGCCTTGGGCTTCTTCTCAATCCATTTGAGCCAAAGAAACTTCTATAATTTTCCCCTCATCTCCTCATCCCCTCCCATTCACTACAACAAATAAAACCAATACTCCAAATTTTAATCTACGCCACCTGTAAGGTCGTGTTTGATTTAAATCTCCTACTTCAACACACAACAAATCCATTTCCCCAAGTCATATCGCAATCATGGCTGAACGTTACATCCCAGAGCATCGTCGAACTCAGTTCAAGGCTAAGAATACCTTCAAGCCTGAAGAGTTAAGACGTCGTCGCGAAGAACAACAAGTTGAGATTAGAAAAGTCAAGAGGGATGAGAATCTTGCAAAGAGAAGAGGTATCACAGGAGGAGATGCATCCTCACGACCGGGAGCATCTTTGGGTGCTGAGCCTGATAGTGATGATGATACCGCCCCTACAGAAAGTCAAGTAAGTTAACATCGCGCATATTCATTTCCTGACTCGCACATTATTCGCACATCAATCTATACAATCTACACAATCATACCAAACACAGTCATAACACCATCTCATTCGTTTGACCTAACCTCCACCACCATCATGTATCATGACATTCAAGATAGCTTTCAACTGTTTACTTTAATTGGTGGGGTAGCAGCGGTTTCCTACTGATAATATTTTTCGCTTCTGCGATTGACCCTCCCTCTATCACAGCTTTATCGCAAAGATGATTGCTAGGTTTCGGTTTCACAACTTAAACAATATGATTGTTCCTTATCAAATACCCTGTCCATCATGGCTAATCAATTTCTTCTCAATAGTTGAACGAAGACCTTCCTCAAATGGTAGAAGGCGTATTCTCCGAACAAATCGATGCACAAATACAAGCCACAACCAAATTCAGAAAGTTGCTTTCAAAAGAGAGAAATCCTCCTATCGAAGAAGTTATCAAGACTGGTGTCGTTTCACGATTTGTCGAATTCCTTCGATCCCCTCATACACTTGTACAATTCGAGGCAGCATGGGCTCTCACAAATATTGCATCTGGTTCAGCTCAACAAACTCAAGTTGTCATTGAAGCTGGTGCCGTTCCAATCTTTGTCGAGTTACTCGGAAGTCACGAACCTGATGTTAGAGAACAAGCTGTTTGGGCTCTAGGAAATATTGCTGGTGATAGCCCATCATGCAGAGATTACGTCTTAGGATGTGGTGCCCTTAAACCTCTTCTCGCTCTTTTGGGTGACAGCAGAAAGTTGAGTATGCTCCGTAATGCTACTTGGACTCTTAGCAACTTCTGTCGTGGAAAGACACCACAACCTGATTGGACCACCGTAAGGACTCCCACTCTTTTCCTTCTATTATGCTAAGACTTACATTTATAGCAGATCCTGCCTGCCCTGCCAGTCTTGGCTAAGCTTGTTTACTCTTTGGATGATGAGGTTTTGATTGATGCTTGTTGGGCAATTTCGTATCTCTCCGATGGCGCCAATGACAAGATTCAAGCTGTCATCGAAGCCGGTATCCCTCGCCGTCTCGTGGAATTGTTAATGCACGCATCTACCTCGGTTCAAACACCTGCTCTTCGTTCCGTCGGAAACATCGTTACTGGTGACGATGTTCAAACCCAAGTTATCATCAATTGCGGTGCTCTCCCAGCTTTGTTGGCCCTCTTGAGCTCAGGAAAGGATGGTATTAGAAAGGAATCTTGTTGGACCATTTCCAACGTTACTGCCGGTAACTCCACTCAAATTCAAGCAGTCATCGATGCCAACATTATCCCACCTCTCATTCACCTCTTGTCCAATGGCGACCTCAAGACCCGCAAGGAAGCTTGTTGGGCAATCTCCAACGCCACCTCCGGTGGTCTTCAAAAGCCAGAACAAATCCGTTACTTAGTAAACCAAGGTTGCATCAAACCACTCTGCGATCTTTTGGCCTGCCCGGATAACAAGATTATCCAAGTCGCTCTTGATGGTCTCGAGAACATCTTGAAGGTTGGTGAGATGGATAAGGATGCTGCCGGAGAAGGAACCGATAGCATCAACCGATATGCTTTGTTCATTGAGGAATGCCATGGTATGGAGAAGATTCACGATTGCCAAACCAACGCAAACGAAGAGATTTACATGAAGGCATACAACATGATTGAGAAGTACTTTTCTGATGAGGAAGAAGGTGCTGATGATGGACAACCACAAATCGCTGGTAATACTTTCGGTTTCGGTACCAATGGAGATCAATCTGGTAACTTCAACTTCGCCAATGGTGGGGATTCGATGGATATGTAAAAATCTTTTAAAAGAGTCAACAAAATCCTCTTAGCTTTCAGCTATTCTTTCCATTCCCAAATCCTCAAATACGACTTCTAACAACAAATTGACATTGTCGTCATCCACAACAATTCGGACCTAAAAGTTTTGGTACCGATCCCTCTCCCTAACTTGCGAATGCGAAATAAAAAAACGCCAAATTTATCCACCCCCAAAGCACGTTTTTCTCCCCACGATGTGACCAACGATTAGCGAAAGATTCACCGTCATGTATTCCCCCTTTCTTACCGTTTTTAACAACCAACCCCGGCACATCAAAGGCGTTTTTGATCACTTTTTTTCACCGTGGTTCTTTTTGATCCCGTCTATTATTTTTCCAAATTCAAAGTTTTTGCGACATTGAGACATGGTAGCTTGAAAGCGACATGATTCTTCCCACGGAGTTCAGATGAATCTTTTTTTATTTTATGCAATGACACATTAGTGTGATGCGATGTGTGGTGAGGTGAGTATGGTAGCTTGAAAGCTCCTACTTTTGAGTGAGTGAGTGATATGATATGATATGTGGGTGGGTGGGTGGATAAGGATAGGATGCCATGATACGATGGATGGTGATGTGGTGGATGAGAAATTGAGTGAAGGGGAGGGGGAGGGGAAGGGGAGAGAAAGAAAGAATGGAGTGAGGGTGGATAAGATAGCAAGAAAGCCATGATATCATGAATGAATGATTGATTGATTATATTTGATTAATTGCTTCAAGTGATGAAGTGTTGATAGTGACTGGTATAGTTTATAGTTTTGACTTGCTATCTGATGCTCCTCCTGTATTGCTTCCAGCTTCGAGATAAACCTCAATAATAACACCAAAGAACATAGGTAGGTAGTCAACTTGCTAATACCTTAATTACACAAGTCAAGTCAAGTCAAGTCATTCATTATAATAATAAATTACCTAGTTAGTATTTTTATCAAATCATTAATCAATACTATTTATCATCTTATCATATCATGAAATATCATGAAATATCCACAGAAACCAAGTTCCTCTTTCTTTCCCCTCTGCATAAACCTACCTAATTACTCTAGTACAAAGAAAGGGTGGAAAGAAATACTACTTACTGTACTACAGAGTACTCGTATGAGAAATCCCTTTTTAGTCTTTACTCATGTTATATTGTTATATTGTTATCTAGGTAGGTAGGTAGATAGATAGATAGGTAGATAGATAGATAGGTAGGTAGGTAGGTAGGTAGGTAGGTAGGTAGGTAGGTAGGTAGGTTTCTTATTACTGTATTTGAATACTCGAGTAGAATAGAGTATATAGAATAGAAATAGAATATAAGTATAAGTATAAGTATATGTATAAATAAGTATATAAATATAAGTATAAGTATATATATAAGTATAAGTTTTATTGAAAAGTTAATTAATTAATTATTTGACTTGATTAAAATTAATTTGAGATTAGATATTTTTATACTTGTACAAGTACTCGAGTGATTGAGAGGAGATTATCTAACTCAAAATTATTCGAGATAATTTGAGTTGAGATAAATCTCCAAATGCAAACCAGACCAGAACCAAACTAGATGTGCAACAAAAACCACGTAGGGTAGGTGTAGGTCACAGGGTTGTCACGATTACTGATTACTCTCTCTTCATTTGATTTTGATTTGGTACTCCTGAAGGAAAATGATGTTGAGGGAAGTACCTACTAGGTAGGTAGGTAGGTATAGATAGAGCATTATTTTGTAATCATAATCATAATCATAAAATTCATTTTATTCTCTCTCTTCTCTCTTCTCTGTTCTCAATTCTCTTCTCTTCTCTTCTCTAATTTCTGTCTTGTTATTTCCCAGATGCCATCATCTTTCTGAATCTGTTGTATCGTATCGTATCATATCATGGTTGTGGTTGTGATAAATAAAGCATCCTCATATAAACCTTGTCCTTGTCCTTTGCCTCCAGACCCTCTACTCCATAGCCTCTTTCTTGGTACGTGGTAGTATCATACCACGAAAACAAGAGTAAAAGAAAAAGAAACCACCCAAAAGTAAATGTTTTACAGGATTTGGATTCTCACCCTATCAAACCATACCGACCCACCTCAAACCTAACCACTCCTTCCTTCACTGCACCCTCTAAAGTACAGACAGCCAGCCAGCCGTTCTAAACAATAGCCTCTTCATCAATCCCCCCATTCCGCTTCACAACCCTATCAGCCTCCCTCTCAAACTCCTTCAACGCATCCCCATCCCTACCCCTCGACATACTCCCCTCCCCCTCTACCCCCCCATGATTATCCGCCATGCCACTTTCCCTCGTTCCCTCCGCCAAACTCGTGTTATCAATCAAGTTTCTCGCCTTATCACTTAACCCAACAATCCTCTCTTGATCCTCAAACCTATCCACCACTTTACTCTTCCCCAATTGTTTTCGATCTTCTTCGCTCGTCGTGCCCGATCCAAATACCCTGGCCAATTCCGCACATGCTTCTTTGTAGCAGCGATCTGCTGCTTTGGGAAAGGATATTGGGTTGGGTTTTTTGTCAAAGGCGTGGGGTACGCAGTTTATTAGGCCGCCTTTGACGGTTTTGCTAATGGCGGAAGAGGAAAGCCGTTCGCCGAAGGCAATCCCTTCCGCGTTTAACATGTCGTATTCACAGGTGTATAATACGATATCCTGCGGATAAGCCTCGCGGAGAAAATTATCGGTTGCGGCTGCGGGGGAGAGATAGGGGTCCCGTAGGTCGATCGAGTCGATGGGGTGCATGTAGGATTCGTCGAATAGTCGGGTGAGCATTGGGGGAAGATTTTTCTCGGGGGCAGGATTTGTGGCGCGCTTTTCGTCGCGGGTTTGGCGGAAGTCGGTTGGTGGGTAGAAGGATACTATGGCGCGGATGGTGAGGTTGGGGATTTCTTGGGCGATTTCGAGAGCGGTGGGTTCGAGGGTGGGGATTTTGGCGATGCTTGTTGTGGATTCGTTTCTACCTGTGGTCTCTCCTTGTAGAGGATTGGGTCGGAGATGTGATGTAGATGATTCAGCTGAAGCCGAAGCTGAGGTCGAAGTATCGTATTTTAACTTATCCAAATCTAGTCGACTAGCATTTTTAGAAGAAGCACTTCCATCTGCATTTGTATTTGCACTTGTCAAATCGGCGAGTATGCGTTTCCCAGCATCTTGTTGTAAATCATGAAGCATGAGAGGAACCGTAAATGCAAAGTTTCCTCCGGCACTAAATCCCGACAATGCCATTCGATGAGGATCCAATCGTAACTCTTCTGCGTGTGCGGCTAGATATATCACCGCATCGGTACCATCTTCCACTCCTACACTAAAAGGATATTCGGGCGCCAGACGATATTCCACACTGACGAAGACGGCATCCACGGTATGAATGACGGCCGAAGCCCATCTCGCATCATCGGTTCCGGTACCCAAGGTAAAACCTCCTCCGTGATAATTGACGACGACAGGAAATCGATGTTGATCTTCTTCCGATCCTTCCATGTATGATTCAGGGACATAGAAGATCAGGTTGAAATATCCCCCGCGGGGAGATAGACGTGAGGGGATTCGGATCTTGAAATTGGGAGCGGGGGGTTTGGGATCTGCGAAATGATGGAATTTCATTCCGATGGACATGAGTCCTCGCCATATGGTAGCTTTCATTTTTAATAGCCAATTGGGATCGCTATTTAAGTTGTAATATTCGTTTTTCATCGAAGTGTCCTTCTTGAGGACAATATGATGGATGTGACTGCAGTGGGGTTTGAGGAGGTAAAACTTAGAGATTGAGATGGATGATAGAGTTGGAGTTGTAGTTGTAGTTAGAGTAAATAAGTAAGAGCTGGAAAGTTGAAGAGTTGAAGAGTTGAAGAGTTGAAGAGTTGAAGTTAGGAGTTGATTTGGAAATTGATAAAAAGTTATAAGTTATAACGGCATTATACGAGTACTTGAACTTGGAAGAGGATATTATTTATGGGTATAAGACCAAGGATTGGGGGGTGGATATATATATATATATATATCGTAGATGAACAAATGAACGAGTGGTTGAATGAATGAATATTGCCCGCTTTGCTTGCTGCGCCTGCGCGCTTGGTGGTATGGTGTGTAGTGTAAAGTAAGGTAGGTATGTCACTCGATCGGAGATATCATCTATTAAAATCCTATGATCTTATTGAATTGATTTGAGTTGATTTTATGATTTGTGATTGTTTATTTTATTCCTTTCTTCTCTCTTCGAATTCTATTCTATATTATTGGTTGTTAAGCTATAGTGTTGATGAGAAGCGTTGCTATACTTGGAGGGGAGTGGAAGTCTGAGACATGTGTTGGAGTGAAAGGTGAGATTCTGAGTGAAGAGAGAGACGTCATTTAATAAAGCTAATGCAGAGATGTCTGGGAATTGTGGCATGATATTGAGATAATGCACGTGATATACAGGTCAATATCCAAAGGGTGATGAAGATGGTGTGAATGATGTGAATGACGCTCCGCTGGCCCTCTAGGAGCCACTGCCGTGGAGGCTTTACTCGCTATGCTCGAGATCTCGAATTTGTTAAGACGGGTACGATGTATATAGTCACGTGAGATTATAATAGATATCCACTTATTAAAGTTGTGGCTGATACTACACTACCTATCTGTACTTGTGGACTTGTGGACTTGTGGACTTGTGGCGGTGACGAAAAGGCAGCTGAAACCTATCCATACCCCCATCCCGGAGTCGAGTACAGTTGTAAAATTCAAGTTCGAGAAGTCTAGATCTTACTTGTAGATCTGCTTTGCTTTTCACCTATGACAAGGGTACTTCCAAGTAAGTTCATGATAATTTCCATAGTTAAGGTTACCTTAAAGTATATGCCATTCATTGTCCTTTGCGTTGTTTGTCTCTGCTCTGGGGGAAACTCTGGGAAACTCTGACATCATAACATTTTTGGGGAAACCTCAAAACTTCACTCGGAATAGTCATCATATCACATATCACATTGCCTAGGTACGTACATATCAAGAAAAGCTTGAATTATGATAATTTACCATCACATCCATCAAAAAATACCATATTATATTATAGATTTCTTTTCTCTTTTAGAATCTCTCTTCCCCTCGTCACAATCAAATAATAAGGAGAGAGAGCTTATCTTTTAATTATCTTCCCTTCTACTTCTTCCTCTTCCTTCTTCCTCTTATTATACAAAACAAACACCCATCACATCCCATCCTTCCTATCTTCCTACATACCAACCTCTTACATTTTCTTTCATCAATCACCAATCAAGAACCAACATCAAGATTCAACTCAAAAAGAGGCAAAGCTTACTTGAACTTTCTTTACTCCGTAATTCCGTCAGCTTTATTCAGCTAAACAATCCGAATAAACTACTACTTCCTCAGCTTTTCATTGTAAGGATAAATACTCTCACAACTACCCGCCCAGATTATTCATCTATCTCACTGCAGTTGAATTAAAAAGACATACATTTGACCTTCCAAAGAAATATACATTTCCATCATGTCTTCATTAAAGAAGCGACTCAGTAAATTGATCCCGGATCGCATTAGCAAAAACAGCAGCAACAGTTCAAGCAGCGAAAATGTGCCATCTGCTCCAAGCAAAGAAGAAGGGATTGAAGGTTCTTCTACACCCAATACACCCACTACACCACATGGAGCTTCAACATCTACTCCTCGAATTGATGGTGCTCAAACACCAGAACGATCAAACTCTCGACGAGTGAGTCGAGAGATCATTGATCAAAATAGGGCGAGAAAAAGTATGGATAAGGAACGTACAAAGGCAGAGAATAAGAAGAAACAATCTTTGGCAAGAATAGAAGATGAGAAATTCTTAAAAGAAGGACCAGAGGCTCTTACACAACTCTATCGGCCATACAGTATGATTCAAAGTAAACATTGGAGACATGAAGAGAGAGCTTTATTCAAGAATATCAATTGGGCTAGTAAGTTGACTTCCGACCGTCATGTCTGCTTTAAATAGCTACTAACTCTTGAATAGAAATGGATGGTCAAGTTATTAATTTTAGAGCTCGAATGCATACACTTCGAAGAATGTCTGCCAAATTGGTATTCATCGTTTTCCGTCAACAAACCATCACAATTCAAGGAGTTTTGCAGAGCTTCAAACCTAGCGAGGGACAAAGTGGTGAGTTTCATTGCGAGAACTTTGATGAGGGATACATCTAATGAACCTTATTTCTACAGAGCATGGTACAATTTCCGAACAGATGGTCCGAACTGTTGAACATTACCCCGCCGAAACAATTGTCGTTGTTCACGCCAAAATTCGAAAATCCCTCCAAATTGTTAAGAATGCTACAGTTCATGATTATGAATTGCAGGTTTACGAGGTTCATAGGGTGGTTCCCTTGACCGAAAATGTACCATTCACGGTATACGATGCGGAAAATATCAACAGAGAGAAGGAAATTGACATGGACGATGATTCTGGTGATGATTCAGTTGCAACAAGTCAACCAATGTCACCAATTCCAACAGATACACCAAAAGGTCCTCCTGCTCGTGCTTCCACTGATCTCGCACGTCATGCTTTTGCAAAATTGGACAATAAGAATCTTGAGAGTAGAAGTAAGTTTTTCATGGAAAGGGCAAATGTACGATCTATAACTAACGTCAAAGTAGCTTCAATGGATACAAATAATAACCAAAAGCGGTCCCTACCACAAAGAGTGAGATTGAACAACAGAATTATTGATTTACGGACGACTCCTGCACAAGCCATTTTCCGTATACAATCTGGAATCTGTAACCTATTCCGCTCATACCTTGACACACAAGGCTTCATCGAAATTCATACACCAAAATTACAAGGAGGTGCTACCGAATCTGGTTCAACTGTTTTCGAACTCAACTATTTTGGAAGATCTGCTTTCTTGGCTCAATCCCCTCAATTGGCCAAACAAATGTGTATAGCAGCTGATTTCGAGAGAGTTTATGAAATTGGTGCGGTTTTCCGTGCTGAAGATAGTAACACACCTCGTCATTTGACCGAATATACTGGATTGGATCTTGAGATGGCTTTGGAAGAACATTATCATGAGGCTTTGACTCTCATTGATGCTATGTTCAAAAACCTGTGGAAAGGAATTTATGACCGATATCAAAAGGAGATTGATCTCATTGATCAATTTTATCCACATACCAAAGTCGAATGGTTAGACGAGACTCCGAGAATTCCATTTTCCGTTGGTGTTAAGATGTTGATTGATTCTGGTTGGGTTGAAGAAGATGGAAGTTTACCATCTGAGGTTGAAGATCTTTCTACTCGAGCAGAAATTCGATTGGGTGCATTGGTCAAGGAGAAGTATCATACTGATTATTATATCCTCGACAAATTCCCTGCTTCGGTTCGACCATTTTATACCATGCCTGATCCAGAGGATGATCGATTCACCAATTCTTTTGATATCTTTATGCGTGGACAAGAAATTTTGACTGGTGGTCAACGTATTCATGATGCTGAATTTTTAGAAAAGCGCATGAAGCAAAAGGGTATCAAACCAGAGAGTATGCCAGAATACCTTGAAGGTTTCAGATGGGGAGCACCACCTCACGCAGGTTGTGGTATTGGACTTGAACGTCTTACCTATCTTTTCCTTAGTCTCGGCAATATTCGACTTGCATCTCTCTTCCCAAGGGATCCCAAATCACTTCCAGCTAAACCTCCTACTCTTGTTCTTCGTCATGAAGATGCATCAACACTTAACCCAAAATGGGAACAGGATGGAGTTGAGTTCCGCCCCGAATTACTTCCACCTTTGGAGAAATTGATTGCCAATTATGGTGATGCAGCCAACACTTCTTGGTTAGACAAACGTTATCACGTGTGGAGACATTCTACCACTGGTGCCGCTCAAGGTTATGTCATTCATAACTCATACGCTATTATTATTGGAGAACCTCTATGCGACAAATCTCAAGCTCCATCAATCGTTTCCGCTTTCCTCAATTACATGAATACCGAACATAAGAATCTCAAACCAATTTGGATGATCATTGGTCCTCGAACTGAAGAATATCTTGGTGAGAAATTTGGTTGGCGTACCTTGTCTCCAGCCGCCGAAGAACGTGCCGACCCACGAAATAATCCTGCAGCCAAGGACAACGACCTGGCACGTAAGGTTCGACATGCTGAAAAGGAGGGAGTCAAACTTCAAACCATTCCTTTTAATGAACCAGTTCCAGATGACTTTAAAGAAAAGGTCAACGCACGCATTCAAGATTGGCAAAAGAATCGAAAGGGTACTCAGGTTCATCTTACCGAAATTAGACCCTGGGTTGATGAAGCTCATCGTAAATACTTTTACGCTCAAGGTCCCGATGGAAATATTCATGCCATTAATGTTCTTCATCAACTCAGTCCCGAAAATGGATATCAAGTCAAATTCTCCCTCGAATTCCCAAACGCTCCATCCGGTACTGTTGAATCCCTCTTACTTTACTCAATGAAACAATTGAGTGCAGCGGAACCAGATGTTAAACGTATCACTTTTGGTACAGGAGCTCAACCACATATTGAAGGTGGAAGGAACTTGGGAAAACATAGGATTAAGGCATTGAAGAAGGCTTATGAGACGATTATTAAGCAAGCGAGGTTATTGGGTAAGAGTGAATTTAGAGAGAAGATGGGAACCTGGAATGAGGGAGTTTATGTAGCTTATCCTAAGGGTGGATTGGGTGCTGGTGGTATTAGAGCTTTGATGGGTTTCCTTGAGGATGATGGTTAGATGTTGGGGGAAGTTTGGGGAAGTTGTGGGAAGTTGGGGTGAGATGCAAAAGGGGAGAGAGATGATAATTCAGACACAGAGGAAGTAATTTGAGTGGAGTGTTTTAGAAGAAGACTGATAAATGAATGAATGGGATGAATGGGATGGAAGGATGGAAGGATGGATGGATGGGAAATATACCTGATATTGCTTTTTTGTTACCTACTGGATTGGTATTTCCATTTATCTTTTTCATTTTGTCATCGGTTAGTTCATTTGATAATTGAAGAAAGTGGAAATTGTAAATACAAAGGAAGGCAGATGAATACAGTATATGAATTAAGTCTTTTATTATACAACCAGCTTGAGGCATGGATATGAAAATGGTGATGGGTAAGGTAATTGTGGTTTGCCATTGTCTTGATACATGTATGCTTTGTAAACCATTAGCCACTCGTAAGTGAGTCTCAACTAAAGACAAGACATCGGCTAACGGCTAACAATACCCAGATATCCTGATATATATATAGCCTTTCTAATCTACTCAGTTTGTGTATTTTATCAATAACCACTTTATAGCTGACATCGGCGAACTTATCCCCTGTTATGTATGTTATTACCCGAGCCAAGCTAAGAATTTCTAGTGGAATTGTTGAGGTTAGGTAAGCATAGTGCATCCATCCGGTGTTATGTTGTGTATTTTACGAGTAATTCTTTGGGGTTCTTTTTGGTTATGGTGAGGTATGGTGAGGTATGGTATGGCGGAAAAATGGATTTGTTATAGGTTTGTAGGTTTTGATGAATGAATGGATATTGGATAAGGTTAATGGAATCGAGGTAATGTAATGTAATATAATGTCATAGCCTAGATTCTACTGGCGCAGTGGGTGGTGCTGACCGAGGTAGAGGATATCAGGATATCAGAATATCAGGAGATATTCTTAACGCGGAAACAAAAAATCAAGAGTTATTAACTTATTATAAAGAGGGGAAGTGCTGGTTTGGAAAGATAAGATGGGATTTTGTTTTTGGTTATTTTTTGGGTTTCTTTGTTCTTGATTATTTTGATTGCGTGGACGAGTACGTACCTGAGTAAGTACCTTGAGTACATATGAACCGAACCGGTTTATTTAATACGAATACCGGTACAAATACTGAGTTGAATGAATATCTTCATATTACGAGTACTCTTTCTGTTGAGCAAGGATTTGACAAGTATCTTATAATCATCTACTAAATCAAATCATATCAAATTCAACTCAATAATTCAACATGTCAACCACCGATCTTCCCAAGACCATAAAATCCCTAATTCAACCCGACATCCACAGCACCAAACTAATCCTAACCACCATCCCCCTCCCCACCATCACCCCCGGCACCACCGAACATCTCATCCGCATCCAAAGCACCTCCCCATGCTCTGGTGAACTACTTTGGGCCGCCAACTTCTCCACCTACACCACCCCCAACAAACTACAAGTACCATGTTACGACCTCTCTGGCACCGTCGTGCTCGCTCCTCCTGATTCTCCATTTCCGGTTGGCACAGAGGTATACACTCGTACATCTTTCATGCGCCCCGGTAATGCGCGCGAATATAGCGTTGCGCTGCAGGAGGAATTAGCTAGGAAACCAAAGAATATGTCGTGGGAAGAGGCGGCTTGTATACCGCTAAGTGCGTTTACGGCATGGCAGGCACTATTTGTATATGGCGGATTACGGTGTCTATTTGCGAGCGATGCGAAGGAGGAGAATGGGGGGAAGACGGTACTGGTTGATGCGGCGAGTGGGGGGGTGGGGGTAATGGTGGTGCAGTTTGCGAGGGCGGGGGGAGTAGGGTGGGTAGTGGGTATTTGTTCTGGGAGAAATAGGGAACTGGTGGGGAGGTTGGGTGCGGATGAGATTGTGGATTATGGGGAGGAGAGTATTGAGGAGTGGGGGGAGAGAAGCGGGAGGAAGGTTGATTTGGTGGTTGATATGGTGGGGGGGAGGAGTTTGGAAATGTGTTGGAAGCTGGTTAGGAGGGGGGGAAGGTGGTTAGTGTTAAGGAGGATCCGAATGCATGGAGACCGAAGGAGGGGGTAGCGGATGATGTGGAGGGCATTTTTTTTGTGATGGAGCCCGAGGGTTGGCAGTTGGAGGAAACGGCGAGGCTTATTGAGATGGGGCAGGTTAGGGCGGTGGTGGATAGTGTGTGGCCGTTGAGCGAGTTTGAGAAGGCGTTTGCAGTTGTGGAGGGGGGTCATGCGAAGGGGAAGGTGGTTATTAATGTTAGGGATTGAGGGATTGAGGATTGTATAATTCTTTGAATAGGTAATGGATCGGAAAATATGGGAGGTTTATTAAGTTAGCGCTATGAAAGTTCTATTTGGATACAACGACAGGATACCGGTGGTTAATAGTCAATTTATTTTTGAACAGCTGGATATGTTTTTGAAGCTAAAACATCTGTACCATGTAAATTAATGTATCCCAAGGAGGTTAAATATAACACACTGTTGCAATAGTTTAGACTTTTACTCGAGTAGATAGTCACGGTGATTGAAAATTACCGGTACATCTTTCATTTCACGAGCTTTTTAATTGAAAAATCGACGATATTCCTTTTCCATATATGTATCTATCTATCTGTTCTATTACTACTTAATTGTTATTCCAAAATGCCATCGACATCATATATGATAAATTACCATATCTAAATAATTGAGATGAAAATCTTTTGATTTCCCAAATTAATACCTGTGACGATCGTCAGTAACGCATCGTGACTCGGTAACCTAATCTAGAAGAGAATTTCTTTCTATTATTCCTTTCCCCCTTTTGACCCACCCCAGTCCAGTATCTAAATAAATTCAAGCTAAAATAGCAGAGTATAATTATACCAAACCCTCTTATAAAAAACTTGATATGCATATATACCAATATACCAAACTCCTAACCAAACTCCTCAATCCTCACTTTTCCATACCCATCCCCACACCCCTCGATTTCGCCAATCCATCCTCCAATATCATCATACACTCTCTAACATACTCCTCCAAGCACCCAACCTCACTCTCCCTCTCACTCTCACCCTCACTCTCCCTCCCCCTCCCCCTCCCCCTCTCCCTCTCCTTCTCCCTCTCCTTCTCCTTCTCACACCACACCAAACCCCCAACCCCAACAATTCCCTCACGTATCACATCAAAAGTATCCTTCGCTCTCCTCAACAACGCGATTTTCTCCCCGTAATCCATAGTAACCATACTCAATCTCGATTTATACACTCGAGCTTGTGCTTGTGAATATAATGAACAGCCTATATTCCCAATCACTTCGTTGCATAATTGTGCGCAGTGCTGGTTTGCTTCATCTGATTCGGATGCGGATGCTGCGAGAAATGCAGAATGTATTGATTTCATTTTTTCGGTTTCCGGCGGCTCATCCAGTAAGTCGGATTGTGAAGTTATCGACTCGGAGGGATTCAGGAATGGGATTTCTGTACTTAGGTTCTGTAATCGGAGTATAATATTCTGTAATCCCATTTGACGTTCTGGTATCTTATTATTACTCAGGATCAATGCATTCATGAACCTCAAAAAATCTCGATGAAAACATCTCGCTGACATCCTCGCGTTAGGGATTATATGGTATGAAGATGCTTCTTCGGCATACTTATCCATTTCCGGTATCCAATTGATGATTTCCTCGTGGATTTCTAATAATTCTCCCATACCATCGATCATAGTAGCGAAATCTGACGAATACCCTTCATATTGTTTCCTACTTGATTTGATTAACCACTCTGATTGATCCATGATTTCAATTGCTTTCGTGTCTCGACTTTGGGTCAATATGTGATAGTGAACTACTTTATTCCAGTGTAATGTGGAGACTGCCATTTCATGGCGCGCATAGGGGGTGTGATCGGATGTGGATTTGCAAAATAATATTCTCGTTTGTTTTGCAAAGGTTTCTTCATCCTCTTGCTGTATTCTCCATCCGTGAGGTTGAGTAAAGATTGATTGGCCCATGGATTTTGGTGCGTTAATCATTCCAAATGCAGTGACATGTTCTTCCCAGAAGTGATTGGAGTTTAAGGTTTCGTAGTAAGTCACTGGGAGTGGTATTGAGATATCCATGGATGTGTTTGTTTTCAATGGGAGCTTTAGTGTTGGTTGTGATGTTTCCGCCCAGGTATTCGGGAAACTTGTGAGGAAGAATCCCATCTGTGGAGCGTTGTATACTGGAATGTACTTGATGAATCCGTCAGGATATCCACCAAAGAAATCTGATGTGGCGGAGAACCCGAGCCTGAGACTGAATCAGTTTCTATTTTCAGACATTGAGTGGTAGAAAGTATATACTCAGCCATTGACTCATCTCCAAAGTAAGGTTCATAATAGCGATACGAATTCATTTTGTTTATTGGGTCATAATAATGTACCTTGGCTTTATTCAATACATGCTTCAGTGGCAATTATTAGGTATATACATCTTTCTGACCAAGGCCACTCACCATCATTTCATGGGCAATAATAGTTGCACACCCAAACCGTTCAGCCAACCTTTCTGCATCATTCAAATGCTTATTCAGTAATGGAGCGATTTGTTGATAAGAAAGCGTAAGGGTAATTTTCCCATCATCGTGTCCTATACATGATCCAAATTTTCTTGTTCCACTTTCGCGGTTGGTAGAATTCGACTCCCCAGTATAAGGATCAATGGTTTCACTCACGAAGCATATGGTCATCCGAGGAATGAGTACGTGATTGATCAAAAAGTGCATGAGATCTCCCGCTTTGCCTTTGGTGACAATTTCGAGGGGGCGCAATCTAATTTGGGTAAGTTCATTTTGGACTTGGTAAACTCCTTCGTTAAGGTGATCAAGAATAGTATCGGCGTTAAATCGATGAGAGGGTACTTCAACCCGTTCAGACATCATCATGGCATCGAACTGTTATTGTATATTAAATATCTTAAAATCAGTAGAGCTTTCCATTTCCTCTATCCTAGACCAAGGAATCTGATCTAATCCGTAGTTGTATGAAGTTTGAATTGTGAATTGTGAACGAAAGTTCTGGGATACTTGGGTTATACCCAAAAAAGGTTAACAGAATGAAATCCAAGAAAACATTATCTTACCCAAGGAGTCTTCGATATTTTCAATATGATCCAACTCGCCAGCCTCAATATCGGCACTAATTCCTTCCACACCAAATCATTCTCAGCCAACCAAACCACATTCTCTTTTTGTCCAATTGATGGCCCATCCGACACGTATGGATCAGCATCTTTCTTCGTCACCATATTATCCCTCGTTTCCCATTGAGATCGGCGTAGACATGGAAGAATTGGGTTGGAAAGGCTAGAGCTTTGCAAATCTCTTTCCGTAATTGCATCAAGTTCGTGAAGAATTTGTGTGGTGTAGGAACGTAGATTTTCACGTTGGTATTCTTCATTGTCATGGTGAGTAGCCCAAGCACTAGCACTTCCATCTGGGAGTAGAGAAAGATCATTGGGGAAAGGCGTGATGGGAGTCAGGAGTGATGCCTCGCGGCTGTACTCTTCGTTTGGGCTAATGCCGTAACAATATCCAAAGGGGGTTGGTGATGACATGAAATGATGATGCTATCAAAAATATTAAGAAAGAAATTGTCCAACACGACCTTCATGAAATCCTTGTTTAATTATTTTTCTTATGATACAAAGTCTTCTTTCTGTGCTATATGATAATGCTCTTTGTTTGTCAACTTGCAGAACTTTATGCTGAAAGAATAACTCAAAAAGCGTTGTATCCAGGTATTTATGGTCATAGAACTTACTATAACAAAGACCATGAGTCTGTAAATATACCCTATTAATTTGAACTTACTGAATGAATGCGCTACATCAACAGGTTCAATGTTGAACCTACAGTCCGGACTATGAGACCTCATCATATGGTGATGTTGTACAAAATGTCATGAAGAGAATACCCGACAAATAAGCTTCCCTGTCTTACATCTGATTCATGCAGTCATCTGCATCTGCACTCCACGGTTTTCGTGTGTAGAGGCTGATATGTTGCATATAAATATCGTCGCATCGTATGATTCATACCAATATCCAAGAAATAATCTCAATAGTCAGCTGATTTCGTTTTCAACTTTCTTTTGACATCCTGTCACTATCCGTCGACATCCGACTCTCGTACGATATTGTTTGAGGTAGACCAAAAAGCAAAGAAGCTCTGGTGATCAAATTCTTGATTGTATGTGGCGATAAGTTTGAATATCCCGATTATTCATCTTGGACCAATCAATTAAAAGCTATAATCTTTGTGGCTTTGCATCCTCCGGACGGCGGTGTAGCGGGGTATCTCACCCATATCACAGTCAATCCATCACGACAATTACCATAACCATCACATAGATGGATATTCTCAAGACTTTGGCACCGCTCGCCATAAAGGAAGCCACAGCTTATCTTTCAAAGAGATCATCTTCCCCAACAACTGAATTAGCCAAGGCAGCAGCTGAAGGAAATGTTAGTGCTGTCAAAAGTATCCTCTCTCAAGATCATCAGATAGATCTGGCACCAGCACTCGTCGCCGCTGCTAGTGCTGGGAAAATGGAGGTTCTCGATATTCTCATAGATCCTCCACGTCGTCCAAAATCAGAAAATTCCCGCCACAAGGAGAAAATAAAGCCAACAGACGTGAATGTGTGGTCACAACATATCACACCTCTCATAGCTGCGGTACAGACACATCATGTGAAAACCACAGATTTGTTACTAGATGCTGGAGCTGACACTTCATTGGCACCAAAAGGTGGAGAGACTGTTCTTCATATCGCATCGAGAATTGGAGATTTAGAAATGGTGAAACTTTTGGTGGAATATGAAGCGGATTTGGAGGCTAGAGATGGTTGGGGTAACACACCACTTCTTTCTTCCGCTAGATGGGGCCATCCGCATACCATTAAACATTTACTGGCAAAGGGAGCAGATATTGAGGCCAAGGACTTAAAGGGCTCAACAGCATTGTTGCTGGCATGCAGGCATGATTGTGTTGAAGCCGTGAAGACTTTGATTAATAGTGGTGCAAATGTGGGAGTTCGAGACAAGGAAGGGAGAGGCGCATTACATCGAGCGATCGCTGGAGTTGACTTCATTGAGGGTATAGATGCCAAAGTGAAAGAAGATATTGTAAGGTTATTGATAAATGCAGGTGCAGATCCAAGGGTGAGAGATAAGGAAGGGAAAAGGCCTACAGATATGGTAGGATTTTTGAGGGGTGGAGATCGAGTGAGGCGTTTGTTAAGTCCGGGAAGCACACCCCATTCCAGAGGAAGGACGCCGGCACATAGTAGACATGGGAGTCGGACAGGATCTCCTTATGTTGATGGATCTCGGCATTCTCACGAGGTTGGTGGTAGTTATAGGAGAGACAGACTTGGGTCTCCTTTGGCAGCTGGGGATATGGTTGATGGTTATGATCGGGACTAAAGTGCGGTATGGATAGGGGAGGCTGGTCTGGGTGATGGATTTCCGAAAATCCAATAGGGAGGGCTGTAAGGTAACGACTAGTGGGTATCTTCTTTTCAAGACTACATTGTAGAGTTGCAAATCTGACATAACCGTCATTCCACAAACCCAACTGAATGTTGGAGACTCAACTCAAGGCAGAAACATGACTTCGCTAAGTATAATGATAACAATGACCACGCAAAGAACGCATGCCTCGTATACAAGCATGCGAAAGAAATTATACTAATGTGAATGAAGCATAGTGGAAATGTACAAATGCTTATACATCATCTCACCAAGTATCCAACACGGTTGATGTGAAAACTACATACCATTGAAACTTCTGACGCTTAACCTTTCAATACGCCTCCTTGCGGAACTCTCTACACAAAGAATACCGGCAGTATCAAAGTTGAATCTACTGTATGGCTTCAATTGTGAAAAATTCGGACAGATGCCGAATTGTCAATGGGTCATGGATTTCATCTGTTTCTCGACAATCATACGAGACCTTCCACTTGTAAAGATCTCAAAATCTACACATCTCAGTTTACCCAATGGACTTCCCAACTCATCCATTTTGACACCAAATTGATCCTCAATTTTTCGCGATGGTGGACCATTGACTTCCAGTTCCTCAACAGGAGGTTGAACAATTAACATGCGTTTCCAACTAGCCTCTTTTCTGCCGACTGCCTTATTTGTAGGTTGTAAATTCAATTCAAACCCATCTCGATAGTCGATGACAGGCCATCTTCTCCAATCTGCCATTCGTCGACCTCGCGGGTTGTGAAGGTACCTGCACCGCGTTTGAGTCGATCGTAAGTCTAGGAACTGCGCGTTGAGACAAGGTTGGAGAAGAGGATTTGGCTGGGGAAATGATGTAGCTGGGGATGCACGAAGAAACAAAGCTTGTTGAAGTAAGTTTGAGGATTCAATAACATCGTAGAAGCTTTGGCTAATCATTTGAGCTCGGACGAGATCGAGGAATGGTAACTGGAGGAGGATAAGTTCTAGAAGCTCTGGGATTGCAAAGACGATTTGAATTGAGCTCTCCATTGGACATATTGTTGAGGTTATGGCAGTTGAGGTTATGGCAGACAGAGTAATCGCTGAAGGCATTTTGAAGAAGGTATAGAAAGCAACATTGACATAGACATCTGAATTGTTACCTACTTAGGTTCCTATAGTTCAATAATATGGTCAATGATTTGGTTGTTTAGTTTGTGTTGGTAACAATTTGACCGAGGTCACAAAAAGTGAAAGCCAACGGCCGCATCAACAACAACCTCGCTAGCGCCAACAACCACAGCCACATTGAGCCACATCCGTGAAATCATCCTTCAACTCCAACAAAGTTGTTTCGGATTCTCCTCCTGTACGTACTCCTGTCTAATTCGTGTATTCGTGTTTTTTTCATATCTTTTCTTCAACAATCATCAAATTTCGAATTCTGAATCTTAAACCGTCTCATCTCTCAAAGAGAAGATGTCATCCCAAGTCTTGAAACAACAATGGCAAGAAATACGGGGATATACCATGGCCTATTGAGGATAAGATATCTAATGACAACAAGCATTTGCCAAGCTTAAGCTCACCAGACTGGTGTGTTGCACGAGATTCTCATGGATCTGATGATCATCCGAACATCAGATTTAAGATGTGAAACCAGGAAGCTTGTATATGAAAAGGGTCCAGAGCTTCAATACTACAGTATCTAAGTTGATAGTTCAAGGTGCACTGTACTCCTTTTGCATAAAATGAAGATTATCATCGATATCAAGCCTGTTTTTTTGACATGATCGTCATTGTTTTTGGGTCTAAGTTGGCTGGATACGAAAATCCCGTGCTTCACACTCCGGAAGGGTTTCATTTGGTATTGTGCCCTCACAGTTTTCAGTTTTCCCTATTGTTACTCATGGATTTGTACTATACTCTTTATGTGGAGCCTCATCCCATCTTGATGTTCAAATCTGACACCGTCTGGACTCTTATTTTCTCCTAATATTTTATTCAATCCTCCATCATCGACTAGAAATGCTGAGAAGTACAAAAGAAATTCATTCGGATCGAAGATCATGACAAGTGTTCAAGGATATTACTCGAACTATGAGCGCTCGATAGTTCCCCAATCACTTCGTGCTGGACCTTTGAGTTCGAAACCTAACGTCGATTCAAGCCTCAAGAAATCTAATACAAGATTTGTCACAAATCGAAAGCCATTGCCCAAACCAAGGCCACAGGAAGAAGTACGGCCGAACCTTCCAATACCGGTCCCAGCAAACAAGCCTGCTGGATATTACCTTGTTCTTCAACGTTCTCGATCAAAAAATATTCAGTTAGAGACACAAATTATTAGACCCCTTCCAGAACGCAAAGGTGGGCCTCAATTTGCATTTGGTTGTCTCCCAAACAAGAAACCTCGAGCAGGACCCCAATACCAACAACCTTCAGTCAGGCCAAAGCAGGATGATATCGAACCGCCGACCGTTAAACAACCACCGCAATCAAAATTTGGCTATTACCCAATCTATGAAAGAGCCCCTGGCCTAGTTGAATCATTAAAACAGCAAACTACACCTAAATTGACTTCAACGACCGAAGTTCCTCAGTTATCTATTCCAAAGAAAAATCCTCGCGGTCGATATCCTGATTACGAGCTTTCTTGATGATAAGTTCTTGACAATGAAGGACAGGAACTTTTAATGACCAAATATTAGCCTATCACTGGCAATGACTTCATTATCAAAAGAAATCTCCAATTTGTATTCGCTGGCTTGGCCAGACGCTTACTTTCGACTTGGAGACTCTGCTATACGGTTATGTGACTAGGAGGCTGGCTGGAAATGCCGATGTTTGGACACCATCGAACAACGAGGATATCGAGATTGTCCCCCAGACAAGCCTAGTACGGATGAGTGGCAGTATCGATTGCACAATGAGTTGAGACTCACTCACCTTCAGATGATATCCGGTACATTGTTCCTCCATCCTGAGAAATGGAATAGTCTCTGTCGGATTATTTGAGGGTCCCAAGAAGTATATGGAGCATGGATTCGGTCATTCAAAAGCAGTCGGATGTATTTTGGGGCAGGATGAAGTATTATTTAATCCGCCCCAAAGTACCCATCTAGCTATTAGGCACTATCAACGGACACACTATTATCTATTATCCAACTGCCACCCAGATTCTGGGCTTCCAGAACTTACTCCACAGCTACTAGCTCCACTATCGATGCTATCGAGATGGTTCTGAAATGGTTATAAACGAACCTTTCCACCAGAAAATCCATGCATGCATGATATTCTGCAACACATATCTGCGTTTTCAGATGAAAACTAGTATTATGTTGCTAAATCAAGCCAATGCATCCCCAACGGGTCACCAGGAAAGCGGTTCCGTACCATTCGATCCGTAATCCTCGTTACCCGGTCGATTCGCGGTCCACCATACGAATTTCAAGAGGCTGGTGATGTCTTCAATCTCCGAATCGGACTTGTTCGCAGCAGATTCAGTGGAGGTATATGAACCTCACGAACTTCATGCACGTTTAGTGTGCTTGCATATAGTCTTCTCCCTGAAGATGCATTCGATTCTCCACCGAATTGGGCATTTAAACCACGGAATGGTTCTTCTTGATAAGAAAACATGTGAGAAGACCTGACACCGCTTCAGAACCAATACAGACCCGTCTTATTTTCGAATTTGAGGGGGCTGGTTGGTATATATGTACATATGTGGGGCTAGTGGTTAACTGTTCGCCGTACGTTCATGCCCACGACTACTGTGCATATAACCTCGGGGAGAAGTAACCTTTGAAATGAAATGAGCTCGAGGGAGATTGGAAGATATAATTAATCAGCTTGTAAATTCATGTTATATATATTAATTAAACTTAACTCAATCGATCTTTTCCTTCTCTTCTACTTATATTTTGATATCCTATATTCAACTTACCGTTTCCTGCCACTAACTTTTAAGCATCCGGCAACATCCCTTTTCCCCTATTACTAGCCTATTCCTTAAACGGCCCACCCTCCTCTACCACGTCACAGAGCCTGAATAGCCTATAATCCAGATAAGATAAGCGAAACCTCCATTTCAACAACTTCACCAGTTGTTTTTTGAAATTTATTGGTTTGGCGCTGGTGTCAATTATTATTCTTCGTACGACAAATCATAAACGTCAATTTATTGTTCTTATTCTACTTTTCAACGATCCCTGAGACGTAACACGAGGAAAGGGAAATGTCCTTCTCGTCCCCACCTTCCATTACAACATCTCTCCACAACACCCTCCTTCACATCTCACAAAATCCATATCCATATATACCCAATCCACCGAATTGTCCTCGGCGCGCTTCCGTCGCTTTGATACTACGAATTCGTCCTTCTCGAAATGATCTTCCTCCTACCGCTCCTCAGGTCTTCCCATACCCAGAACCTCCTACCGGCGAGCGACTCGCAAATTTCTTCGAACAGTCATGGGTAAAGAACGGTGATCCGGAATTGTTATTCATCAAACGTGCGGCCAGAGAAGGTGATAGATGGACGAGCCATGTCGCGCTACCTGGAGGAAAGAGGGATCCTGGCGATGCGACTGATAAGGATGTCGCAGTAAGGGAAACGAGTGAGGAGATCGGATTGGATCTAAGAGGAGAAAGATGCGTATTTGTTGGAAATCTGCCAGAGAGGGTGGTATCTACAAGTTGGGGATCGGTGCCGTGAGTTTCCTTTTGCAGATCTCAATTTTCAATGATGAGGTAGAACTCTTGGAGAGCAAACGCTGATGCTGTTCCGGAAACAGGATAATGGTACTCTGTCCTTTCCTCTTCATCTGGATATGTCCCGCGTTTCCACCACTTCAACTACAACCTGCCGAAATAGCATCAACACATTGGGTTCCTCTACGAGTCCTCCTTTCACCCTCTGTCCGCACATACGAATATGTCAACGTATCAGATCGATTTGCTAAACAAGGAGGAGTTGTTCTAAAAACTATATTAAAGCCAGTGATAGGCAAAATGAGATTTGCAGCCGTCCGACTACGACCAAGCGAATCATTATATTGCAGTTCAACGAAGGAATATTTCTCCGAGGAATCACAACCTAAGAAAAGCGTATTTGGGAGAGCTTGTAATTGGTTAAAGGGGGGAGAGAAAGCACCAAGCGATAGACCACTATTACTTTGGGGTTTAACGCTGGGTATGGTAGCTGATTTTCTCGATCAACTACCACCGCACGATTCGGTCGACTTATGGGAATATCCCACTTTTACATCGCCAGATATACGGATCATAATAAACATACTTACACGAAATATCAAGAAACGAAATACAGAACGATTACGAGGGAGTGCGCATGATGGGACTGGAAACCTAATAGCAATGGATGGAGAAACGACTGCTGCCGCAGGGATTAATGTCGGAGGGCCTATAATTGGGAAGAATAAGACGAAAGAGTATGCGATGGGCGTTATGTTAGAGGGATATTATGATGCTATGAAGAAAGGTGTTTGGATTAGTGCTGGCATAAGATTAATGTCAACGCTGGCGTTGATTTTGTGGATTTTCAAGTCGTATAGATTTAGAGATAATAGGGGTAGATTTTGATCCATAGATCTATGATCTTGAAGAAATATAACCAAAAGATTTGTTCATACATATATCTTGGTGAAGGAGAGGTGCTGTATGGCAAGTGCCTATATTTGAAGAGTTAGTGCGATGTCTTTTCGTATTCTGGTAATTATATATTGGAGGTTTATGGAGAACAAGTGTATACAACAAACCTTAAAAGTTGACCAGTCAGGTCGGAAGTTAGTATCAAGAAGATGGGGGTTCTACTATGTGCTTTCGAGTACTATAAATTGGTACTTGTCAGTGGTATCTTTTCTTTATAGAAGTCGAAATAGAACAATGAGGGTAAATTGTGTAATCCAGAGTAGAACAAGACTGTGTGAGCCCGAGTCCAACAATAGTCAGTTGATCAACCGCATCTCGCAGGCCGCATCTTGCAGGTTTCGGTAAGATAAATTAATTGGAAACTTTATACTCTAATTTGGCATCTCTGATGTTTTTTGGGTGATGAGGAGGTGTTTGAGGATAGGGTAAATATTGTGATGGGTCTGGCTGTGGTGTGAAAAAGTTAGGTACGGGCTCGGGTCCAGGTTGAGGAGCAACTTTGCTGACACGAGTTGCTGGGTGAGATTTTATGGGGGGGTCGATTGTATAATCTGGATGGGCCAGGATGGCAGAGGATACATGCTCAGCCATGGTTTTGTCAACTTTAACAGATGCACGCAAAATCATATACGAAAAGAAGGCCTTTTCAAGAGAGATTTGGCAGAAGGATCTCCCTATACCGATTATCTGTTTGCATCGAATTAATTGGTTGATATACTGGATCTGATACTGCGGGAGGGAAGTTGATTGTCACGGTATTGGCCTCGCTTAGGTTTAGGAGCGTGACCGAATGATAATTCTTTTCCAAGTGGAAGAGATGCGAGAGCTGTACCAAAAGGTTTTCCAATTCAGCCGGCAGATTATCTTCCGGATCGAGACCTAGACCGATATTTTCTCCTAGATACAAGCCGTTTCTTATGATACATGGGGATAAAGGTAGGATCAAGTATTGATAAGTGTTTAAGCTGACGTATAGGAGGCATAGCGACGAAGGCAGAAATAAGTATTTATTGAGTACATACTTAAGGCTACGGCATAAGTGGATTCGGCGGGATAAACATCTACTGTAACTGTAGTAGGAAAGGGTGCAATGTGTCAGGCATGTCTGACAAATACAATTACAACTCTATACTTACATTGCGTGACTGAATTTGCCTTGAAAGAAATGAATACTTAATTCATGGTGAAATATTTCAAATGTCTGAGTCAGTCTACTGTATAATAATGTGAATAACCAACATTTTCGATTTTTAATAATCGATGTACCTTCTCTTATGAATAATCACTCTACATCCAAATGTCCATTTAAGAGCTCTCAGCTCAGTGTAACCATTCCTTTCACAACATAACATCCCACACCGAAAACATCCAAAGTATCACCAAACACCAGAAATTAAACTCAGTATCCACCAAGATGTCCACTCCAACACTCGCTATAGACACTCAGACTATCAGGGGTCGCAGCAAAACCATCGCAACAGACCAATCCGAAAACCATACACTACTTGTTCGACACTGGACTGGTGATGGGTTGCAAGCCTCATCAAGCGGACTCGAAAAGTCAAAGTCGATGCTTGATCTCTCTGGATTGCAGCAACAGGATAGAGCATGGGAAGTTACATTATCAAAGATGGAGTTTGCGAAGGAAGACGGACGTATGGATTCTCAAGAATCTTTGAACGGACCCGAAGAGTAAGTGCTTCTGCCTTTATATAGAAATGATGCCCATACTAACCAACCATTTAAAAAACGATGATTCCAAATGCCAAGCATAAAGTTCAGCAGGTTGAATATTCCAGTTCTCAAGAATCGATCCATAGACCCGAAGCGTAAGTTCTCCCTGCCCCTCTGTATACCCAAACAAAGCCTCTGCTGACTATATCAAGGACCAAGAAGATACCCATTGTGAAAAGAGTTCGTTAGGCTAGCTATGAGGGTCACGATTTCGCAGGATCAGGCCGTGGAATATAATACGTTTATCATGTCGATGATAGAGCTGGGGGCTGTATAATAATTATATTATCAGGAAGGATTTGATGGAGAGAGAATAGAGAATAGATGTGCGAATGAAATTGCCAAGTTTAAAATGAGGCGATGAGGCGCGGGAGCAAACCCTCAGTTGCCTCTGCAAAACATATACGTTGGGAGATAGAGTTAATAAGGAGTTAATAAGGCGTTGGAGTTCAAATAAAATAAATATTATCAAAACCATGAGGTCTTTGTGCGTTTCCATCACTATACTATGGTTTTTGTGACTCTTGGGAGGATCTGATAAGAATATGAATCACCCCCAGTGATGTGAAAGAGTGACCGCAATGCTCGCACTAGATTTTTGAGACTCATCGGAAATGCTACTGCTGCGTATATAATAAATCATTCACAGACCGCAGACTATTTTTTGTGATTGAGGAGAACCGAAACAACTCGTCTCGTGGATTTTCGAAGGGAAGTGGAAATGAGGAGGGAGAAATTTGTCGCCGGTTGGTCTGAATACTGTAAAGGAGGAGATTTATGATATGGGTGCGGATATCGAAGGGAAGTATGAGTGTGGAAGGTGGTAGAGCGTTGAAAGAATAGGCGGAATGGGGCGGAGCGTGGGCTGGTATAACTAGTTGGGTGGAGTGGTGAAAGTGTGGTTGGGACAGATGAAGAGAGAAGTATATCATATGAGCTGATGTGAACAATCAAGCATTAGCATAGAAATTGCTATGCCATCAAAATAAACTGTCTATCCATGGGACCACTAGAAACTCAGTAAGTCTTGTTGATCCGACTCTATGGCTCTACGGTTCGAATTGACATCTTGTAGTGAATATCAATTATACCATCTGCGATTTTGACATCATCAAGTTCATGATTCACTCACTCAAAGATCTTCGAGTCCCATTATCAAAGAATCTCAAACTTTCCATCTCCCCAGTCTTTGCCAACGACAAACAACCCTCATACTGTATATCCTCAAGAATGGGTTGTGGAACATCCAGACCATCCACTCCCTCAAACTCAAACTCAAACCCAACACCCCAAACCACAAGAAGCGCCTATATACCTCGCACCAGCAGCTCAAGCAGTCTACACAATATACGAATCATCAACCTCGCATCATCGACCCGTACTGGACCCACTCAAGATATAAACGGGCTATCCGGATTCCTCTCGAGCTCAAGCTCGCAACAGAACCAATTACTATCCATATCCAGCAGCTCTTGGCCTAAATCATACTCATACTCTTCTCCCGAATATCAACCTCGACAAATTTCTGGCAAGTTTGTTCCTGTACGAGTACAACAACAACAACAACAACAACCTATCCAAGATATTAACGGCTATTCTGGAATCTTAGTACCTAATCTCCACAGACCTACCAATACTGCGACATGGCCACGATCACAAGCTGAGCTGCAAGGACACAAACAAATGCAAAAACAAAGACAACATCAGTCGATTGCGCGCAAGCCGCTTCCTGCTACAGGACCACCATTGGGAGTCGATAGGGGACGACGTCGGGCTGGAGGTTCGTTTAGTAATTCGAATTCGAATTCGAATCCGAATCGGAATCCAAGTCTTGTGCTGCCGATGGCTGGAGCTGGACATTTTATACGATCTCCTTCTCCTGTTAGTCCTGTTGATACAAAGAAGTGGGATTTTTGAGGAGATAGATTTTAGAGAGGAGATAGATTGTAGAGATTGTAGAGATTGTGGAGATACTGGATGGACATTGGGACTCCTTAGCTGGGGTTGATGTTTGTATATTAGGGAAGATGTTAGGCTTAGGCGCCGAACGTAACTTACAGGCTGATTAAAGGTAGATTGGTGATGGATAGAGGTTATTACTCTAGAAATATGATAATAATTGAAAGATTATCTATACAAAGAAAGGTTCATGATTTCTCGGTAACTAGGCAAAGTGTTCAGTCCTCATTATTTGACCTGAATACAGATGTTAGGTCATCCCGTTCTATCTTAGCCATCCAGACTACTCTTACGATTGGATGCAACTTTGAATATTGAGCCTTTATTGTATGATAAGTGAGCGACTACTCACGTATTCAGTTCAATTGAAAACGTTCCATGGTTTGACCAAAAGAATCCTCATACACTTCTAACCATCGTGACCGGCAATTGCCCCTCACCCCACGAATATCTACTGATGGAAATATTCCATATATCTTCCCTGACTAGTTACAGTTGGAAGAGGAAACTGAACATGAGTATCATACGTATCCCAATCAAGAAGAAACAATCTTCTGAGATCAGGATCTTTGAAACTTTTGCAATCAGCCTTGTGCTCCTTTTCCTTCCATCCAGCCACCTTGCAAGCCTATTCATCGCACACTTGTGATTAGCATCGAAACCAACAAAATGAGACCAAGCAGAGAGGAAGGAGGGATGGTATAATTACCTTATCGCAATACCAGAACATCAAACAACCTGTGCACTTCTTCATAAAGGCTGACTTCTTACCACATCCATGGCATGTTCTGATACCATCAAGCTCTTTCGAAAACTTTTGAACTCGGTTGTTCAACGCGAATAAATTTTGAATTGAAATTGGGAAGATCTACATATTGTTAAGTTAAGTCAGCGATTGGAAGCTAAAATAGCAATGCAAGGCAGAGAGGATGCGGGATATTACCTTCAGTAACAATTCATCATCATGAAGTATGCCAATCTGAACATTATTACCCTCATCATCGATAAAATTGTGACTTGACGCGTTGATGATTGCAATTGTATATCCGATTCGAACTAATTCAGCAGGCAGTTCTCTTCCTTTTTCCTCGGTATTGAATACAAGCTTGACTTCCGCACCATCAATATCTTCAAGTGCCATTGCTGAATCACCAAACTTGGTAAAATGGGTGATCTTGCCGAAGAAACACCAATGAAATCGTGCTCGGCGATTACCAATTTCATTACTGTCGTAGTAGTCGTCATTGTCTGGGAGGGGCAAGCCACGAATTGAAGTGAAAGTGGTGCGCTCTCGAAAGTTGGCAATTAGTTGCAGTCGATCTAGTTTTTCTCTCTTCCAGAGCCAGTCTTCGAATTCTTCATTGTCAAGGCCAGGGGGAACCGCATTAATCGCTGATCTCCAGGCTGATGAACGCCCATAATATTCGTACTTGGAAGGATCCTCTGCCAAATGTCCCCATCTGTGTAATTCCGTGCAGTCACTGCCAAAGACTCTGATCCATTCAGATCTCGCTCTCTCCGCAAAGATCTTTCCTCTTGCCAAGTCACAATAGGAGATAGAAAGCTGAGCGGCCTGGATGAAGAGTCTCACCTTTGCAATATCGCCTATTCCCTGCTCATTGAAAAGGCGAATGGCTTGATCGAATTCGTGGAGTGTTCGTTGTGGATTTGACCATTTAGTTTCAGCATGACGACCTTGAGCAAGACTCATCAACTTGATGATTTCATTTAATTGCCTATCGCTGTCCTTGCGCTGCTTTGGGGGTAAGGAGCAGAGACTGCATTCACATTCAAACTTGAAATCCTTCAGGAGTATCGCACGTCGAGCTTTGCGATGGTTTCTAAGCTCAATGTAGTAGATCGTGATCTCCTCATCTTTGGAAATGTCTTTCGAAGCGGTGACGGTGAGTCGTTTGATATTATCGTTCCAGTTCACAACGGCGTTTTCGCGACAGGAGTGATTGATACGACATGCGTTAAGGAAGACCCCGCCTTTGTAGGAGTGATGTAGAAGTTCGTCTGCACTGCTGGGTTCATGCAAAGGGATAGCATTTGTGGAATAAATACCACAGTATTGCTGAAGTGTATTGCTGTACAGGCGTATGTTGTGCAACGAGAGGAACTCCTGCTGCTGGTGTTTATCAAGATTATTAAACTGTTCCGTGATGCAATTTCCGAGTACTTTTATTGGTACTCCATCGAATCCTGTAATGAGTGGCGATTCGGAAAGAATTCGAGTGCCATTGGGAATATATTGGGTCGCAACAAGGCCTATACCTTTCCCAGGTAAACTTCGCTTTTCATAGATTGGTTTGGCCATTGTATTGCACTTGTGATCGACTCGGTGTTGTTCAGCTTCCGATGATTGAAGTCCGAGATGTGGTAGAATTATGAGGTAGATCGAAACAACCTCTTATAATTAAGCCACAACCGAGTGAATGTTATCGCTTGCAAGGGTATTCACTTGTTTTTCAGTTCTTTGAGATCCAATATGTTCATCTGAGATTAATGATGGAATGGCAGGATGATACTCTGTTTGTTAGAATGAAAATTGTTGAATGAAAGGAAAGGTTGGTCTTGTCTTGAATGTGTTCAAGGGGTTTGATGATACAGGAAATGGAATGATGGGCTCTTTGCATCAAACCATGCAAATCAATTATAACAAGGCTGACTTCAATACATGACAACGAAATTTACCTTTGGTCGACGGAGAAAGTTTTCTCTGCAGCCACAAGAGCTATTCTATGTTGTGTTTGAAAGGGGTTCATTGACGGACAGAAGTTGAAACTATGAGCCTTGTTCTGGTGATTGCCTGCAGTGCTCCGAACCCTTCTTTCATAGAAAACAACACTCAGTATGTTCATGGCCGCTTCTGACGGGTAGTGACAGTGAGAGAAAAGATAAGTTTGTTTTTATTCCGCTCAACCTTTGAGGAAAATAATTGCATAGCATGCATCTCAAAGGATTGCATGAATGGAACCCTCACATCTCATCATTCAGCAAGTACTGTTGCCATTGCCTATCAGATACTCTTCTGGGTTGAACTTTCAACCTAGCGGTTGTTTCAGTGATTCCCAGTCCCACACAGAATTAATCGTACACATGCCTTTACTCCATGCCATGACCACAATAGCTGCGTCCATGGTGTGATGTTCATGTGAGTGCTGTTTGAATCCACTAGGTGTTGTGAGATCGATGGTGTGCAAGCAAAGAGAGATGGTAATTTTGCAATGAAGATCTTGGTTTTCCTTTCAATAGACATGACAAACAAAAACCTCCACATCTCCACAATCAAGTCACAGATCAGGAGCAAAGTCGGAATGTTTCCGATATCAAGTACGAAACGAGAGGACATAAAGAATTAAGATCAACCATTACTATGAAGATGAGGGGATAATTCCCGATTCTTAAATGCAATGGAAAGATAAGTACAAACACCTATATAGTCCCGGATAACAAAAGGGGGGACCTTTGTATTTCAGGGATAGATATCCTCCCTACGCTTAGCTAAGTAGCGTGACACTTTGTCCTTCCTAAACGCCGACAATTGCATTCCCGATGGGCCTGGAGTCGGACGAGATTCGGAGTTGTCCCGGGAAAAGGTTGATGACGATTATTTATCCGAGACCAAGCTCCAACAGCTCCCCCGCAATTCCACCAGACGGCAAGAAGCTTGAAATACCAATATCATCTCCAATCTCCAATCATTTTTGGCTCAAATCTTTCTTCTCATTAACAACAAGTAATATACTTCTCATCAAAATCTATCAATATCAATATGTCGAATCAATCAAACATTGCAACGCTCGATGTAAGTATCCCTTTCAACCAAAGCTATAAATTACCCCGCACCAAAGGGCAACGACAACAATATCAAAACACAACCAAGATTCCTTCATGACTAACGAATGTAATGTAGAGCACACTCATCGACCGTCTCCCTTCATCCTCCAAAACTCTCTTCGAAGCTAAAGCCACCAAAGCCCTCACATTCGAATCTATCGCCAATGAACTCGGCCGCTCCGAAGTAGCAGTCGCCGCCCTCTTCTACGGTCAATCCCAAGCCTCTCCCGCCGATATTGAGAAACTATCCCAAATCCTCGACGTCCCTCAATCTAAACTCGAAGCCGAACTTGGTGGCTTCCCAGATCGTGGACGTGCTGGTCCTATGCCACCTGTTGAACCTCTCATCTACCGATTGTACGAAATTGTACAGAATTATGGATATGCTTACAAGGCAATTTTGAATGAGAAGTTTGGGGATGGAATTATGAGTGCTATTTCTTTCAGTACGAAGGTTGAGAAGGAGACTGATGAGCAGGGAAATAATTGGGCTGTTATTACTTTGAGAGGGAAGTGGTTGCCATTTTCTAGATTTTAGGTTTGGAGTGATGGTGTGGGTGGAATCTTTGGGGAAGGCTAAGGGATTAAAAATCCGCCACGATGTATTATTAACTATGGGCAATGTACTGGTAGGAAATTATTGAATGAATGAAAGTTTACACTCAAAGTCTCATGAACGTCAAGCTCAACCTCGTATTCATTATGTGACACAGATGCTTACGATGCTATGGATTTGAGGAACTGAATTAGGTTTACCCACTTCGTTCTGTTGACAGTATATTAGTATCATTGTCGGCAATCCTCAGGAAAGTTCCTTCGATGCCTCATGCGGTTCGGCTGTCACAATATCAATTACTTGTATATTTCTGTTAGTAGTACAATTTTTAACTCATGTACATCGGTACCCATTAAGACAAATTGGATGTACCCTCACTACCTTCAAAGCTACCGAGAAATCCAGTATCTTACCTGATATTGGCAAGATGGTGTGTTGTTTACATGAACTCACTCTGGACAATGAAGGGATCTATTCTTGAATGCTAAGGACGACATAGTAAAGTGCCACTAGAAATGCAAGGGACTTAAGAGAAACAGCAACAGCTCCAGCAAGAGATTATGATGATAAATCGTCGTTCTCTGTGATTTCTAGTCGAATTTTGCATTTATTATCTAAGTCGAATTTTCGATATTTATTAAATCTGGGTGCTGCGTTACATGTCATATCATACTCAAAATCATATCATATTTCCGAGTCACTTGCAAACATACATCACATCACATCACATCACATCACATTCAAAGTCAAAAACGGAACCAATATATGGGGAAAGCAAAATAAGAGTTTGATTCCCAGAAGTATAAAAAGGGTCCATCACCATCCAAGTAGACAGCAATGTCCCATCCAAAAATATCAAACCGATGGGCGAAGTTGTTTTATGACCGTAATGAATGTCGTGGTGTATAAACTGTGTGTCGTCTATACTGCCGATAAAATCTTTTCTCTATGTGTAATGTCTATTTTCTAGAAAACCCATCTATATTGAACGTTCGTGTGTGCAGCATGAGGAGATGCTAAAATAAAATGTGCTGATAGATGTGTGTAAGAATTGTCAAGGATATCTCCCCTCGTTTCTTTTATCGATTCGCGGTCGTTGTTAAACTCGTTGTTCGCAAGAGTAGCTAGCGTTCGTGTTGATCGAAAAAAAAGAATGGGAAGTCGTATATCCCCTTATGATCTATCTCTCCCCCAAAAATGTCTCACGAATGAGACATTTATGCCTTCTGAACGGAGCAACCTCTACCAGGTCCAGCGCTCTTTTGGAAGTTACATCCACGGCCTGGTCCGGCGGTCTTCTGGACATTGCATCCACGGCTTGGTCCCTTTTGAACATTGCAGCCACGGCCGGGTCCGGCCTTTTGGAGAGTGCATTCGCGTCCTGGTCCTTGCATTTTGATTGATTTATTGGGGTGGGTTTTGGTTTTTTTGGTAAAAGATTGTATGTAAGTGAATGTAATTTGGTGAAGAAAAAAAATCTAGATTAAGGGGGATGGAGGAGGGGTATTTATATTGGAATTTTTGTGAGGAGATTGGGAATTATTCGGGGAGAGACAAAGAAGTTTTGGGGGTTGGGTCATGATGATAGCGTGTCAGGGTAATGTGTAAAGGAAAGAGAACAGGTGATGGAATACTATTCTTGTATTCTAGAAGATATTTCGAAGGAAATTTACACTCAGAACCTCACTTCCGAACTACTCAACAAGGAAGTTCGGAGGATCCGTTACCAAGCGAATATTGATTCTCTCGTGTAATGAAAGGATGTCATAAGGCCAAAATGAAGTTATTCATCCTTAACATTGTCCTCGAATCCTTAATATTGTTCTTCCAGGGACCGCAATGAAAGGATTGGAGAGGTAGTGCTCCAAAGCTAATTAATGGAAGGATCTGGAAGGAAGTTATTGAGTAGTGGGAATTGAACTCTTGTCGTAGTAATTGAGGTTAATTGAAAGGTTTGACTGAAGGTTGTTTAGCCTAGAGATTGGTTATCGCTGGTAACCTTACTTTGAATTCTTTGTCTTGTCACATATGGCTCGCTCAAGATAATTTATCTCGTACCTTGGAGTCAAACACCTCAAAGCAAAGCCAATTAAAATAAGAGTCTATCTTTCAAATTCATAAATGATTCCAGCCCTCCTTCCTCCGTGTACTTTTCGTGACAAGGAAACGGGACGGCCGATATTCTCCTGGGTCCTAGCATCCATATTGAAAGTTTCCGCTCTAGAAAGGCACACAGGAAACTATCCCAAGGGTTTCTCTTCGTGCTAAAGCCACAGCCATGTGAAGTACCCGTGATATTCCGCCTATAGCATGATTCGGAGCGTCCGATTCCTTTTATATCCTAACCAAACCAACAAGCTATTGAAAGATTTCATCTCTCATAGCTTTGAACTATCAAGGAAGCTATTCAAGTATTTTCCTTGTGCTAAGCCTCCCTCTACTCTCATTTCCCCGTGAAAAGGAACTTAGAGCTCTAAAGGTAACTTGGCGGGTGTCTACTGTAGAACATTCCCTTTTGTTTCGACCAAGGAAATCATTCCTATGATCTAAATATATATATACATAAAATCAGCGTAACCCTAGCCCTAGCCTAGTATCTACACAACAAAAAGTCATACAGCTTTAGAAAGCGTATGAGCTCGGGACCATAATTGACCTGTGAGTTTCTTGCTGCAATATTCAACGGAATCACGAAAATCAACGTAACTGCTATCTCAAGGCATATCTAGTTAGTTGCACTTAGATATTGAAAGGCTGGACGTTAGAGTAATACGCTTATGTCCAAGGAGAGCCCTACTTATTAAGACTCGATCATTGAGTTGTCACATGGTAGCGGGTAAAACACTGTTAACAGCATTGCACAGTAGTAATTATTTCATGTGTCGAAAGTCTAAGGATGATATGTAAGATTTTACATTGATAGATTCCTTCATGTATTCATTTTCTCTTGATATCCATATTTCTATCATTGATAAATATTAGCATGACCATCTAATGGCTCCAAAAAATAATGAAATGTCGACAACGCAGTTGAAGATTTAAATTTAGTTGATAGCTAATCGACTGGCTAATCGGCCATATTGCGCCTGGGTATTGCCTTATATGACCTTTTGATTTTCTAATGCATTCCAGGATCCTTCCAAAACTCAACCCAAAAAAACTCCATACTTGTGTTCACAAGAAATTTAAACCCGTATGCTCCATGCCGTCCTGGTGTTTGGTCCAGTGTTTATCGCTTTTCTAATCTTCCCTCGCTTCCTTTCCAAAATCATCATAAATAATTTCCGTAAATGTCATTCATTCCCCATTAACCCCCAATTATCCATCGCTTTTCCCTCCATAACCAGATCATTGACCCCCTCGATCCTTCCCCCACCCCCTCCAAATCCAAGACCTCCACTCTCTTCATCCACGTCTCGGGCCACACCAGATAAACTCCATGAATATCTCTCATGTGACTTTGCCACTCCTCATCAAATAAGGTTTCGCGATTGTAACATGGGACTTGTTCGCTATGCGCCTGAGACATGGATTTGCAGTAATCGAGGATGGCGAAACCTTCGGAAGGGGTTATGACTGTCCATTCGAATTTTGTTCGTAAAGCGTGAGAGCGCAGAGAGGAAAAAGGATCGGTGAGGGCATGGGTTGAGCTTTGGGCCAGTGAGCGGTAGTTTGAGAGAGCGGAGGTACGACTTGGACTGGGAGCGGTGGAATATGATAGGGCGGTGCTGCTCGAGGGAGATCGATGGGAGGTGTAGGGATCGTAGCTAGAGGATGAGGTTACTAGTGGTCGTTGAGCTATTGTTGTATAGGGTGATGGTGATGGAGTGAGTGAGGCGGGGGGGTAGGGGGGTGCCGGAGAGTAAGATGAATATGAAGGCGTATGTGATGAATATGTGAATTGGGGATGTTCGTCCTCTAAAGGTGTTATGTGGCCATGAGATGGATAATGTGACGAGGATCCTGATGTATCATGTGAAGATTGGTGACTTAGAACTTCTCTGCGTGATTAATTAGCCAAATGTTGTATGAATTTCATGAAGAATTCAAAAGAGGGAAAAGCCTCCAGATTAGAAAATCTTACAATCTTCCTCTTCCACTAGCAGCTTCTGCTATCGTCAAATTAAGTCCTTCATTTTTGATATGAATTGCAACATGTTTCCTTAACTTTGCGGCTGTATCTGTCTCCTTCATACAAAATCCACAAACACTTTCACACTTCGCTATCCTCAATACCCCTGTAATATTCCACGGTGGATGTGTATGACCTCTACTACAAGTAGTTGACGGTAGAGAACTCTCCCTATCCATTCTTCTTGGTAATGAACTCTCTCGTTCTGTTCTCCTCGACTGATTACTAACTGAAGATTTTATATCGTGACCTTGACTGTGGCTGTGGCGAAGTATTCGAGTGTGGATGGTGATCACCATCAGGGCGCCTTCACAGAAAGACGTGATATGAGATGATTTTGAAATGTCAATTATCACGAAATTCTTTGCCTCCAATACCGTTGCGTCGTTTGATGCGATGCAGCGATCTGATCTGACGATGAAGAAAAAGCAAAAGGAGAATCCGAGAATGATTGGCAATGATAAATCTTCCGATTCGATCTTATTTTCTGAATTGTTGCAAAGAGAATATAAACTCGATGTATCGAATTGGACGCTGAAATTCCTTATTATGGTCGAACTCCCGATACTCGTTTCATATAATAAGATACCAATGTAGATATCAATGAACCATCAACAGGAAAATCATCCATTCTTATAAAAATGCAAACTGTTAGATGATAATGAAGAAGTGATAAGATTAGGAAAGATATTCAAAAAGTTACAGTATGATGAATGGGGATAAGTACATTGTTATTTTTATATCTCATTTAGACATATTTTCAATCAATCGAGTGTGAAATGGCATTCATGGGGACGGTAAGGTACGGTTTGTGCACGATGCGGCGATATGGATTAGGTAGTCTCAAAATCATGATAACTCTTTTAGGCAATAATCGCGAAGTATGAATTGGGTGTGAACCAGTTTCATAAGTTGCGATTGGCTGAAATGGGGTAAGAAAGTAAGACTAATGATCATTTTTGGAGCAAAAGAAGCTTGGATGGAAGGGCAATTAGACCGAGCCGCACACGTGAATTGGATGTATGTGGTGTCAGTGGGGGGTGTGCTTAGTTACACTGTACAGCATTGTCTTGTGTGTGGTGGGGATCGAGGTGGGCAAGACGGAGAGTGAGTGAGATGCGGATCGAGACAAGGTAGAGAAGTTGTACGGAGAGTGAGTGAGATGCGGGAACCGAGATGCAAAAGAGTGGAGTGAATGGTTATTGATTTGGGTTGGTTATTGGACTGGGTGTACGGAGTAGAAACCCAGACAGTTGGTAACTTTGCGAGAAAGTAAAATAAATTCAATACTATAAAGTCTAATCTGAGGCATGCCGGTATCAAGAATGAATAGGGTAGGGTTGTTATGGTTCATCTGATGAAATAAAAAACTCTAGATGGATGCCTACTTGAAATTGTAACATTATATAGTATCCATGATCAATTCTCAAGCATTTCAGATGTGTCCACTATCAAGCAAGCAAGTGGGCAATCAAGCAAGTAATACTGTAACAGTACAAGATTACCTACTATGTGGTATCTGAGTAGTCTGGCGGTCCTTGATAATGGGTCTAGCGAAGGAAATTCACGGAAATCCAAAAGGGGTAAAATTCCTATTTCCGGGGTTGAGACAGAGGAATGAACGAACGAGGTAAATCGAATAAAAAATGGTAATATCAACGAACGGATAATGAACGAGAGTGAGGATAATAGATAACTTGGGGGAACGATAAGGTTTACAGGCATATATAGCTACTAGTAAGGGTACAACCTTCTCAAATGCACCCAGCTAGAGATGATCGGCGGAAGGAAGATGAGATGAGCAAGTGAGCCCAAGTGCATGCCACAAATCTACCATTCTCACTCAAAAGAGTAGAAAGTTACGAAACTAATGTTGATGGCTATTTCAATGAGCTAGCTTGTAAGGGTTTAATTCTACTCCAGATATCCATGTGAGTTGGGTTTATCACTGAGAATTAATATGTATGAGTTCTTTCGCAAGAAGCACGAATGATTATGTACTATGTATATATTCTAGTAGATGATACTGTGTATAGGTTTGACCACGCATCCATCTTCGCCGAATCAACCAATTCTAGAAAAAGATAGTTAGAAGCCCAAGATCAAACCCGGGGTTCCGTTTTCAAAACGTGGAAAGACTATATAAATCCTTGGCTTCCGGGTACAGTATAGTACCGTCCATTCTCTAAACCGTGGTGCTGGGTCTTTTTTTTTTTTTTTCATACAGTTCATTTCGAATAGAATTCTCCTACTGGGATTTACCCATACAATACACCAAGAGTTACATCACAGGAGAAATATAAATATAGCCTGAGATATTTCCTTGCTGGTTTTTTTTTGTTGATATGGGATGAGTCTTGCGAGCTTGCGAGGAACAGGTCCATTGTCGATATCGAATTTGAAATTTCTTCTTTCGATCAAAATAAGAGATATGTGAACCCTTGTATTGTGTAACACTCGCCGACTCGACTAATCGCATCTTCAAATCGAGGGTTTGGGAATATGAGTATCCTGAAGTGATTGAGTTACGGTAGGACGGCACGATACATAGGTAGTAATACTGGACGGGAATTAGAGTTTAACACACTTATTATTCAGTAGTATTAAAGCTAAAGCCTTCGCAGCTTATTGACACTACTTAAGGTCGTGTTAACGCTACCGCTACCACTATCAAAGAGCAAACAAAGCCCACATCTGGAACATGGAACATATTGATTCAGAAAGACTCTGTACAACAACAACAACAACAGATATAGTTCATATTCTCAGACTCTTTCTAGCCTTTTAGTCGTATACTCCCTTCATCTTCCACTCAATATATTCGAACACTATCTCAAGCAATCCAAAATGGCACTTCCACCTGGAAGACACGGGATCAGGACCTCCCCTAACTTTCATCATCAACGCTCTTGGAGGAATATGATATCATAAGGGTGGCTAGATAGAGAGAACCTTCCTATCAAAACGGAAGTCTCATCTCCCTTAACAAAAGTCCATGTTCTAAACTCTCGATTCTTCTTTATGCATCATAACGTGATGGTATTGTGGATACATAATGTGACTATTGCTGCTGAACATATGAGACATTCTTGTCGCGACTTGCTTTTCTCGAATATCGATGGAGTAATGCAGTAATGCAGCATTTCGCAAGCAACGTTCGAATCAGCTCCATTTTTGGAATATCTAATATTTTTTTTTAGTCAATGGAAGTACAATATCAGATTGAGATACCTCGGAGTGTGCTTTGAACCAGTATAAGATGATCTTTGCCCTTTCTTCTGCTATAGATTTATAGATTTTTAAGATATAAGCAATGGGTATAGTACTAGGTGCGTGTATTTCGGTCTTATATTGGATGGTTTTGTATTATAATAGTGTGAGATGATTCTCTGTAGTACTGGCATCATATTGCAACGTTTGAGAATCCCCTGATCTTTCTCGATATGCTTCGAATACCTCATTTCCCCCCCAAACGTTAATCCTATATGATCTTCAAGTAACATCTAGCATCAAATCTACCGTCAAATAATACCGAAACGAATACCATACCATGATTCGTCCTTTCAATATGCATCTTCAGGGAATTATCAATGCTGACCGTCAGCCCTAAATCGTTCTAGCCATCAGCATGCCGTCAGCAATCAGCAACCTGCACATTCTTTCAGCCCTGTGGTATTAGAACACCCGTCATACCGAACCATTTCTTGCTATTATCGCAGTTGACGGCATTACTCTTCCTGGTTTTCTTCTAGTGTTATTTCAGATAGAGTAGTGTCACAGAGTAGGTCAAGAAATATGATTTGGTGTTACGGTGGTAGTTATTGATGCCGGGAGTGGGAGGGAGGCAGGGAGGGCACCATCAGCTAATGATCATCATCCGTATGGATAAAGGCTTCGTTTTAAGCCTGAAAGAATAAAAAGTGGTAGACGGATATTGGACTTTCTTCTCTTCACGACATACAATGAGATTTAGGGTAAGATTTAGATGTGAAAGGACAATTTGATTCATACATTGGGCGACGAAAGAAGAGGGCATTCAAAGGGCATCTAATACCGTATATTGGCTGCAACACAAACCAATGGATTGTAACCTTAACAAGTGTTGTTGTTGTACTCGTTCAGGCTTCAACCAACTTGTAAGTTAAGGACAAAGGAAGATACACAGGTACATCAGAGGAAATGTACTCGGTACAGAACCCGTACGGACTTGTATCGGAGGTTTATTGGTTTCATTGGTGAGCGTTGAATTAGCATTGTGATTAGTTCTAGGGGAAGGGGTTTAAGGAGGTTTCCAATAATGTAGCTCTTATTGTAGTCCGAGGGGTGGTTCTGATCTACCTACCCACCACGTCTATTCCTTCCATTCCTTCCCTTTATCCTTTTTTCCCATCCATCTACCAGATAAGTTTTTACAATCATTCCCTTTACTAGATTTTAGATTTCTTCAACTCGTTGTACAACAGAAGAAGGTAGTGAAGTGAGATTGTTGTTGTGAACTTCTGGAGAAAGCCCGAAATTATCGGGTGATTTCCCCCTTCATCTCACATTCCTCCAATTTAACCTCTCTTCAGCGCCTTGGACATACTTCATTACATAGAATTTCTATAATCAACTCACCGAAAATTGTACAACCTCGTGTTCTTGTGTTCGAAATTCTGCCTATTCATTCATTTATTCAATCATGGGCGATATCTTTGAACAGTCCGAATTGAAACTTTGATCTACCTTATATACTTACGCAATTCACCTCCCCTTTAATCGCCCATCTTTGATTGATTCATTTGAAAATACGAATTAAGTTCCGCATAATCCTGGACAAATTCCGTATTGTTGCATTTGCGGCGCTGCTACTGCGCTGGAAATGGCAAGGGGATGAGTATTCTTAGAAAATTAACTTTCTCAAAGAAATGCAGACAAACCTTCGAACAAATCAGTCATGGCAGGTGCGACAGAGTCAGGAAATAGAGTGAGGCAGCGTCGTGCAAGTCGACCCAAAGTAAAGACTGGATGTAATAATTGCAAGTAAGTTTTTACAATTCCAGTTCTACTCGAGCATACTATTTTAGCAATTCTGGGGTTCCCGTTCCCTAGTGTTTAGGGTTGAATTTCCCCGCGTCCTATCCTACGCTATGCGTATCCATCGGCGGCGGTAGTAGCAAGTAATCATGCTTTGGCTAATTGATACATCTTTCTTCTCTCCAGGAATCGAAGAGTTAAATGCGATGAATCAAGACCTCAGTGTACGAAATGTGTTAGATCAGGAAGACAATGCGATGGTTATCCGGCATATAATCCGAGGAATCGACATGCCAATAATACCCTTCCAATTGCTCCACGACCGAGCAATGCTGGCCTGGAATCAAACTCAACATCATCCAACAATTCCATAATAATAACTACGAAATTTCCTGGCTCGACGACACTCGTTCCTAGGAGGGCATCGAAGTTTATCAACAAAACCAAATCCCTCAATTCATCAATACCCATCACACCATCAACCATCAAATCCATCGAAATTGATTCCGAATTATTTCGACCACCCACCCTGGGTCTCGCATTCGACGCCAAAGAAGGTCAATATTTCCAAGTTTTCCGAACCCATACTGCCAGCGAATTATCCGGGTTCTTTGATTCCGAATTCTGGATGCGTAGTGTGCTCCAAGAATCACATTCCGAAGCATGCATACGGCATGCCGTGGTGGCCCTCGGAGCCCTCTACAAAACCCTCGAAACAGTCGCCGAGTCACCTCCGGGTTCCCCAAGTTCGGGCTCGAACCAAAGTACTTATTCTAGGGATTCGGCACCCACGCATTGGAATTTTGCATGGGAACAATATGGAAAAGCGGTGACGCGCATGCGGCAGAGTATTGCAAATGGCGAAGTTAGATCTCAACGAACGATTTTAATTTCCAGTGTTTTATTTACTTGTTTTCAATCGTTTGTGGGGGATCATAAGGCTGCTATTAAACAGGTACAAGTGGGATTGGGGGTTATGGAAAAACAACGTAGGGAGAGGAGAAAGCTGTATATTCAACGCGAAGATGATATTGTGGAAGAAGAACTGGGACAAATGTTTACGCGGATGGCAATTCAGGCCAAATCTTACGATATGGCGTTTCATTTTCCAGCTCCGTGGGTGATTCGTCTCTCCACCAATCCAAGTATCGCCAATCCGGTATCATCACCATCGGGACCTCCATCTCCTTCAACGACTACTCCGTTGACGAATCTCGATTTCAGATATCATGTAGCTCATGATCCAAGTCTAGGAAACCCACCCAGTCCATCAGATAGTTCGACGGGAACCACTGCATCGATCGAAGCGCCAATTCCAGAGAGTTTCTCAAACGTTCACGAGGCGAGATTGGTACTTGATGCTCTTTGCGAGAGAATCATGCGGTATAATGAGGAGCTGGTGGGGTTTTACACGGTATCTAATAATATCCTCCCAGCCTCCATAAAATCCAATGGTTATGGCTTTGGACGCTCCCTCGAACAATGGCAATCTACATTCGCTCCACTCCTCGCCAAACGTCGCGCTCCTGGTACATCGAATACTGAGAGAGCTGGGATAATCGTACTTCAAATGGGATGCATAATGACGCGAATCCTTGTCTTCACGGCATTTTCCGCAAACGAAATGGATTTCGATCAATTCCTTCCTATATTTGCAGAGATTAATGAATTGGCCAAGGAATTGATCGTTGATGAGGAATTAGCATTGGCGCAAGCGAGATGTGGAGAAGCTTGTAGACATGTGAATTCGAGTATGGGAAGGGGAATTAGGACACCGTTTGGGGTCAAGGTGATGAGTCCTAGTTCTAGTCCTGGACCCGAGGGCAAACATGGGGTGCATGAGACATATTCACATATTAAACCATCTTTTGCATTAGATCTTGGGATCATCCCACCGCTATTTGTGGTGGCGACGAAATGTCGAGATCGAAAACTTCGGCGCGAAGCTATTTCTCTCTTGACGTCGAGTCATCGGAGAGAAGGAATGTGGGATTCGAGACTCTGTGCAGGGGTCGGGAAGTGGATTATGAATGTGGAGGAAGAGGGACTGCATGATTATGTGAGGGGTGGGGTATCGGAGATGCAGATGGTTAAGGATGAGAAGAGGGTTATGGTTATGGAGATTGAGTTTGATATGGAGAGGAGGTGGGCGATGTTGAGGTGTGGGACAAGGGGGGTAAGGAAGGGTGATTTTGATAAGAGGGCGAGGGAGACGCCGGTTTGTTGGTAGGTGGTGGGTGAGGGGTGGGATGAGGGGGTGGAGGGTTATGGAGAAATAATGGAATTTAGGGAGGATAATAGTGAAGGCATGGAATTTAGGGAGGGAATGGGTGAAGGAGAAAGAAAGGGAATTGAGGAGTTCTGGAGTTGTATGATATGATAGTGTACATACCTACCTACCTACTTTCAAGGCTTATTGTACGGATTGAATTGGGAAAATAACACAAAATCTAACAACAAAATCTAATACCACAACCTAACGACAAAATCACTTTATGAGATTTTATGGGACTTTTTTATACTTTTTAATTTTTTAACTTCGATACTCAGGCTTTCCTGGTTGATTTGAGTTGATTTTGAGTTGGTTTGATGGCATGGGATAGTATGGAGTGGATCGGATCTTACTTGCATGCATGTTTTAGCGTATGGACTTGGATGGATCATGGATGGAGATAATTTAGGTCGAAATGATGGATGTGATGGGGATGGATTTAATCGCATGGGATGGGATGGGATGGAGATGAGAATAGGGATAGGGATAGGAATAGGAATGGTGGGGATAGCAAAGCAAAGCATAGGAAGGATAGGAAGGACAATCAATCACTATAATTTCACTATTATAATTTCACTATCATAAATATAATTTGAGTTACTCGGTAAAACGTGCTGTAATATAAATTTGTGTTTTTTTTTTTTTAAGTGAATGACTATCTGTCTTCTGTTCGCTGTATTCGCTGTATGGGATTGTGCGTATGAAACTTACTAAGTTTCGTTCATTCGAACTGAACTGTCCGTCTTGTCTGTCTGTCTGCCATGTCTGCCATGTCTGTCATGTCTCTCCATCACATTTCATTATGCCTGCCTGCCTGCCTTTAATAAATTCCAAGTCCCTAAAAAGAAGATGAACCCTCTTCTTCTTCTTCTTCTTCTTCTTCTTCTTCTTCTTCTTCTGCATTTTCCCTTTGCAATATGGATCTCCTTGAGTTTCTTAATTTACTCAATGGACTGCGCGAATTGCCATTGCGATTCCCGCTTCCATTTCCACTCCCACCCCCATTAGATCTCCTCTGATTCACCGATCCCATTCCCCAAACGCCATTCCCCTCCATGTCCTTCTCCTTCAATTCACCCAAAACTGGCGGATCAGGAACCGCCGGTTTCCCAATCTTCCTCGGACTCCTTGCGCTTATTTTCTCCCTCATGTTTCGTTGGTGGAATTCCTCTCTTGCTTGCATTAATAATTTGACGATTTGTTTATTATTACCACTTCTCTGTACAGCTTCGTGAAGCGCGGTGTTGCCTGCGTTGTTTTCGAGGGCGAAGAGTTCAGGGGTGGTGGATGGGTGTTTGAGGATGAGTTCGATGGTTTGGGGTGAGCCGTGGCGAGCGGCGTGGTGGAGGGGGGAATTTCCTTCGCGGGTGAGGAGGCTGAGGTTGTGGGTTTTGAGTAGGAGGTATGAGATTAGTCGGTCGCGGCATGGGGTGCTAGTGTTGGGTTTGCGGATTGCGGCGTGTAGTGGGGTTTCCCCAAGGGGTTTCGAGAGGAGATGAAAGTTAGCGCCGGCGTCTCCGATGATTTCGATAATGTCGCAGCCGGAGATGCGGGTTCGATGTTTTTCGATGAGGGAATGGAGGGTGGGGAGTCGGAGTTTTATATTGCAGGTTGATTGAAGGTCGACTAGGTGGAGGACCGCGGTTGAATCTTCTTCTTTGATACTTTTCCATAGTGCTTTTTGGATTTCGGTGATAGCTCTGGGTTTGGATGAGATGGAAGTCCGTTGAAGTATATCTTCGAAGAGAGGAAAACATCGATAGAAGATAGCTAGGTCGAGGGGATTACGGCCGGTGGCATCCAAGTGTTCGAGATTGGCCCCAGCGGATATCAGGGTTTTGGAAAGTGACCATGATTTTCCTCGTATTGCGATATGTAGAGGGGCCATATGTTGAAAATTGATCAATGAGAGAAATTCTGGATGACTCCTCATTTGTGAGACTAGGAAATTTCCTATATCTTCATGACGGAAACGAGCAGCCCAATGAAGTAGAGTTTCACCACTTCCTTCTAGTGTCTGGAAGATATCAACTCCATTCTCTAGGAGATGCTTGATGATCGGTTCAGCTCCAATGATTCTCGTAGCTAGGAATATTGGCGGTATTCTTGTAGAATCGGTATTGGTGTTGATATCTCCACCTCTTGCCCTCACAGCATCAATAACAGGTATCAAAGCTCCTAAAGCTCCTAACCCATGCCTTATCAATGCATAAACCAATACCGATTGATTTGAATGATTCACGGCCAAGATATCCGCACCAGCTGCAATCAAAACTTCAATCGTTCTAGTTTGCCCTGCTGCTGCTGCTGAATGTAAAACTGTATTCTCCCCCCAGTCACGTGAATGAAGATCGAGACCTTTCTCCATGAACATCCTCAATAGCTTCTCATGTCCAGCTGCAGCCAATAGATGTAACCAAGTAGCACCATTTCTATCTCTCCCTCCAAAGCGAGTTTTGGCCCATTCCAACGATCGCTTGATGAAATATCCCATTACATATTGGGATTCCCAACAAGGAACGCAAGCCCAAAGACGTCGTTGAGAAACATAGGTACGACCTCGACTGTAAACCCATATTGATCTCGCTCGAGGTCCAGGTTCATCATCTACATCTGGTCGAAAGTGACGGCGAAAAGCTTTTTGATAGAGTAGAGGACTTAGAATTATTGCATGACGTCTTGAGGTCTGGACTAATGCGTTAAGTGGAGCCCTTCGAAGGAAATCCGCAATACATTGAATTATTTCTGGTGGAAGTTGATTGAAATTATCCATGATTGAATCAAGGTGAATTCAAGGAGGTTTTGAGGAAATATTGATAGAAGGATGTTGACCTAAGGTGGAATACTGCATCAAGACTTGATTGATTGATCGATCGATAAGAGTTGAGTACCCTTGGATAGGATAGATCAAGTTCTTGTTGGGGTTATCGTTTGGCTTGAAAGGTCAAATGTTTCTGTGATCTAAAGAATACCTAGGTATATCACGATATGGTACGAAGAAGTACCAGTGAAGTGATAACCTCAATATGTTAGAATAAATATCTTTAGATGATATATATTAAATTGAAAGATTGAGGTGAGGTGAGGTGAGGTCGATATAAAGAGAGAAGTACTAGATAGGTAATGAGGTAGGTAAGGTAATGAGGCTAGATTTCAATGGATGCGAGTACAAGTACAGTCAGTACTAATGATGATTTCACTACTCGAGTAATGAATGGATATCTTGTTTCTGTACTGACTGACTATATCGATATATGGTGTGGTGTGATAATTATCTTTAGAGTACTCAGTAGGTAGTACAAATCATCATTCTCACCTCCAAATCTCAATTTATTATCTGATTTTCACAACAAATTCCCATTAATTGATACTTTTCGTGTATTTGTGATGAATATATCGTGTGTGTTTTTTAAAATCAATTGACAACAGAGCAAAGTCTAAGTAAGTTGTTGAGTCACACGATATCCAATACTTACATATATGCCATATATTTATTTTGAATGGTTGTCAAGAAAATATCATTTCATGGTTGAGTTGTCATACCGGTAACTCAAGTACAACCAATTTGATACAAATACACCGAATGGGAATTAATAGATCATCCTTGAAGCGAAAGATTGACAACAACGATAATGACGACAACAAAACAAGGACAAGGATAACGATAATACAACTCTCAAGATCAGCTTCATTAATGTCGAGAAACATATACTCTTTGAAAAGCTGCACAGGTAGGCACTGTAGGTGGGTTTTCGAGACTAATACAATCATCAGTATCACATCCGCTCTGAAGTAAATATTACTCTGGAAAATCGAAACCCCCGAGTATGCTGAAGCATGTATGAATTCGAGCCAACGCTTTCGATTCTCCTTCTTCACGAGAGCTTGTCTGCTAGAATAAGAGGGGCAAAGGACTTTGGGTTTCCGCATTCACCTCAGGTTGTGGTTGCGCGAATAAGTTGTGAGAGATAGTTGTGGTGTCTATTGAATTGAAAATTGGAATTTTAAGGAATCAATAAAAGGGATGGTGTGCTATTTATGGAAATTGGGATTCTGAGAAGGAATCAATAAAAGGGATGGTGTGCTGTTTATGGAAATTGGGATTCTGAGAAGGAATCAATAAAAGGGATGGTGTGCTGTCTATGGAAATTGAAATTCTGAGAAGGACTCAATAGAAGGGATGGTTTTATTTTCTATGGAAATCGGAAATACGAGAAGCAGTCGATAGAAAGGGTGGTGTGGTGTCTATGGAAATTGAAATTCTGAGAAGGACTCAATAAAAAGGATGGTGTGCTGTCTATGGAAATTGAAATTCTGAGAAGGACTCAATAAAAAGGATGGTGTGCTGTCTATGGAAATTGAAATTCTGAGGACTCAATAAAAAGGATGGTGTGGTTTCTATGGGAATCGAATTCCGAGAAGAACTCAATAGAAGGAAGGGGTGGTGTTCTTGTCTATGGAAATCGGAAATACGAGAGGAGTCGATAGAAGGGGTGGTGTTCTTGTCTATGGAATTGGAACTCCGAAAAGGACTCGATAAAAGGATTAGCATATACACTTGCAATCCAAAGGACCAATTGTCGACGATTTCCCTCCACGATAAGACCACTGAGGAATTCAGGGATGCTGGCGCCGGTTGAAAGAGCAGCCATTTCGACAGAAACGGTAATATAGTTTGGAGCAATATATGCATTGCTTGAGGAAAGTGAGTGGATAGAAGGCGTGCGGGAGAGAGTCTTGGAGGGGCGAGTCTTGGAGAGCCTCGTTCATAACTTAGTCTTTTCCGTGGAACATCAAGGCGTCAGCCATATTGTCTATATCACCAATGACAATATCGGTATTATGATACGATCATTCGACAATATCCTTCGATTGGTCAGGCTTTCCCTCAGACAACTCCGATTCTTTCACCTCATATTCTCCAGATGAATTTCTCGTACGCCTCCAATCTATAGAGGTATGTCAAATATCAACAGAATTTATCCAACCATTGTCGGATAAACGCCTTCATTATCTCATCTCAATTTAATGTATACATCCCCGAGTCATGATCACCCCTTTCCATGAATTTACTCGACATGGCTCAATCTCGAGCTCTCAGGGTTTGGAAAGCGCTTGAGTACTTCTATTCTCTGGAATCATCAACGTATCCTTCAATCTCAATACTTCTGGTCCAGATTGGGATTATGTTGTCAAAGATCTCGTAAATACAACTTCTCAAGCTTTTATAGCTGCTTACAGTACCGATATCGACTGCGATGCTACAATATCGCTTCCTCTTCATCAGCTTCATCATTCTCTTGCGACGACAGTTTTGCAGTCCAAGAATATCAAACAGTTCATGATTATCCCGGATCGGTCTATCAATTCAATTATTATTGGCTGGTTTCTATAGGAAACTGGTGGGAGACTGAATTTGCTGATGGATGGAAAAGATTACAACAATGTGGAGAAGCAGTAGAAAATACAACTTCAAGTGCAATAACGACGACCCAGATTACGGCCTCGGTATCCTCAACTTCGAGTGGATTAAGCATCACAACTTCTACTGGCACTTCCTCGTCCACAGCAACAACTATTACAGAATCATCCTCCACAACATCAAGTGCAGCTAGTGAAACTACAAAATCTGGGGCTTTCAAGACTGAATATTCTTTAGAATTAGTGTTCTTAGGAATTTTCTCCGCAATGTTCATAATCTAAATATCAGATGATACACTGCCATCGGATACTACATAATAGAATTTTGTAACTGCTCTTACAATTTGTTTGCTATTTCTATAATCTGTCATGAAATGTTGACCTTTCGTCCGCCCTTTATTTGTTGGTAAATTTTGAAGTTGAGTCATTTTCAATATACCACATGGTCTTAAGTTTAAGACCATTACAACCTTATTACGGCCTTGTTCCTTTCATCACACAACACGTTTTTGATCCATCCGTGGCCTGTTATTGCGTATCTACAGTCGATGGGTCTAGACCTATATTAGAAGTTGATGTTTTGAATTGAACGAATATTGCTATGTGGCCATTTGTTTTACTGTAGCGACCCCTTTCCAAATAGTATAACAGGGTCTAAAACAGGCTCTGAATTTTTGGTGTGGACCTACAGTCGGTTGATGTACCATAGGTTCAATGGATCTACCTTTTCCGATTTTGGTGGAACTCCCCATCTCATCTCTACACTGGCCATGATCTATTCTTGTATTCCGCTAATCATTAACTTATTATTGAGGTCGGCCAGACCACTTTAAACCGACAAGTATACCATTCAATCTTGACAATGGCCGTAATGATAGGAAAATGCGAACTAATAATTGCAAAGTGCAAAATTCAATATCTCCGAGAAACCAACATTGATGGAATGTACAACATCTTAGTAGATACAAATAGAGCTCTCTGAATGTTAGTGAAATGTTCAATACATCAACGATCAATACACCAGTGATCAATATATCAACAATCAATAAATCAATAAACAAATCATCAATCGCTTTTACAGAACAAAAGTTTCACTACAGTATCACCATCAAACAACTACATACAACAGAAATGGTCCGTGAAACCTACAGAAAATCCTCCAACGGAGCCTTTCAACCAAACAAATTTGGCAGTTACGACGGAGATCATGAGGAGATCACCACATTTACCAAGAACTCAAAGACAGGGAAATATGAGACTGACATACATTCGAAATACGACAAGAACGGGAAGGAAGTCAAAACATACAAATACTGCGAAGTCGACAAGGAATATCGTCGACATGTTGGCGGTAAGTTTGACAAAGATGGAAAAAAACTAAAGCCCCGATCCAATCTTACAGAAGCATTAAATCATGATCGTACTCAAGAACGGGGAACTGGAAGCAGGCCCGAAGGGTCGCAAAGGCCTGAAATAACCGGAACAAGTCTTCCGCGTTCCGCACAAGTTTCAACATCACGAACTCTTACCCCGAGACAAATTGAGCAACAAAGAATGGAAGAGACACAAGCTTCAGAGCTCTACCATGATGACGCGCCCCCGCCATCATACAGTCCCCGTCGTTTTCGTATCGGTCCTAATAATCCAATGCTTCAGCAAAGAGGAGTCCGACGTGGTCAACAGGTTCCCGAATATCAACCTGTTGCTTCTACATACAGTAAGCCAACTGGTCAGAGTCACCGTCTAGGTCACGGAAACGAGCCACGAATGGAGGATTTTGGTGGTAGACGTGATACTGCTGCTCCCCAAGCTTACTCAAGTTCCGACGATAAAACTGCGGGACGACATGGTAGAAGGCCTTTAACGAGCGATGAGGAGCCGAGCCATAGTCAGACCAGTAGTTCGCAGGATATGTTTAAATTCTCTGAGTCATCATCCTCATCAGATACGGGAAACAAGCCTATGAGTGAGGCCGCCTTGAAAGATGCTAAAAAGAAGGCACCTAACGATGCCAAGAAAGCGGAAGTCAAAAGGACAGAAGCCACGAAGGTAGAAGAAGCCAGAGTGAAGGAAATCAGGGATGGGAAAAAACCGGTGAAGCTGACTCGCAATGAGAGTACAAGCTCAGGTTCAGTAGCAGACATGGAGAACTCACCACCAAAAGCTACCCTTGCTCGTCGTACGACGGGTGACAAGGCACTTGTATCACGTCCGAAGCCGAAGCCAAAGGCAGAAGTGCGTTCAAGTCGCCCAGACCGTGAGACTAAGGAATCACACCACAAGAGAGAAACTAGCGCTGAACGAAAGACCGGTAAGGCAAAGGTTGCTGAGGTTGGAGATGCTAGTAGAGCACGTAAGCAGAGTCGTCCGAGGAGAAATGAATCGAATGGGGATGATTTATATGATGCCTAGGAGATTATTGATTGATGTAAGTAATCTTTGGGTCAGGTGGGTAGGTGAGTTTTGAATGATTTTATTGGTCTTTTTTGCGAGTTTGGTGGAGTTTGAGAGTTTGTTGGTATTTTTGTCAAATTTGGCATAGTTTGATTTGCATGGACTCGGAGTTATAAGGTGAGATCTACTGTTTGTTTTATCTAAATGAAGATGAATTGGACTCAGAGTTAAATGGTTAGTATAGAGTTTTTAAATATTACGTTTTTACATTTTGGAGAATAGTTTCTTCTGCGTTCGGGGTGTATTGTTCTCTCAAAGTATACTTACTACTTTCTCCTCAAGTATACTGCCTTTTCCTCAAGTATTATCTTCTCCTCAAGTGTATCATGTTCCATAACAATCTTTTTCAATTGAGCACATCCAAGAGTCGAAATCCAGACGTGGGATGGTCTTGCTTCAGCTACTAGTTAGTAGAAGTTCCTCGGAGGGTAGCTTAGTGAGCACATACATGATCAGATGATTATATCTTTATTTCTACAAGTACCAGATGCTACAACTTCATATATATGCATCCATTCATTGCAAATTAGATTTTACTCTAACTTCCATTTCTATCCGAGAATCTTGTATCAAATAACTCCATCGCCTCGCCTCTCTACCTACATCAAACAGAAATCTCATTATACAAGCTCAAATTACAAGAAAAAAAGAAACCCCATTCATTCCCTACCCCAAATTCACCCTCTCATGCCCCATTATAAACAGCCACATACCCCACCTCCATACCACTCCCACTTCCTCCCCACGTCTCATCATCCGGCACCCCCGCCCATCCCCCACCAACCGCAATATTCAAAATCACAAAATACGTCTCCCCCACCAACTTCACCCAACTCGCATATTCCCCCACCATCTCCCCCGTCACGACATAATACGTCTCCCCATCCAACTCCCACCTAATACTCTGCGTTTCCCAACTCCCGATCCGCGATACCCTCACTCCATACGTATGCCATTTGGAGCGATCCAGCGCCTCATTCGACGACGACAACGATTGTGCGGTTTCAGACGATGCAGATTCCCAATGTGCGGATCCCATGTTCCATGATGCTCCGTTGACTAGTTCCATGATATCCCATTCTCCACAATTGGGCCAGGAAAAATTACTCCGAAATGATTCTCCCAATGTCCAAAATGCAGGCCAGAATCCTTGTTGGTGCGAAATGTCATTTTGTCCTAATTTAATAGAAGCTTGCAAGATCATCTCTTCGCCGTTCGCGCACCCAAAACTCTGGTGTGTGCTGAGGCGTGCGGAGGTCCAGGTGTGCGTGAGGGGCGTATAGAGGGGTGTTATGTGTAAAGTGGAGTAGCCGGAGAGATTGGCGTTGAGGGGGAAGGATGTGTACTGTTGGATCTCGTTGTTATTGTTTGTGAGGGGTGTTTCGTATTGCCAGTTGGAGGGGGAGGCGAGGTGTCCGGCGCTGCCGGTGAAGGTGTCGGACCAGGTTAGGGTGAAGTTGGGGATGCTGGGGGCGGGGCCGGCGTGGGTGAGGGGGAGAGTGAGGAGGAGAGTGAGGAGGGTGAGGGGGAGAGAGAGGTAGAGGGGGGTTGGGGATATGGATGTAAATGGTTGTTTCATGGTGATGATATGAGGGCTCTTTTCTTCTATTTTTTTGGGTTTTATTTGCATTGATCTCGCTAGCGATATGGAATGGTGCGTTCAAGATGATAAAGTAGCAAGGAATGGAAAGGAATGAATGGAATCAACAAATCAATCAATCAATCGAATGATACGTGATCGTACTATAATAAATAAATATGAAAAGAAAAGAAAGCTGCTCCATGCATTTTTCCAAAATGAAAAACCCCGTTTTATGGATAACTCCCTACTTTATGGATGGATAACCTTTCCTATCTCTTCTGTTTACTTTAGATGATTTGATTGTATCAATAGTTTGGTCTGGTATGGTCTGGTCTGGTCTGGTGTATTAGGAGGTTAATAGGGTCGAATTTGTTTCCTCATCCTTCCTATATATCCCATATCCCATATCCCAATTCTATACATCCCCATCTCACCTCCTCCTCCTCACCTCATCTCAACTCCAACTCCAACTCCACCTCCACCTCACCACCAGTATACTGTAGTCGGTATTTTGAACCCATCGAAAAACTGGCCTTTTGGAAGACTGTCATGTACTCGAGTACCGGTAGTCCAATTTGGATTTAGTACGAAGTAGTAAATCAGATGGTTTAATTGATTAATTGATTGAATGAATGAATGCATTAATTAGTTCGACTGGTTGACTATTGACTGTTGATTGTTGACTATACGAGTACTGTTCACCACCAACTACAACTACATACACCAATAATATGAATCCTATTTATATTATAATTCCTACTCCTACTCCTACTCCTGATCCTCATTTCTCAAAAAGATCCCAAAAACCCAATCCAAGACCCTAAATCGTGGCTTCTGGGTTGTAAGTTGGGCTAGGAATTGGGTCGGAGTAGGTTGGAGTACTGGATGGGTGGATGGATGGATGGATGGCGGCAAACAGACGCAACTCCCTATCCCTGATCCGATATAACAATTTCAACTGGAATCAATTGACTAATCACTCTCTAAGTTTGTTGCTTGGAGTTTGGAGTTTGGCGTTAAGATGATGGATGTATGGATGTTGGTTGGATATTAGGTGTTAGATATTAAGTACAAGGCCTCTTCTCCTCTCCTCCTCTCCTCTCCTTCATCCACCATAGAAACACTACCACCACAGAGACATAACATTACCGTAAAAGATTGATTTGAACGAATAAGCGGGAGGTTGGTACAACTATACCAAACTTTACTTTACTAGACTTGACTTGATTTGATTTGATAAGTACAATACACTACAGTACAGATGTTGATAGGAAATAATGGCCAGGCTAGGCTAGGATATTAAGATGATATGATCTACGAGTAGAAATATGGTGATACTGTAACCTATGAGTATAAACTGATCATCTGGTCGAAGCGCTGAAGATCTTGACTTGGCTTTTGTACTCTGTTGTAATTTCAATATGTTGTAATCCATCAATCAATCAATCAATCAATTATCTTTGTATTTATTCGATTTCTCAATGAAAAGTTGATTGCTCAGATATTCCGATTCTAGTTTCTAGTTTCTAGTTTCTAGTTTCGGGATGAAGTCTCGATTTGTGGAAACGTTACGAGTATTGATTCCAATATTTTTTGTTCATCATCTCATCATCTCATCGAATACTTGAAGGGGTTTTTGGTATGATTTTCTTCCCCGTTTCATTTGATTCTTACACTCGTAACTTTTGATATAAGTCACAAGACTCTGTGTTCGTTTCCAAAACAAAAATGGTGCCACAGGTCTATGTCACCTAATATGGACGTACAACGCGAACTCCCTACTGCGTTTCGATATCCTTTCAAAAACTACTCGTAATGCATCCAGCGGTATGACAAATCATGAACTTCCCTCCCTCCCTCCTTTATTAGGTTTGAGTTTTGAGTCTGTAAAAATACCGGTATAACCATATAATATCACATTCCCGGCAATTCCGAATGCTAAAAGTAGTACATCGATCGACTGCAACAAATCCTTCATGGAAATAATTACCAACTTTGACATACTCGAGTATACTCGAGTACATAAACATTGAACAAGTCGTGTAATCACATGAATGGTTCAATCTATCATCCAACGTGAATCTAGCATCCTGTGGACTACCACAATTCCTTCCGATTGGATACCCCATCACTAATGTCTCGAATGAATTCGCAGTCCCGATAAGAAATTCATGGGAGGGAAACTTTTCCCAACCAAATTGATTTTCCGTCGCCACGAATCCAGATTAAGAATAAATGCGTCGGGTAGTGTTTCTGTGGTGTTCGTTGTCCATTTGAGGAATTTTAATCCAGTCGATCGTACTCGTACTGATGTGAGCTGAAAAAGAAGAAGCGATTATTGTATTCTAGTACAACGATTTGTATGTAGACTTTAGAAGAAGAGTTGACAATGATTTCGCTGATAGAATATGCCCAACTTATATACGATATGAAGGGTTTAAGAATGGCATATGCTCGCGTGCTTCAGGAGACTCTACCCCGCCACAAGCAAATATCCATCCACTAGAGAAGCTTCACACTTATTCAGCTCGTCCAATGAATTTTGAGGGAAATTGCGTGATATTTCCATCTAACTTGTTTGGATATAAAGGGTGCCGAACAGATAATTAGTTCAGGAACAATGGGAATACAATGATATGATTTGAGTAACTTTGGAAACCAAGGGGAAACCTTGATTTTGGTGTCTTTGCATCCACGAGGCTAGAAATTGTTAATATTGATGATATTAATGGTCAATTGAAATACACTTGTATTAACACACTATATGCAAGGCTGAAGAAGTCTGTTTCCTGGGATCGGGAGAAATTAGTTGATGTTAAAGAAAGGAGGGAGACCGTGACGAGAACAGCTAATCATGAAAAGTACGCCGCTTTTATTGAACACTATTGGGTAAATCGGGTTGTCTGAATTAAACTCAAATAAGTCAATATTTACCAGTACCCGGTGACCGGCAATCATCAGGTATTTAGAAGGGGATGTGGAACATGAAATATGATAAGAGGATAAGAGAATTGCGGTGGTGGACTCCAAGGTTCCAAGGTTGGGGGAAGGTGGAGTGCTTACTTGTACAGTGCGGACTGCGGAACTGTGAATAGTTCATTGACTACTTAAAATTCATGTACTCGAGTATTGTAACCAACCATACACAACAGGAATATCAGTAGAACAGTTACTGTACCACCTGAAGGACTTCCTCCATATGAGCGTGAGGGTATCGTATCTCTAGCTGTTCCAAAAACTTCTCGAAGTTTCAATCAAAAGAAATTGATGAATATCAACCACTATCACATGAAGATCGACAGAGTTCAGCCAGATAAGGTGACAAATAAAAAGATCCACTCCAACTTGATGGATCAATGAATTCCCCATGTTTGGGTTCTCTTTGATTCGAGTTGACCTATTGAGTACAGGTTGAGCACGAATTTGAGTACATAAATGGATATGTGATACTACAACAAAACCGTTGAATTAACAATACAGTGACATACTAGACTCCTAGATGCTGTATTCTGTACTCGATGAATTCTGTCACATTGATAACTTTTTGATAATAAGTGATAAGGTTCATTTTTATACCAGGCCAGGGGTATATACAACTCCATAGTTACATACACAGGGTCCGAACCCGTTAGTCTAAAGCTATTCAAATAGGATTAGCGTCAATATCATCACGCAAGATATTCCCAAATGGCAACATTTTCCCTCAAAAACCATCAAAGTTCAATGTCTAGGACAGTAGGACTCCACCAATATTAGATATACAGAGAACTCAGAAGAATCTCTTACTTCCTTTTCCATCTTTCCCTTCCTAGTCCGAATATCCTCAACGTTCTCTCTTAAGACTAAAGTTAATCACTCACCGCCAGGTAATATCTAAGGAGGTGATTTCATATATCTGTTCCTTTCTTTCTCATTCATTCACTCTTCGATTTTCTCAGATTCCATATATTCCATACTTCAAAACTACTCTTTCGGTAGTTTATATCTTATTTAAACTTTTCTTGTCCGTGATCACATCATTTCCCCAGAGTATTGCATCTTTCCATCTACTTGCCCCTCCATATCAACGAAGAACTTCCCCATACTCTTTTTCATTTGAATCTCAATTCAAGTCAACTCAACTCAAAAAATCATATATCATATATCAGAGAATCAAGCAATAATATCACCATGGCTCCAGATTTGAACACAGTTCCTTCATCTCCACGACTAGACAAGAAGTCAAATTCCCCTTTCACCAATACCAACAACATGCCTTCCGGTTCGAAGCCCAACATTTTATATATCATGGCAGATCAGTTGGCAGCACCTTTACTAAAGATGCACAACCCCAAATCTCAAATTCAAACACCACATCTTGATGGACTTGCCAAAGAAGCCGTCGTCTTCGATTCCGCATATTGCCCTTCGCCACTGTGCGCCCCTTCACGAATGTCAATGGTGACTGGTCAATTACCATGCAAAATTGGTTCATACGATAATGCCAGTTCCATCGATCCCTCTACTCCCACCTACGCACATTACCTACGAGCTGCGGGATATGAGACGACGTTGGCGGGAAAGATGCATTTTATTGGAGAACAGTTACATGGTTATGAGAGTCGTTTGACGAGTGATATCTATCCCGGAGATTATGGTTGGGCGGTCAATTGGGAAGATCCCGAGAAGAGATTGGAATGGTATCACAATGCTAGTTCGATTCTACAAGCTGGGGTTTGTGTGCGGAGTAATCAATTGGATTATGATGAGGAGGTTATGTATAAGTCAACTCAATTCCTTTATGATCACGTTCGTAAAGGTCCAAATACTAGACCATTCTGTATGACTGTAAGTTATATATATGAGTAACCTCGGTTTCAATTGACTAACAGATTACTTCAGGTATCACTCACTCATCCACACGATCCTTATAATATTCAAAAGAAGTTTTGGGATCTCTACGAAGGTGTCGATATTGATTTACCCGAGACCAAGATTCCACAAGAAGAATTAGATGCACACAGCAAGCGATTATTGAAAGTCTGTGATCTTTGGGGTAAAGAATTCACCGATGATCAAATCAAGAGAGCCAGACGTGCATACTACGGAGCCGTCAGTTATGTTGATGATTGCGTTGGAAAATTACTTCAAGTATTGAAGGATTGTCAACTTGATGAAAACACCATCATTGTATTCAGTGGTGATCATGGAGATATGCTTGGAGAACGAGGTCTTTGGTATAAGATGTCATATTTCGAGTCATCAGTCCGAGTACCTCTTCTCGTTCATTACCCCAAATATTTCAACGCTCATCATGTATCTGAGAATGTTTCTACATTGGATATTCTGCCTACCTTGGCCGATCTTGCCAATGTTGAATTATGGCCCGGTTTACCAATGGATGGTTCATCCCTTCTTCCACATCTTCAATCACGTCCCGGTGGATCCGATACGGTTTTTGCCGAATACTGTGGTGAAGGTACCATCTCACCCATGATGATGATTAGACGTGGACCATGGAAATACATCACATGTCCCGCTGATCCCGATCAACTATACAATCTCAGCAACGACCCCAAAGAAATCATCAACCTTGCCTCTCTCCCCACCAAACACGCACTCATGACGGAAGAAACCAGCAAATTCCTGAAAGATTTCCAAGCCGAAGCAGCAGCTAAATGGGATTTCCGAAAGATCACCAACGATGTTTTATTATCTCAACGCCAACGACGTCTAGTATGGAGTGCGCTTAAAACTGGTAAGTTTACGAGCTGGGATCATAATCCTATTGATGATGGTCGTGAGAAATATATTAGATCGCATATTCCTCTTGATGATCTGGAGCTAAGAGCGAGATATCCACCAGTTGATAGTCAAGGGAGGGAATTGGTGGGGGTGGGGATGGGTGGTTCGGGGGCGGGAGGGATGGGGAGTGTGGTTTATGATCAGGCTGGTGCTCATGGTCAATGAGGGTTTCTGTCTTTTGGAAGTGAAGCAGAGCAGAGCATATTTTGAGATTTAAGCGGGTGTTCGGGGGGTTTTTGAACTTCTTCTTTGTTGCATTATGCATATGATATACCAAAATGAGGTTACTATTTTTGGTTTTGTGGTATGGGATGGATGGATGGATGGATGGGCATCGCGAAGGAAGGAAATGTTTTGCGAGATGATATTATATTATATAAGATGATGAGGATGAGGATGAGGATGATGATGAATAAATGAATGAATGGAATCGCTGGGAAAAGCGATATAGTATAAATAGATGAATGGAAATATGGAAATATGATTTAAAGGTTAAATTAAATGAATGGCAGCTTATTGAATGTTAGATGAGATGAGATGAGATGAGGGGTTGTGGTTGGTTAGAATGGGTTGGTTGGTTCGTTGATTGTATTGGTGGTGTGGTTAGGTGGTGTGGTTAGATGGTGTGGTGGTTAGGTGGTTAGGTGGTTTAGTTAGTTGCTACTGCCTGGCTGACTGGCTGGCTGGATCTTTATAAAGTTATGCTGTTATGCCGTTATGCCGTGATGATGTTATGTATCTATTGAAGGAGGGGTGTTTGTGGTGGATGAGGATGAGCATGAGCATGAGTTTTGAGATGAATATGGATATATTTTACATAGATATTACGTGGAAAGAAGGAAAGAATCAGATGATATGAAAAGATGAGATGGGAAGGGATGGGAAGGGATGGGAAGATGGGAAGATGGAATGGAAAGATGTGATGGGATGAGATGTTATATTAATATTGTGTGAAATCAAGTTCAATAACATCAAATCAAATAATATCATAATATAAGATAATAAAATACCAAGTTTATCCAGCAGATCCCATAAAAGACACAACAGCCCACACACACCAGGCGAAACAGCAGGACCACCTCAGCCAGCGGAGCAGGAAATTCACAATGAAGGCTACACATAATAGCTAGATAGTTTAGTTCCACGATTCTTTCTAAGGCACCTACCCATTCACATGACATGTACCGATATAAGTACATCGCTTAGAATATCACTATACCCCCTGGGGAGGTCTGAGGACTCAGGACGGCTATAAGCCGTTCTTTTGATGTGAACCAATACTGGTACTACTACTACTACTACTACTCGTCCTCCTCCGCCTCTTCTCCTTCCTCTTCTCCTTCCTCCTCTTCTCTTCTCTTCTCTTCTTCGTAAATGCCACGGTCTAATGACGATTCCTGTGGTTTGAATGAAGCTAAGAGTAGCCTGCCAGTGGACTCCGGGTGTGGTATAGAGTAATATATTCAAGTTGACACTTCGAATGTTGAGATCTTTAAATGCCTCTTTGTGCTGTAGAGCATAACCTTACATAGTAACGGTATGAGAGTAGGAAGGAGATATTCGGGCGTTTCTTCGAGGCCACATTTATCTTCATCGTTTTGACTCGGAGCAAGTTTAAAGCGGTGGAGGTACGTACTAGGTAGCCGTGGCCTAACTTTAGTTGATACTGTATAGTAGAATGCACTTTCAGTGGCTCTGCGTAGATGCAGAGCCTGGCCCACGATCACCTACCTCATCCTTCTTTCTTTTTACCACCGACATCTTCTTTTCTTACTTTACTCCACTCAAATTCAATACATATAATATAGTATAGTATGCTGTACCCTCCTACTTCCCACGCCGTTCGTATTAATCATTATACTCTACTCGTACAAGGCAAGGCCAGGCCATTTCCCTAATAGTTACTACTCGTTAGCATCTTAGCATCGAGATATATGTAGTGCACCTCGAATATATCACATTATACTGAGTAGTTAATACAGTCTCATCTCATCTCACGAATCACCTGCATTAGGTATTCTCCACAGCCTCTTGTACAAGCACAGTATTACCTGTTTAGTTCACAAGACAAGACAAGATAAGATGGAGGGAGGGTACAGGTACAGGTACTGTAGACGAATTCATGCGAAGAAAATGATGTACCAATAACCTACTCATATATTGATACGAGTATAACTCTGCCGCTACTTCAAGTTTATTACAAGGAACTATTCAAAGTTTCATACGATGGCCAATCTGATCGCTAAAGCATTCCTAATTTTGAAAGAGATAGATAGATACCTCTGCTTTCACCAAGTATCGAATGCGACCTCGCGCTCGAAGAATTCCAAAAACACATATCAAGTTACTCCCTACCGCCGAGGCTTTCAAGATATGTATGTTAGATTACAGTACTCCCTGCTACCGACACTGTGGTAGCAGGGCTTGGATGCGGGTATACGGCGCGGCCAGGGAGGATTGATTGGATGTTGATGTTGGTATTGATATTGATGGGGTCTCGGACGCTACTCCGTACAGACTCTAGTCAATTCTGTAGGCAAGCACTTCCATGGATACTATTCCAGGATTAGACAGGACTACTTCGCGATTATATCGAAAGGTTGCATTCCACGCAGCCGCTGGATTCTATCTAAATGGAATCACGTACTCACGCCTCCAGCACAGAAAGCCCAAATTTTTTTCTGAGTGATGGTACAGTTGCTTAAAGTTCATTCTTCAAATTTTCTGCGTCTTCCAAGCAAATTCTCAAAATGCCTTCTAAAATCACCACCGAACTTGCTGAAAGCAACTTATTATTACCAGGTGTGATAGACCTGAGAGCTGAGACAGAACCAGACAAACTCTTCTGCGTCCTGCTGAACTCCAAAAACGTGCAAGATGGGCTTATCAGCGTATCTTACAGCGATTATGCCAATGCCATTAATCGCTCGTGGTGGCTCGAGGGAAAGCTAGGAAGGGGTAATGACTTGAATCTAAAGACCATCGGATACTTTGAGCCTCCTAATATTCGACAGACCATTGTTGCTTTGGCAGTTTCCAAGATTAACCATAAGGTAAGGTAAAACACTACCAGAATTACGATTGCCTGATAACTAAAACAATACTACACAGACTTTGTTATTATCTCCTTGAAATTCTGCTGAAGGAGTACTCAGATTAATTGATGTGTGCGAGTGTCAAGACATTGTTGTTGCCCAAGACATGCTGGCACTTACTCCCACCCTGAACGTTCTTACGTCTAAGAGAATATTACAAGTTCTACCATTTGAGGATACGACGCATTGGCTTGATCATACCCAAGTTCCTCGTTACATACACGATGCTTCATTTGAGAAGGATGCAAGTCGACCTTTTGTAATCTTACACACTTCAGGGTCTACAGGTAATTAATCATACCCCTCTTACAAGAGTATAACTTATCTGGATCAGGCTTTCCTGAGCCTGCCGTATACACCTTCCGTGCTCTTGCATCATATCGCACATTCTTGGAGCCCCAAGAAGTGATAGTAGGAGCGAGAAGAACAATGGTCGACCTTTGGAAAAACAAAGTCACATATGTTGCTTTTCCAACTTCTCATGTATGGAAACCACAATCGCTTGTTTTGGAGGTTATTGACTATGATAGATAGTTGGTTTCCTATGCGGGACTGCATTTAATGTGTACTGGGGTATGACTCCGATATTTGGACCTGGGAACATCACTCCTACGCCAAAATTCGCGGCCGTAGTTCACCAACTTGATATCTGCAAATCGACTGTACTGCCAGTTCTCGATTTTAGAGCCCCTCGCAAGAGTGCCCAAATATCTTGAAGGGCTCCGAAGCCTCGAGCTAGCTATTTGGTGCGGTGCGCCCTTCAGCTCCTCTAGTGTTCCGGAGAAAATCCGATCGCTTGTTCCAATTAATGCGGGTTATGGAGCAACAGAAACTGGTCCATTTATTACGCAAGTAGAAAATCAACTCGACTTCGAGTACATGAGTTTTAGCCCTCTCATGGGAGCACGATTTCAGCCATATGCAGGTCATCTCTATGAGATGGTTATCGAGAAGAAGCCTGCGCTTCACGGCGCTCAGCACATATTTTGTGCTTTCCCCGACTTGAGCGAAGGCACTCCAAAGATCTGTTCTCGAAGCATCCTACAAAACCAGACTTGTGGCGGTACCAAGGACGCACTGACGATATCATAGTGCTATCCATTGGCATTAACATCAATCCCCTTGTGATGGAAGGCATTCTTTTGACACATCCAAAGATCATTTCGGCACTTTTGGTTGGGGAAGGAAGGCCAGAGACAGCCTGGCTTATAGAAATTTGTAACCCACCGCAAAATGTCGAAGATTCTCAGAAATTAGTTGAAGAGTTGTAGGACACGATAGAAAAGACAAACGACGAGGCTCATGTAAGAAGTGAAGCCAAAATCGGAAAATCAAGCATCGTTTTTGTCACAAATGCAAAGCCCGTGTTGAGGGCGCCAAAGGGAAGTATTCAACGCAAAGCAACTATTTGCACATATCGCCAGGAGTTAGATACGTTGAACTAAATTGGGCTTCTGTGCTAGTTCGGTCAGATTATACTTCTGTTCTTAGACATCACCGAAACTAGAGTACTATGTTGAACTGGTTTGAAAATCTCGGAATTGTCCTTATGGGCACGATTATATGAATATATATATCGTAGATATGTACACTTGCCATTGAAATGGTGTTTGCTTCGGCGGGAAACTGCTTTGACAGCTATTCCTATTTCTCGTGTAGCTAGCCACAACATTCAAGCGTTGAAACCCCTTCATTGTAGGGACAACTATGTAAAATAGCGTCAACTTTGACTTTTAAATTGCATATTTCCGGCTACCAAAAAAAAAAGATGTATTCAGTTTCGTATGCGTCTTTTAGAACCTCACCGAATACTTTGATCTACATTACTTGAGTAGATATTTTAAATGTTGCATGTATTGTGTTTATTAAATTAATTCATCCTCCCATTGTTCGAAATCTACCTAGCTATACATTTCATAGTTAGTCACTCTTGAGCTATCATTTCGATTTTCTCTTTCTCTTTCCATCAATCACCTCGTCCTCTACAGGAACGTCATCTGCCTTCCTCTTTTTATCTTTCTTTGCCTTCTTTTCCTTTTTAGCCCCAACCTCAACCTCAACCTCTACCTCTTCATCCTCCTTCACCTCCTCCTCGTCAACCTTTGCAGCTTTTTTCTCTTTCTTCTCCTTCTTAACTTTCTTTTCCTCACTCTCCTCTCCTGTACTCTCTCTCTTCCTCTTCCTCTTCTCCTTCTTATCCTCTGCACTCTGGGCCTTGGCCTCCTGTGCCTTCATTCCAGCTTCAACTTCTGCTTGTAATTGTGCCTCCATAGCTTGGAAATTAACTTCTTCTTCCTCAATTTTCTTCTCCGTCTCACTCTTCTTTTCCTTCTTCTCCTTCTTACTCTTCTTTGTCACCTCTTCAGACTTCTTCTTATCTTTCTTATTCAATTCGGCTACGGGAGTAGGCATGGTATCGACAACAAAATATTGATTAGATTCTACCTCGACTGGCGCAGTGGTTTTTTCGACTTCTGAAGCTGGTGCATCTTCCATTTCGACATCTTCATCTTTATATCCTGCATCTTCTGACGAGTCGGAATCGGAGTCGGAGTCGGAGTCGGAGTCGGAATCTGAGCTGGAGCTATCGCTATCGCTACTCTCATCCTTTTTGGTAGAAACGTTCTTCTCCGCGGCTAAACGAGCATCGAGTTGTGGTACAAGAGGTTCATATCTTATGCCAAGAACTCCCAAACCTTTTCTATCTTTGATCAAACGTGGTGGCAGCTATTTCAAATCCAATTCGTAAATGCCATTCCGCAAAGTGGAAGAACAACCCGAAAAAGCAAAAACTCACAATAAACCTTGCCATGGACCTCCCACTAACAAGTGTATCTCTACTCCTATCCAACAAGCCACAAAGAATTCTCCACGGTCCATCCTCATTTAACTCCCACTCCTTCTTCTCCTCCTCTCCCAAAGTAGTCAACTCACTCTTCATAGCCTGCTGAACCCTATCCAACGCCTTACAATGCGCCTCAAGAACCCCCAAGTGTTTGCGGAAAAGTGCGCCCCATTTCGCGTGGACAGATCGGTTCATCAACGGGACAAGGGGTTTGTCGGTGCGATGAGGATCTTTGTCTTTAGGTAGTTTAACCTTGCGAACGCGTTGTTCCTTGGGAACCTTCGGCTTTCTTTCTTTCTTGGGTTTGACCACCCGTTCGTTTCCGTCGTTGCGACCCATGATGAAGTCAAGATGTAGGAAAGAGAGGCGTTTAGACTTTGAGATTGGAAAAGTTGAATCGGAAACTTGAGCTTTGAAAACTCAATATCTAAGCTTTGAGAATTAATAAGACTGTATCAGAGAAGTTGAACCAAATTGCGCGCAACGGATAGATGTGCTGCGAATATAAAAGTCGATTGTAGAAAAACTTATTTTCCAGCTGCGACAAAATAACTTTTGTGGATCCGAAACCCCTGGCAGGAAGCTGACATGGATGCCTGAGGTTAGAGATACGCTAGAACTTTGAAAACGTCCACGTGACATCAAGCGAAGTTGTTATCGGCCAATGGTTGATTGACCAGAACCACAAGCAATTAAGGCTCGGGATTAACCAAAAGAGGGTGTATAACAATGGAGATGGTAGTGTTAGCATTCATTTTAACCCATAAAAAAGTACATCTCGGACGTAGAAGGGATAGAGAATCATATAATGCCCAAGGAACAACGTAAATCAAAAGAGTGGCTGGAACCACCTAGTAGAAATAGGTGGGTATCAAATGGTATCATTCATTAAGTTCGCGAGAATATCTCATAGAATATACAATATTCTTCAATATTGATATCTATACCTCAGATCATAGTGCTTTCCCTTAGACTAGATTCTGTCATTTCCTCAATTTTATCCTGTCCATCCTTTCACCCAGCTCGAACTGAACTTTATGATAACCGCAATACCCATATCCCTTCACACGCAATTGGGATTGGTTGTAGCTCATCCGGTTTGAGAAGATATCCATGCCGCTTAAACCGATAAAAGAACTCCGTCGCTATGCATATTGCAATATGCGATCATTTTGTCAGAAATCGAAAAGTCGACCTCCATCCCCATGCCAACCACCATATCCAAACCTCCCTCCATGTAGTAATTTTCATTGGAATAGTGACCAAAAAAACCGAAACAAACGATATCCTCTGATTAAGACAACTTCGCCATCGCGTCCCAACTGTCAAGCACGCTTCTCTTCGTCGTGATATTAGTGAATTCCAGGTTTCCCAGACTACACCAATTGTTGACATTCTATTTCAACCAAATTAGCTAAATTCCAATAGAGAATGATAACCGAGTAAAATAAGGGGAAGACTTACAATACAACTCAAATATTTGCACCAACCGCAAGTCTTCCTATAGATATAGAAATTGTTTAAAAGCAGAATAAACACAACCAAGACAAACACCAAGGCTGCTATTCTTAAAAGTAACCAAGCCCACCATGCAGGCTTTCTACCCTTGAAAAAGCCTGTAGGGTTCTTGAATAGACTGACAATTCCACGATCACCTTGATTGGTTTTATCAGCGATAGGTGTGTATGGTGGATCTGATTGACCTGTTCGCATTCGTAAAGAATTGGGTGAACGAAGAATCGATAAACCGAGAACGAGGCCCAGGAAGAATCCCCCAATATGCGAAAAATTATCGAGACCGGGTAAGAGACCTAGAACGAAGGATATGATGATATCAAGACCGATAAAAGCTAATTCCTTCCAAGGACTGACACGTTCTTTCCATTTGTATAGTAAGTCCAGTAGTGTAAGAGCGATGAGACCAAAAAGAGCTCCCGAGGCGCCTGTAGATGATATACCAGTCGCAGCAAAATTTCCACCGAGTATAAATCCAAAGATTCCACTAGAGATGTAAACTAGAAAATATCGAATGGGTCCAATTAAAAGTTCCATTTCCTTTCCCATAGTCATTTGAAGAAGCATGTTGAAACCAATATGAATAATTCCGGCGTGAAGGAACATGGGTAAGACAAATCTATACCACTGGTCTGGTGTCGCTCCAACTCCCCCAAATCCACATAGATCACTTATTGAACATTCGGCTGATGTTAAGCTCGTGGTATTTGGACATGGCCAGCTTATGGCAGTTAAATCTGATATTGCGGTCATGTTATGCATACATGGTGTATATCTTGAGCCCATGTTGATAAGCACGTATGGTGAAGGACCAATCATAGGGTTAAAGGAAGGATGGATTTCGATAGGAGATCCAGTGAGTTGAGCTATTTCATGTTAGCATTGTATATCCCAATCGTTCTCCAAAATACTTACAATTCTTCACAATCTCCACAATAAATACTATCACTTGTACCAGTGTGAGAGTGTATGTAACGAAAGGTATGCCCTTTTTCTTATTCACAAGTCCCATAGCCATAGCATCACTCATTCTATTTCTCTTTTGATCCTTCAGATGTGGAGGTATTCCCGATTCTCCTGCATCGTATACATGATCGTTCAAGTCCGCATCGGGCGCATCCTTTCCTGGTACTTGCGAATTTTCTCGTAAAGGTATATCTTCTCTGGAATAACCCATCCCATCTTGTTCTCTGCCTCCTCCACCCTGCCCATAGTATTGTGAATCCTGTCCCAAGCTATACGAGCTATCTTGCCTATGTGGCGGCACACTTGGTGGTGCTGGATATACATGGTCATCGAATGGAGCTTCGAAGGGGGATACTGGCGACAACTCATGAGGTCTTGTCGATCCTATTCGTGAAGGAGTTGAGTCTTGTCTTGAAGGTGCTTGAGATTGATATGATGGGGGTACTGTATGTTGTTGAGACTGATTGTCGAATGTACTGTTGTATGGTTGTGATGGTTCTTCATGTTGATATTGTTGTTGATGTGAATATGAGCTATAATAATCGTTCGCCGCCATGATTTCTGTCTGATACGATTGGTTGTCTGTATCAATTTAACCGTATGGTATGGTATGATACCGTATCGTTCGTGAAGGTAGATAGATAAGTATAATTGTTCTTCAGATGAAAAGAGAGTCGAAGTTGCGATCGTCTGAGGCTTGCACAAGCCTGAAACAGGAGATCTCAGAAGTAGAGGTGCAGCTTTCTTGGCTGAAGGGTTCAGATGTTTAGACAAGTGCTCACTTCATGTTACTCTCTTTTTTTTTTTGGAATTTCGTCTTGCACTGGCGTGATGATAAGGAAAAGAGAAATCTCGTGGACTAAAGAGTTCTCGATCCTCGTAATGATAAGTAGGCTGGGGGTGGATATTCTTCTATTGATTGTGATAAAAGCACTGCCTGCCTCGACCGACCGAGATGTTGAGAAGATGGGTCTGGATTACCGGTATGTTTTAGGGATGATCCCGTTTTTGTTCCCGTATTTAGAACCAAAACCAAAACCAAAACCAAAGAGGCTTGTACCTGAGCTACTGTTACTACTATTATACGAGTAGTACTGTAGAGTATTAGTACTGTAGGGGGGTTTTTTTTAAGTAACCCGAGAACTTTGATGATTCACAAGATTATTACTCGAAGTACTGTAAAATCACAATTTATATGTCTCATTTCACTGCATTGATTCACGAACTAAACATCTGTATGAGTATCTCCCTATAGCTACTTCACCAACCAACCAAACCAACCCAACCCAACCCAAACCAACTGAACCTGAAGATATATACCAAGAAAATGTGACAAGGCTGGGCTTTTCCTTAAAACCCATCACCCACAGGCCAACAGAACAGGGCTACGTAACATGTTCGCGTCAACTCTTGGCTATTCGACTTTTCAGTGGAGTGAGACTACGGCAAGTCTTGAAGAAGTGGGAAGATCTCCTCCAACCAAATTGATCAAATTAAATATACGGGGTCAGTACTTTATTTCTATTTACATCTCAAAGAGTGGCTGTATAAGACTTAACTGTGGAAAGAGTGAAGATCACCCGAGAAGAAGAATCTTTGTGGAGAAAAGGTTGGTTGATTTGTCTATCGAAATCTAGTCCCTCGGTATGGATTTCCATATCTATGTTTCGTTGATTGAGGAACTTGAGGTATACATGATCTTATGCTCAGCCGATTTTGTCGTATCTGGTGGCCGTGTCATGAATTCGCAGTTGAAGGAGCAATCAAAAACCTCTATACTTACATTATAGTGAAATGGTCATAAAAAATCCCATATCCCGGATCTCTCATTCTGTTCCAAGCAGAACTCGTGGTCTCAGCAACTACTCTGCCATTGCCCCATTGTGACTTTAAGCCGACAGTTGGATCCTGCGTGTAGTGGGATAATACTCTGAAAACTCTGAAGAATCAAATTAAACAAGTAAGAGAATAGAGTATATTCTATGAGGAGGCGCAAAAATAAGATGTTGACCAGTTTCTTTCCCGGAGTCAATACATATGTCGAAAACGTAACTGTACCCTATCTAAGGATGCAAAGAATATAACAACAAGTCCCCTACCAGACGTGACGGCCCAGCCCAGCTTCTCTTTCTGTGATGCAGTTTCGAAGATTATAATATAAGATATCTTACCAAACAAGATGGCCATACCCAACATCTCTTTCTGCGATAATATATTCATCTTAGAACAACACACGTAGCTTCGAAACCTTTTTTAATGCTTGCTTCCACATAAACCTTTCGACTCAAGAACTTCGAAGTGTCAAATTTTACGCTGCACAATAACACTAATTATTGGTCAACAGCCACCCTCCCAAGCGGAACCAGGAAAAGCTTGGCTGGGGATAGCAGCGAAGATATGTCTTGTCGGTGATAGTGATAGATAATAGAAGCCCGGTAGTTTAAATTGTGTAGTTTGGTACTCGGAGTGAAGCAAAAACTGTATACCTAGTCCATGAATCGGGAGAAAGGTCTCGAGAATCGAGATCCTTTGTAGATTATCGAAATTGTCTTCATTGGAAAGGTTTGTCCTAATAAAAGGTTACTAACACACGAGAGATCGAGATAAGATAAGATTCTACGAATACACCACTTCCACAGCCGCACTTTTCAGCCACAACTACCCCTTGTTCACTTCATCACGTCGCGTCTACACCACGCGAAAAGTAATTAACGAACTTATATTGATATCTATAAGTCAATTCATACCAACAACTTCTCAAGCCACGACTTTCTTTTTAGCAGCATAGAAGCTGTAATCTTTCACAATGGCTCCATCAAGAGTTCCTCAAAAGCGAATTTTAGGTGAATCAAAGAATGTTCAACAAAGCCATATACCCTCATCCCCTCCATCTGCGGCGAAAAAACGAAAGCTAGAACCAGTTGCCTCATCACCCGCAGCAGCTAGGTTCAAGAGTTCGCAGAATGGTCCAAAGGGAAAGCTGGCTTCTAGCCAGCCTAGTCATTTCGAATCGGAAGTATTGGAAAAGATGACACAAGATATGGAGAATTTGAAGAGGAATAATTCGGAAAAAGATCAAGAATGGGCAAGGCCGAGACTGACAGACTTCAATCCGGAGGTGGATAATTTGGCATTTCAACAGATTGAATGTGAGGAGGGTACTTATGATCATGGAAAAGCGACTGTGAAGCTATTTGGTGTTACTGAGGTAAACTTTACTCCAATTCCTTTCCGAGCCTGCAATTAATACTACATACAGACTGGTCACTCAGTTATGCTACATGTTAAAGACTTCCTACATTACCTTTACGTCGCCGCTCCTGTCAGTTTTACACATCAAGATTGTGAACAATACAAAATATACCTTGATTCGCAAGTAGGAATGCATGCGCCTGCCATTCATTCAGTATTGATCGTTTTACGGGAGAATTTATATGGATTCACGGGAAACAAACAACACGCATATATCAAGATTACAGTTACAGATCCTAAATGTATCAACAAAGTTAGGACAACTATCGAGGAAGGTCGAGCAAACTGGAAAGGAATGTGGAAGAATGATGGAACTGGAATTTTGACATTTGATAGTCTTCAATATGTGTTACGATTTATGGTTGATGTCAAGGTGAGCCCAATCCCCTTTATTCTCATTTACCCTTTTCCCTCTTTCCCTCCCCCTCCCCTCCTACTCTGATCCGTACCACATCTAACCAATGGCAGATTCATGGTATGTCTTGGGTTGAAGTGGAAGCAAAGAAATACGAAATAGTCCCTGAACATAATAGACAGTCAAACTGTCAAATCGAAGCCGCCGTGACCTACCGAGATCTAATTGCGCATAAACCAGAAGGAGAATGGGCGAAAATGGCACCTCTACGTATCTTATCTTTTGACATTGAATGTGCTGGTCGCAAGGGTGTCTTTCCAGAAGCAAATCAAGATCCTGTTATTCAAATCGCTAATATCGTTACTCGATACGGAGAGAAGAAACCATTCGTACGAAACGTTTTTTGTCTCGATACTACGAGTTTGATCGTCAATACCCAAATTTTTGAATTCGAAAAGGAAGAGAAGATGTTATCTAAATGGAGAGATTTTCTTGAAGAGGTGGATCCAGATATCATTATTGGTTACAATATTGCCAATTTCGATTTCCCATATCTTCTTGATCGAGCCGACCATCTAAAGATCAAAAATTTCAGTCAATGGACTCGATTAAAGTCTATCAACTCCCAAGCTAAAACCTCAAACTTCTCCAGCAAGCAAATGGGCAATCGGGACACGAAGGCTACCAATACTAATGGACGACTTCAACTGGATTTGTTACAACTCGTTCAGAGAGATCATCAACTTCGAAGTTACACACTCAATTCCGTTTGTGCTCAATTCTTAGGTGAACAAAAAGAGGATGTTCATTATACCATGATTACGGAATTGTTCAACGGAACACCTGAATCCAGAAGAAGATTAGCAGTTTATTGCCTCAAGGATGCTTTTCTACCTCAACGTCTAATGGATAAGCTTTCTTGTTTGGAAAATTATACGGAAATGGCTAGAGTCACAGGTGTTCCTTTTAATTTTCTTTTATCCCGTGGCCAACAAGTCAAATTTATCAGCCAATTGTTCCGAAAAGCTTTGGAACAGAAATTGGTTATTCCTAATCTTTCATCCACCTCATCTGAGGAACAGTACGAAGGAGCCACAGTAATTGAACCTACTAGGGGATATTACAGTGTCCCAATTGCAACTTTGGATTTTGCTTCTCTATATCCAAGTATCATTCAAGCACATAATCTTTGTTATACTACATTACTCAAGAAAGATGTCGTGGAAGCTCTCAGTCTGAAGAAAGATGAAGATTATATCATCACACCAAATGGAGATATGTTCGTCACTACCAAGCAACGAAAAGGTCTTCTTGCGCAAATTTTGGAGGAACTGTTAACAGCAAGAAAACAAGCCAAGAGAGAACTCGCTGTTGAAACCGATCCTTTCAAAAAAGCTGTATTGAACGGTCGACAACTTGCACTGAAGGTTAGCGCGAACAGTGTTTATGGTTTAACTGGTGCCACTGTTGGAAAGGTGCCTTGTTTACCAATTGCCAGTAGTACCACAAGTTATGGTCGTCAAATGATTGAAAAAGCAAAAGCAGAAGTTGAGGCAAAATATACCATCGCAAATGGATATTCTCATGATGCTCAAGTCATTTATGGTGATACTGATTCAGTCATGGTAAAATTCGGTGTGAAGGAATTAGCAGAAGCAATGAAATTAGGAGAAGAAGCTGCAAAATACGTTTCCTCGAAGTTTGTCAAGCCGATTAAATTGGAGTTTGAAAAGATTTATTACCCATATCTTCTCATTAACAAAAAGAGATATGCTGGTCTTTATTGGACAAATCCTGATAAGTATGATAAGATGGATACGAAGGGTATTGAAACAGTTCGTCGTGATAATTGTCGATTGGTTCAAAATGTCATTGAGACAGTATTGAGAATGATCTTGATCGATCAAGATGTTCAAGGAGCTCAAGAGTAAGTCTTTCTCTGCTTTTCATTTCGCTTTCCCGTCTCCACTGCCCTCCACCCCCAAACATCACGTCCCCTTTCCCCTTAAAACATCAATTAACACTCAGTTTCTCAGCTACGTGAAAGATACCATCTCCGACCTTCTTCAAAACAAGATTGACTTGTCCAAACTTGTCATTACCAAAGCCCTCGCAAAAGCCGATTACACCGCCAAACAAGCCCACGTTGAACTTGCCGAACGTATGAAGAAACGAGATGCAGGATCAGCACCCACACTAGGTGATCGAGTTGCCTATGTTATCATCAAAGGTTCTGCGGGAGCGAAGAATTTCGAGAGATCCGAAGATCCTATTTTCGTTCTGGAAAACAATGTCCCTATCGATACAAAATATTACCTCGATAACCAACTCGCCAAACCCCTAGGTAGAATCTTCGAACCTATCCTCGGCGAGACAAAAGCAAATTCCCTTCTAGCAGGAGCTCATACTCGTTCCATCTCCGTCGCAGCTCCCTCTATCGGTGGGCTTATGAAATTCGCCAAGAAAACATCAACATGCATGTCATGCAAAAAACCTCTAGTGAATCCTCACGAGAAAGATGGTGCAGTGTGTACGGATTGCGCTCCTAGGATTGGTGAAATGTATGAGAAACAACTCAACAAGGTATCGGATTTAGAAGTCAGGTTTGGAAGACTATGGACACAATGTCAGAGGTGTCAGGGAAGTATGCATTGTGAGGTTATTTGTAGTAGTAAGGATTGTCCGATTTTCTACATGAGAATGAAGGCAAAGAAGGATGTAGAGGATGCAGGGAAGGAATTGGAAAGGTTTGATTTTGATGAATCGGCTTGGTGATTGTGAGGGGGAGAAGACTAAGTGAGGCGAAATGGGACAAGAGGGAGATTTATGGGGCATATGAGGTAATGCGGTTACGTTGCTTTAATATCATGGTATAGCAAGGCAAGGCGTTCGGGTGTATGGATGGGCTATTTTTATAATACGATGCCAGTGGATAGTGGACAGTGGATAGTGGACAGTGAACTCGGAGCACAGCGTTATGTTATGGGTATAATACTCTCTCTATATGTATTAATAAACATCTTCAAGTTTTCTCACGCATATTGTAATCTTCGTACTACTCATACTCGATTATTAGGAAAAACGATATAAGATCAAATCAAATCAATAGAAATGGAATGCAATGCAAGTAAGTGGTACTGTACAAATCATGAATAAATAAATAAGTGCAATAATATAACCTCAACCTCAACTCTTGTTTTTCAAGTACTGAGTATTAGATTTGGACTACGAGTACGAGTAGTAAGTTATGGTTAGGGACTCGGTGTATTAAGTAATTACTTGTAGTCTAGACTAGACTACAGTAGTACTCGAGTACTCGAGTAGGAGTAGATGTGGATGTAGATAGATGGATGGAGATGGTTTGGAGATATATATGTATATATATATATTGTATTGTATGTTACTCGAGTAGTACTGTAGAATATAGTTTATTATGTTATATATTACTTATACAAGCAGTGGGGAAGAAAATGGGGGAGAAAATAATGTGATCTATTGGTACTAGTACTAGTATATTAGTTGGGGGGCTGGGTAGGTAGTTATTTAGTTTTGATTTCGATTTTGATTTTAAATTATATGTAAATATTCTTCTTCTTCTACTTGTATACGGAGACAATCCCTCCTCTTTCTCTTCTTTCAGCTAGTGAGTGATATTCAATATCATCATAGTAGTATAATCTAATCGCATCACTTCACTTCACTTCACTATTTTATTTTAATTTATCTACACAGTACATCTTCTCATCCTCTCATAATATCATACACCATCCACCATCCATAACATTACAACCACCCCCCTTCCTTCTCCTCTCTCCCCCTAGCTCTCCCTACCCCTTAACCCTTAACCCTCTCCACCTGCCCCCTAACCCAACTCTTCGCATCCCTCCACGTACCCTCTCCCTTCTCCTCTCCCCCCATCTCCTCATATGCCCTCGTCCCCCTCTTCGTCTGCGCCGTAAACGGATTCGACCACCTTCCTCCTCCTCCTC